AATGCGGGTTAGTGCCTGCCTGGGGCCGGGAGAGATGGGGCAGGGGAGGGCAGAGGCCAATGGGAGCGAGGCTTCTTTGGGGAAGTTGGACAGTTGGACAAGTGGACAGTTGAACTACTCCGTGACTGCACTACAGAATCATTGAGCGGTGCACTCTGGATGGGTGCGTGGAGGGGGCATGTGAGTTGTATGTCAACAAATCTGTTTGTTTTTGAAGAGTGCACGCTGTCGCTGATGAGTTGTCAACACGAGTCACCGCTGACGATGCTAAGCTTGATCCCGCAGCTGTCCCGCCTCCATAACGCGGCCTCTGAGCCTCTCTCCACACTGGATGCTCTGGGAGCCAGGAACCGAGCATTCAGCTCCGCCGCGTTATTTGGGATTCTTCGGTGTGAGAGATTTCTCCCTTCTCTCTGGTTTTTGTACTCATCCAATGATGTTTCTATCACTCTGGACTCATGGGTATTTTTGTTTTCTTACGTTAGGATAGGATCCGGTGCTCCATTATTTATTCAGTTACTTAAATAGTTGCGGCTTTGCTCGTGGGGCCTCTTTCAGGTTGTAAAATCGCTCCTTTACAAGAACAAAGAAAACTGATCTGAACATGGGAACAGCTGATCTCAGCAGCTTCCATTCCATTCAAGAGAACAGCACCTCACGCGGGCACTTCCTGGAAAACAGCCTTCGGACGACGAATGTTTTGAGGGTGGGGGACTCGGCTGGGTGTTCCCCAGCAGATGTGTTGGGGGGGGCGGGGTGACAGGGCATCCAAAGGTCAGTTAAGACCTTCCACTCAAATGCTAACTCATAAAACTAAGCGTATGGTGCAGATAAAAAGTATCAATGCTACCAAATGCAATTGTCTAATTTGTCCCGGGTCAGGTTGTTACATCCCAGGGGGAGAATCTTACACTCTCAGAAGCACCTCCACCCCACGCCCACCCCCCCGCACCCCTTTTGGCTCCGCTCCACCGAGGACCAGGCAGTAAAACAATCTGGAAAAGCTAATGAGGCTTCTGATCATAGTCCGACCGCTCCCTGGGGCTGCAGGGACCGTCTCCCGTGGTGAGCACCGTCTGGGCTGCAGAGTGGGCCCTGCTCCACTCCGCGTTGTTTCCAAGCTCTTTTCAGGCCCACCCCAAGCTTCAAAAGGCAACTTTCTAAAGAGCGAACTAAATCGCAACATTTGGTTGGTCTTTCACAGAGTCCCTTTTGGGGAGCTGAAGGGTCCACTCAGCTGTCTCTTGGCCACATTGGCAGAAACGCTTTCGTTTATGACAGATGGCTGTTCCCGGGGACAGGTCTCTCAGGAGAACCATCTCCCACTGGGGAAGAGCGCACAGAACGTGACTTTCCCATAGTAAGCATGAGGAAGCAGGAAAACGCTGCGAATGAAAATGTTACGTTGCCCAGGTTTTGTAAGGAGATGCTGATCATGCACCATCTAGAAGCAGCGGGCTTTCTGCTGACTCATTGACTCGCTCGTGCATTCATTCTGTCAAGAAATGGTCATTGGAAATCAGCTAAATGTCAGAAGTAAGGAGAACTTTTATTACGATAGGATGGTAGAAAATAGACAAAAGCACATAAGGCCTATTTTATTGGGCTAAGGGCATAGAAAGGGTGTTGCGTTAGTGGCAGTTGACAACAGGGTCTAACTTAGTGAAAACGAGAAAGCTCTCTCTACACATGTGGCATTTGAGCTGAGACAAAATAATTTTAAAAATGGGAACGATCCACTCCCCTGAAGGGTTGAGAGTGGCATCTCCCAGGCGCAGAAGGACAACGTGCCTGGGAAAAGCACCCTGGCAGGGGATGTAAATGAGAGAGGACAGTGACTGATGAGGTGAGAGAGGCAGGAGGAGCCGGATTACTTAGGGTAAGGAGCCTGATTTTCGATAAAAATCAAAGACCCAGAAGGACTTAATCTGCAAGTCCCAGCTCTGCTTTCTATACGAAAAGTTTTGCTTACTTGAAAGGAGAAGAAAGCAAAAGGAGAAGGGGAGGAGACCAACGGGCATTCAGGCTGGGGGCCCTGGCTGGCTTTAGGGACGAGAAAGCCCGCATGTCCGAGGTATCGGAGTTGGAAGAAGCGAAGACCTTGCTGATCAGTTGGATGTGAAGAGAATGTCAGGCTTCCTGACTTCAGGCACCTTGTCGGATCACAACCGATTTAACCAAAGCGCAGAAACTGTCAGCGGTGGGCGGACACACGGACTCTGAGTGATGTGGGATCTCATGCCCAGCCTTCCAAGCTCCCCGGAGGCAAGTCTGCGGCTACGTTTTGTTTTACTAAAACATCCGCCATATTTCTCTTACACGAAAGGAAAGGAGATGTTTTATTTGAAAGAGGTTAATTTTCCTCAGAAGCTGTACATTTATGAATATGATAAATAGGGAGAAGTCAAAGCCAAATCTGTCTGGCCTGGTGCTGAGTGCCCAGCCCTGTGTTCCCAGCGTCGAACAGAATCAGCTGCGCCCTCACCTGGGGGCACCAACAATGGGAGTGTGTGTGTGTGTGTGTGTGTGTGTGTGTGTGTGCAGTTCCCAGCAACGGGACATAGCTGCCCTTTCGTCTGCCCCAGAGGCGGCTGCTCCCCTCTAATCGCGCACAGAGTAGGGCTGCAGTTATGACGACGAGATCATTAGTCTTGGGGCACTGAAAATTTACTAACATAAACTGTCACCTTGGAGAATCCGAGTTTGCAGTCGGGGCAGACTTCTTAGCAACAACAGGTCTTTGCCCGCACAAAACACCTTTTTTAGACATGTGCCTTTGTGCTTTCAATCGCCTTTCCCCACTAAAGCCGTGACCTCCACCCAGAGGGAGGCCCTGAAAGCCATTCCAATTCATCTGGTGCTGCTGCTCTAACAAATTAGCAGTAAACTCGGTGGCTTAAAACAACACCAGTTCAGCAGCTTGCCGCTCCGGAGGCGAGAAGTCTGAATTCCGTCTCAACTGGCCTGGAGTCAAGGTGTTGGCGGAGTTGGGGTCCTTCTGGGGCCTCCGAGGAGGGACCCCTTTCCTGGCCTCGGTCAGCTTGCAGAGGCCACACGCGTTCCCTGGCCGGCGGCCCTTCCTCGCATCATGCGAACCTCCTGCTTCTGGGGTCACTCCGACCCTCCTGTCTCCCTCTTACGAGGACCCTCGTGGTCACAGTGGGCCCCCTCGGGAGGATAGTGCAGGGCAATCGCCTCCATCACAAGACGCTGACCTCCCCCGCCCAGCAAAGTCCCTCTGGCCCTGCGAGGTCACACGTCCGCAGGTTCTGAGCACCAGGACAAGGACGCCTTTGGTGTCCTGCAGTGGGGAGTCAGCCAGTGGTCACCGGCCAGGGCCTCTGCGGTGACGGTCCGCCTCCCAGCCCCTGACAGGTGCCGGAACCCCTGCAGGGCCGAGGGAACACCTGGGAGCCTCAGACTTAGAAAACACCTTATCGACAGTAGTTAACAATGAATAAATAAGACAATTAAAAAGAAGCTATCCAATTAGTAATATCTCATTGCTGACATCCATTGATTTTGGTGGTCTTGGGGGCTGTAAGTTTTAGTGTGTGTGTTTTTTTTTTGCTTCTTAAAAATGTCCATCGGGAAGTATCACTTTAAAACTCAGAAAAGAAAATGAAAGATTGAGAAGGTAGCAGTACTGCCTGTCTGTGAGGCCACGATAAACAGAATATTACGTGTGAATGGTGATGAGAACAAACATCTCTTCGACAGCGCGATGCTTTGAAGTCTCACTGTGAACTATGCCGGCGCTCAAAACAAAATTCACAGTCACGAGGCTCTTCTGGTATGCAAACTGCCTTTAGATTAATTCAGAAGCTCCTTTAGGGCCGTGGGGCACTTTTTCATGCTGCGAGTATATAATAGAATTAAGAATAGTAATGTGAGGGTATTTTAAAAACTCATTGGAAATGCAACCAAAAATTTTCTCACATTGCCCATATGGATGGCAATTTATTTGGGAAATATTTTTGTGTTCATCGGCCCTTCTATTCCATTATTAAGGAGAAAACACGTGGTGAGTCTCTCCACGCCGCGTATCTGGCATCTACGGAGCCCGATGGGCCGGCATTCGAATGTCGTGTTGTGCAAGCCCCCGAGACGAAAGGGCGCCATAATTAAGTCTGTGTGTTCCAGCAGGATCACTCTGACCCCCGGTTGAAGCTGGGTGAGAGGAAGGGTGAAAACCAGACACCAGGACGGACAGTGTCATGTGCGCGTGTGACAGTGACCCGGAACAGCAACCGAAGAGCGGCTGGCCCGCCATGTGCCCTGTTCCAGAACCAGTGACCCAGGGGCTGACTTTGTATTTCAAAGGACGCTGTCAAAATCTGCACTGACGTCTGGGACGGCTGGGGGCCTCACTACCAGTGCGTGGATACAGTGTCAACAGTCTGTAAGTCCCACCCTGTGTCGCCCGTGCTGAGGTTAAGGCCTAAGGCTGGACCCCTGCTGAGCCTGGATTTGACTACCGGACCTACCCCGGGGTGCACTGGTGCTTCTGTCAGAGCCTCGTGCTCCGTCTCAGTGAACCCTTCACGACGGGTGAAGAGTGCGCGCCCGAGGACCGGGGGCCGCCAGCCCAAAGCCAGGAGGACAGGCTGAATGACTGTTTTCCTACACGCTTGCTGACAAGCATCAGTGTCGTTGGCGGACTTGCGCCCAGCGGTGGCTTTCTCTGGCACAGGCTCTCTCACGGGCAGCTCTGGGGACGGGGGATGCCCAGTGGCCTACCTTCCTCTACCCACGAAAGACTGTTCACCAGAGTGACCTGACATTTACTGAGCGGCCGGCTCGGCTCAGACTCACTCTCACCCATCAGTGCATTATCTCATTTTTAACTAAAACTTGGATTCTGTGTGCTGATGTTTCATGTGAAATTTTTCTGTCTGTATTCAAACATGATGTTGCTCTGAAGTGTCCATTCGAGCTGTCTTTAGTAGGTTCTAGAAATATTAAAGAGACTGCAATTAAGTCAGGGTATGAGCAGCACATTGGACCATGGGTGCTTTTTATTCTAACGTCTGTGTTGTGATGTGTTTTATACATTTTCTTCAAGACATTCATAAAATACTATTAACAAATTCTTAAACGCTTAAAATTCTGTTAAATAACTACTGTTGGTAATTTGAATATGAACTAAGCCAAAAGCTTCTGTTAGTTAAAAGGAAGATTTTCAGCATCTAAGCACGTAATAAAATATTTAACAGAAATTTTGTATGACCAGATTCGTTGACAGAAAGATAACTATTCTTTGAGGCCTACAGTAGCATCTTTTAAAAATCTGACATTTATTTTAAAGTTTGTGAATCAGCTAAATTTAGATTCGTCCACTTTTTAAAACAAATATCTGAATTATCTGAAATACAGTAACATTTTCAATAAGTTCTTCTCCATTTAACAATTCTCACTTATAAAATTACCAATTATATTTTAAAAGTTTCTTTCCCATCTCTTACATTCAGTAGTAAAATATGGCAGTTACAGGCCTTAAAATCAATTGTAATAATTATTCTTGGATGAACTGGATAATGGGTAAGACAGTTAATTCCATTAGTTCATTTCTGGTAGTTTTGAATATTCTTTTTTTAAAGATTTTATTCATTTTATTTTTGTAGAGAGAGGAAAGAAGGGAGGAGGGAAGGGAGAAAGGGAGGGAGAGAAACATCAGTGTGTGGTTGCCTCTTGCACGCTCCCTACTGGGGACCTGACCTGCAACGCAGGCCTGTGCCTGGATTAGGAATCCGACCAGTGACCCTCTGGTTCGCAGGCGGCACTCAATCCACTGAGCCACACCAGCCAAGGCTAAATATTCTTGATAGTTTGCATCTTGAGTCTTCTGCAACAATGACTTGGAGTAAGTTTAAGAGGAACTCTTGAACTGAGATTCATCCCCAAATAACACTTCTGTGTACGAGTCTGCTCTGGATTCTAAGAGGGACTGCGCTCTCTTCCTTAGATAAACAGTTCAATGCTTAATTTGAAGTATGACTTCCTAAGTCTTTATTTCTTTTCCCTCATATTCTGTGGCTCTCAGAAAAAAAAATCTGCCCATCAGGCACCTCTTTCCAGAGTCAACATCTGAACCCACTTTCTGAAGGTTTGTTTGTTTTTTTTAATTCCTGAGAAGGCGATTTTAGCTTCATGGTGTAAGGGTGGGACTGGGGGTGGGGGGCGGCGTTTCCAGCCGGTCCCTGCACTGCCCAGATGACGTCTGGCAGACGTCTCCAGGTGAGCTTCGTGGGAGTCGGATGGAGATAGGTAGCATCCGCCCCTTCCCCGTATCCCACCGCACCCGAATCTGTCTGCCCAGCGGGGTTGAATTGTAATTTTGCCATAGGGAGCTTGAGCTGAGACTGGACTCCAGTAAAACTGGAAAACAGGAGGGCTGAAAATGGGAGGAGCATAAGGATTGAGAGGGGAATGACACTTGAAGGGTTCAAGCAGTTTGTTTCTCTAAACTCTGCGGAGTCTAGAGTTGGTATTCAGTTCATGGGACAGCTGCGCCCTCTCGTGGGCAGGCTTGGAAGCTATGACGATTTTGCATCACCCTCTGAAGTCTTGTACCCAGGTCCGCCTTCCCCAGAGTTTTCTTCCCACCAGCATCATTTCATTTTTGTCCCCCAGGTCCCTAGCTCCGTGGCCAGCTCATTCAACGCTGTCCACCAGTCAGGACAAACTCGTACCTCAGGCCTTTTCTCTCACCACGTGAAGGGACAAACCAAGTAAACTGACCAAGGTTTTGCCTCTAAGAGGCTTTCTGCGTCGAGGTCACGGAGTAGTACAAGTTTTGGCCCCATTAAACCTGACTTTGCCCCTGTGGGACCTGTGGTTGGAGAATGCTCCAGCTGGTTCCTGCAAGCCAGGGGTCAGGGGCTCACATAGCCAGCGAGGGACCCTCTACAGAGGAACTCGATCCTGACGTGTCCGAGTGAGTGTATCCAAATCCCACCTGTGTGTGTGTGTGTGTGTGTGTGTGTGTGCATAGAGTGGGACTGTATTTTTTTCTGTTATCACAAGCCTTCGGTATTCAAAAAACAAGCTTTCACATATTGCCACATGATCTTAACAACATTCTGAGGGATGGAGAGAGAGGGTTCTGTTCACATGCCCAGCTGGGCAGGCATGGGGCCAGGAAGAGGCCAGGAGGTTGGGGGTGGCAAACAGGAGGGGAGGGCTGCAGCAGCTTGGGGGAAACCACAGAGACGTGGCAAGCAGTAGCCCTGTGCCACAGGACTCAGCGAGGTGGCAAGTGGCCACAGGGATGGGCCAGTGGCACACAGGTAAGCCCTCCCCCTGCAGTCCTACAGGTGTTTGGGGAGGTCGCCTTGGCACACACCACCCACTGTGCGCCCACTCCTGGGGTTCTCAATGGTTAGTCACCAAAGGGAAGTGACGCCCCAAAGCCGGGCGCTGTGGAGCGCAGGGTTTGAAGGAAGAGCAACACGCTCGGGACTAGATACCAACGACGGTCACGCTTGAAAAGTAAAGCAACTTGGAATGGAAGCCGTGGAGTTGATGTCACGTTTACAGATGCTATACACACTTGAATTTGTTTAAACACGTGAAAAATTAAGTGCATCCCGGCCAGATGCTATAGTATAAAATGTAGCAAAAAGAGGTTAAAAGTGCCATCTTGTGGGGAAATGGAGAACTGAGTTGAAAATATGTACAAACGAATGTTTCTTTCTCCTCTAAAAAATCAGCATTCTATGGTTATAATGGGGGAGATCGTACCTTATCTTATATGGTGTAACCAGGGGGTGAGAGGCGTAAGAAGGAGCAAAGCGCACAGTAGGGCGGGCAGCAACAGCAGGCCTGGGGTAAGGGATCGATGTTGTGACCTTCTTGTGTTCTTTTTCTTCTTCTTGTTAATCAAAATGAGGTGACTGCTATTATTAATAATATTAATCACTGATGGCTGGGCTTCCAGATCTTTAGGTCTATAATGTCCTTGTAACAAGCTGTTCACTTAGTTCTGGAATGTCCACGTCAACTCTCATTGCATAGAATTAAATGATAATGACGTAAAACGATTATCTCTAGGGTCACACCCTGCCTGGAAATGCTTCAGAAGTGGCTCACGGAACACCTACTTCATTTCAACAGACAGGACGTCCAGACTCTGCACTAGAAGCTGTCACCCTTCGGTGCCGCTACTCGATTCTTTGCGGGTCTATCCGGCTACATTTTTCATCTTCAAAACTGTCGCCTTATGCTGTTCCTTTGTCTCGGCAGAAGACTGATCGAACAGGAAGAGGCTGAAAACAGACCGTGATCGCCACGGGACAGGGACTTTTGAAAAGGACTGTTTGTTTTCTTGTGTGTGTTCTTACAAACGCCAAGCCTCTTCCATTTGTTACTGGCACAGGACGGTCCCCTGTGCAGGAAAATGGGGATCCCGCGTCGTCTTCGGGGTAGGCGAAACTGTCTTCCGGGGAGCGGCCTGGCTTGCCCTCCGCGGAGCCAAGCGGCCCCTGGGAACGCGTTCACGCTGCCTGAGTTTTGTCCAAAATCCAGTCCACGTGCTCGACGACGTTGGTGTAGACGCCGGGGCGCCCCCTCTGAGCACAGCCGTCGCCCCAACTCGTGATGCCCACCAGATGCCAGACCTCGTTGTGTTTGCAGGACAGGGGGCCTCCCGAGTCTCCCTGGGACAAGGGGGAGAAAAGGGCAGGCACGCAGGTCAGTGCAGACACTTCTCATTTCAACCACGGTTCGCTCGGAGTGATCTCACCCCAGACGCTGTCCTGGCCCTCTGATACATTTCAGTGTGCGTAAAACGGATACATTGTATCCCCTGCTCTTTCAAACGCTTTGGAGGTTCTAACCGGAAAGTATTCAGCGGGTGGAGAGCAGGGTTACCTTGCAAGCGTCCTTCCCCCCGTCGTGGTGGCCCGCGCAGATCATCTTGTTGGTTATTCTGTGTCTTGCGTAGCGCGCCTGGCATTCTTCGTTGGTCACCAAGGGGATCTTGACTTTCTGGAGAGTATTTTGTATTTTGTCTGTAAAAAAAAATGCTGGCTTATTAGTGGAATAACTGTATATATTTAAATATAAATAAGTGTATTTAAAATTAAAAGTCCACCTTTATAAAAATCTAGCAAGAAAAAATACTGGGTTTACTACATAGGTCTTTTATAATTACGGACTGTAAAAAAGACACCATTCTCACTACTGTACCACCTTGTTAAAGCTAATTAAGTTAGAAAATTAATTAAGGCTCTAGCTGAAATACTGCCAGGAGAAAATAATGGGATAACAGGCTAGAGCCTTTACTGAAAAGTGCTAGGTTTCACGTTAAACTTCATCGGAAAGAATTAGTCTCTGCAAAGATTGTCATGTTTCAAATTTCCAGTCAAACGGACCGGGCATCTGCTCACTTGGGGGATGCTGCCTTTCCATCTTTATCAGTGTGCGTTCTGTAATAAATAACGTTGTTTTGCTTGCATTGTAGCTGTATGGTGGCCTGATACAGCGGAAAGGTTTAGGGGTGACTTGTGTTCATTACCGGTAAAACAGATCACACAGAGAAACGCCATTTTTTTTTCACCTCTGAATTTCCTGTAGCCCCATCCGGTCGCCCAGCAGTCAGTGTACATGACGTCCCTGTCTCCTTTGGACGGCAGGCATATGGGTCGTTGAAAATCTAAATTTTAAACATCATGATCTAGTTATCAGATATGCAATGTATCGTCTTTCCCAGGAGACTTCTATTGCTGTTTGCATTAGTTAGTGTGCTCTCTGTTTATTTGTTTTTGCTTGATTGTCCTACATTTTCATCCCTCCTGTCCACACAGTGCAGGATGAGGGAAGGAGGGACAAGCCACAGCCCCTCCCCCCACGACCCCCCGCACTGTCCATCACCCTAATGAGGCCTATGACGCTGGGCTAGTTGTGCTGTCGCTCTGACCTGCAATCCTTTGTCCCCACGAGGAAGCTACAGATCGTCTTTAACATCCCAACTGACGCATTATTAAAATTGTCACCCCGGGCATCTGAAGAAGCCTAGAGAAAATGCACCCTTTCACCGGAATACGATGCAACAATCAGGAAAGAGTGTCGGTCTTAACAGGCTAATGTGCTAGCTTTGCAGGTCCCCTCCCTGCCGCAACACTAGCCCGTGGGGAGACTGCCAGGGTCGGGCTGTGGATCTGGAGGTGCCCACTGTGATTCTCTACCAGGTCGTCCTTGCAGACAACTCGCCGTTCCGAGCTCTACATACCCGTGTAGTTCATTGCTGTGTGCAGTCTCAGCAAGCCAATGTCATAGCCACTCTCTGCCGTTTCGTACTGGTCATGAATGATTATTTCTTGAACTCCCAAGAAAGCGGTATCCTCTTTTATTTCCGACTGATTTAAAATGCCACCATAGACACGCAACATTTTAGGGGACTCTATCCTATGGAGCAAACGACAGAGGAGAAAAATTTCCTTTACCAGATAACTCCCAAACCTTTGAGTTGTTTTGCTATTTAACTGGCTATTATTAACTATCTAACTTTTTTTTTTTACCAGTGCTGGGCTTCTGAAGAAGTGATGGGCTGTGGGAAGAAGTGATTCCATGCTAAGATTTTTCAGTCACGTATTTATCATGGTTTATTTATCAACAATTTATCATGACTTTCCAGTCACCCTATTTAGAAGGCCCTGGGTGAGCAGGTATCTTATATTAAACATGCAAAAGTGGATGAATTCTCTTTCCACCCACCAACACACACACACACACACACACACACACACACACACACACAAACACACGCTCACCCCACAAAGAGTTTTGAGTTTGGGTCTCAACCCTGCCATGGATTAGCAGGGACCCTGAGAAATTCACTAGGACTTTCTCGTATGCCATTTTTTCATACATAAAAAAGTAAGAAGACCACAGGCCTCAACCGTATCCTGGAGTTAAAAATGTGAGTGTGCTGTGTACTGATACAACCAACAGACACACAAAAGCACACAACCATGCCTGGAAACCACTCAGGGGATACTAAAGTGCAAAGAAGTTTGGCCAACTAGAATGCCCTGCATACACGGACTCTCCCAAGGGAGACTTTACATTTGGCTAATAGGGAAATGGACCAAAGTAGGGAATGCAAAGCAGGGAATTTGAAAAACCCTTCCTTCTGCATCTGGAAATGAGAGAGAGAGAGAGGGAGAGGGAGAGGGAGAGGGAGAGAGAGAGGGAGAGGGAGAGAGAGAGGGGGAGAGAGAGAGAGAATATGAATGAGAATGGGAAAAAGAAACTGAGTTTAGTCCTGGACCCAATTGCAGGACAATGCACAGAAGGTGGCATGTTCTTATGGGAAACTGCAAAAACTCCCTGGGGGGGTATGTGTACATCCCCATGGGAACGTGGAATAGTTTGCGGTCAAAGAACGACATTCTAACATCTGCTCTCGTGCTGGCAGACCACGAGGGGCTCTTCCTTTTCCTTTTTTTTCACTGAAGAGAGAGAATTAATTGAGCAAATTGGATCATTTACATCTTGGAAATGCACTAAAATGCCGGGGATCGATTCAGCGGATGTGTGAGCCTGGTGAACAGGTCAAGCCAGGCCCGGTACTGACCCGCTGAGACAATGAGCCGCTGTTAGTATCCACCGGTTTCCGATGATGGAGCCCCCACACAGGTGTCTCTGGACGGGGGAGGTGATGTGCAGCGTGACCTGCCACGGCCACTCGCCGCGGACAGACGCCGTTCCTCCCACAATTCTGGGCTTGATTTTGGTTGTGCACGCTGCAACAGAAGGGTGGAGATGAGGAGCTTCCGACATCTTCGTTTTTCCATCAGGAGTTATATTCGGGCACAAAGGGAAGAAGACACCTTCCCTCCATTCAACGATCTATCATGACTTCAAAGAAACTTGACCATCAAGTCGGCAAAGCAAAACATAAACAGTGAACGAGTCGCCTTGTAATTTCAGGCCCCCCAAAGCCTGCGTCATCCGGTGCTACGAGGCCATCTCATCCTCCCTCCAACGACATCCCCGACTGTGCTGTTACATCAGTGGTTGTCAAGTGTGACCCCCAGATCAAGCACAGCACCTGGGAATTTGTCAGAAAGGCACATTCTTGAGCCCCACCTGAGACCCACTGACCCAGAAAGTCTAGTGGTGGAGCCACTAATCTGACTTGTAACCAGCTCCGCTGAAGTTTGAGAACCGCTATTAAAAAAAAAAAAAAAAAAAAAGTTGAGCGCCTTTCACTCTGTTTGACGCCCACGTCCAGGTCCTCCCTGCCCCCTTCCGTCGGGGCCGGCCGATCTTTGGTCCATCTCCCCGGTTCCGCCCGCGTCCAAACCCGGGCTGCTCCGCTGTGCGCCAGCTGCCTCTGCTCTTCGGTCTTGTTGGCATGAGGGAGTCTTGGATGCAAACTCCGATACCTCCCCGGGACGCTGACTCAGAGTCACCTCCTGTCTTCCTTTCCCGCTTGGCTGCCCCCAGCAGGATAGTGCATTGCGAGTCTGCTTCCTGGGGTTCTGAACCCCAGAACCCACCTTCCCACCAAAGCCGCCCCAGTGACCCAGAGGGACTGGGCGCTAGGTGCTCCTGCTCCTAGACAACACCATTCTAACGCTCAGTGTGCGCATGGGTATTGCTCGGTTGCCTTTTCAACGGCAGATTCTGATTCTGTGTCTCGCACTGAACTGTGGGTTAAGAAATATTTCTTTTGATGGCAATTGTTCTGTGTTTTCAGAAAGTTTCGTTGTGTTCTAGACCAATGACATTAAAAGACATAAATGTCTTGATTAGATATTTCCTTTCATGTTAATGGGGTACTATTTCATCTAATAGAGTGCAGCGAAACCTAATTATCTCGTTGCACTTCGCTCAGAAGGCGCATTAAAAAGACATTTAAGATTTGATCTTCCCTTACCTTCTGTTTTCTGCTCTAACTGTCAATTACACCTGACACCTCCTGTAACCTTGACGGGCCAGAGTCCTTGAATTCGGCAGAGAAGCATGTAAGGAAGGGGGGTGGAGAATGGATTCTGCAATTTAAGGCGTAAGCCCCGTTGCTATTTTGTAAACTATGTTGACATCCCTACCAACAAAATTTGCTAAGTGTCTCTTCATATTGAGTAGAACTAAGATAATGAAATTATTATAAATATAGTTTCTTGTGTTAGGTAAACTTATTGTGAAGAAAAGAAAGAATGTGGGAGATATAACTTATGTGACTGACTTCGTTAAGAAGTGGGAGGCGAGCCCTGGCTGGCGTAGCTCAGTGGATTGAGCGCAGGCTGCAAACCAAAGTGCCGCAGGTTCGATTCCCAGTCAGGGTACATGCCTGGATTGCAGGCCACGGCCCCCAGCAACCGCACATTGATGTTTCTCTCCCTCTCTCTCTCTCTCTCTCTCTCTCTTTCTCCCTCCCTTCCCTCTCTAAAAATAAATAATAATAAATAAAATCTAAAAAAAAGAAATTGTAATTTAAAGGAAAAAAAAAAGTGGGAAGCATCCAAAGATCCCCATCAGAGCCTCTGAACATTAAGTAATAAAAGTCTGAAAACATGCGGCTCTATGTAAACCAATTAACACTAGAGGTGTTGCAGGGGCTACGGTATTTGAAGGAGGAATGTGTGGTATGTTTTTTTCTGTTGGGGAGCCTACTGCTTAGCTCAGTGATTTTTCAAACATTGTGCTGCAAGAATTTTTAAAACATGCACTACCTGACTATTCCATCAGGAAAACTGACCTATTTTCCCTTAGACTGTCAAATAAAAAAATGACAACAGCCAACAAACAATAGCCATCTGGTGTGACTGAGTCAAAATTATACCCTTTTTTTTTGGTCATATTGGAAAAATATATGTCTTAGTGTGCTACAGAATTTTAGTAATTAGTTTATGTGTGCCATGAAATGAAAAGGTTGAAAATCACTGGTTTAGTGGATTCTATTCGCTTGCAAACCATCCCTTGCTTCTCTTTACAGAATTTACCACTGGGCTGGACACACTGCTGATCTGGTCTAATTTTTCATGCTGTGGGTCTTGTGTAATCTAGACCATCCTTTTACTTCCACTCTACCATACACACTGCACAGATTAATATGTTTTTACTGTAATTTTTGCCAGTACTCATAAGCACACAGACCTGGAAGAATGAAGTCCCCCACAAGGGAGCTACTGGGGGCAGGGGTGTCAAACTCATTTCCACCGGGGGCCACATCAGCCTTGCAGTTGCCTGCAAGGGGACAAAATAATTTTAGGACTGTATAAATGTTAACTGTTAAGGAGTTGAAATTATATTTGGCCCTTTGAAGGCAACCACGAGGCTGATGTGGCCCCTGGTGAAAATGAATTTGACAGCCCCGTACTAGGGGATTTCTTGAATAGATCCATTATTGTTTGAACATGTGATGATTACTTATGTTTCAATTAAAGATCAAACAATGGCCAATAGACAGAAAATTAGCAATTTGGCTAACCAAGAAGCTGGCTGACACTTCAATTACAAAGGATAATAAGAAACAGAGTTGGTCTCAGTAACAAAAGGTCAGGCATGAAAGTGTTGGCTGACCCTGGATGTCACCACGAAATGCCAGTCATAGAAATGTGTCAAATTAAAACACGTACTCAACAAAGCTGGGCAACCCAGTTCAGTCAGGCCCCTTGCTTACCTTTGAAACATGGTCAGCCTGGATGATAGAAGTGAAAATAACAAAAAATGGCAAATTTGCCTTTTTTTTTTTACTATTTTTTAATCCCTCTGTCGCTATTATTGACTCTCTTCATCATGAGGTTCAGTATAGAATAGCTCCTTTAGGTGTATTTTGTCAAGCGGTGTCAAACTCACCATTATCCATCTTACATAACCGTAACGTATATCCAGAGATGCCTCCTCTCCCGTGCAGTATTCTAGTTGGAGACCCGTTTGAAGAAAGTTTTAAGTAACAGCGCCCCCTGCAGGGTGGAGACAAAATGTTACAAACAGATGCGCCTCTCGAAGAGATGGGCCGGGAGGTGCTCCGCAACCCTTCTTGTGTCTTACAGGCCTCCGTGGCAAGACTCTGGAGATGGAGAATAGGTAAAGAATTGGCAGCGGATGGTGTTGGTACACGCGTTCTGGCAGGCTTCGTGCCCTTTCACGCCCACAATGTCCAGTTCTTCTCCCAAGAAGTCGGTGTTTGGGTAAAACGAAGTATGGCAGAGCACTGCACGGCAAATCGCGCCTCGGTTAGGGTTACGAGACCCTAACCCTTGACGCCCAGGGGTCTCCCCAGCGCGGAGTGGGCTCCCCCGGAGGGAGGGCCCTCCCTGCTTTTTACCTGGGACGCTGTGTCTGCACGTTCGCAGACTGAACCCCGAAAGAGCGTTGTTCTTTTTAAAGCGAGTACTCGGTATACCGCTTTTCGATGTTTTCAGGAGACACAGGTTTCTAACAGGATAAAAGGGAAAAATCAGCATATCATACAAAATATAGCGAAGAAAAATAACGTTTTTTACAGCCCATAGATATGTCAGTTCCCGTTGGCGTTTAATAGCAAAACTTTCCCAGGTTGAAAGTACTCTTTCTTAGTCACTGAGTCAGCCCCTGGGGGCCATAGGTTAAGAGGCAAAGGTTCCAAACGGAACCAGCTGCCTCCATACACGTTTACGGAGCCTGCTCTGTCGTCAATGTTCCTAACGTCTCCCTTCTTCATTTCCCTTCTCTCAACGCTCCCAGCCTGCCTGAAAGACTCTGGGATGTTCACACTTCCTAGACATCGGCCACCCTGAGCTGCTGCAACTCGGGCGTGGACGGATGAGGGAAATCATCGCAGGCCTCTCAGCCCAGCGGCACCTCCCTGGCAGGGAGCGCCTGCCCCAATTAGTGCAAAATCGCAGGCCAGCACGGTGCTGTCCGAGAGAATTTTCTTCACTGATGCTATCCGACACAGTGGTCGCTAGCCACATGTGGCTACTGAGCACTGGAAATAGCGGCTGGGGCCGCTAAGAAAAGGAATATTTAGTTTTCTTTAATTTGAATTAATTTCAATGAAAGAAAGCCCAGTCTTAGCTGGTAGCACCCAAGTTCCTCTGTCACCCTGTTTTGACGGTAAACTGTGCTACTTCTCTCATAGGGATTGACTGGGGATTTTATAAAAGGAATAAATAAAGAACAGGGGTCACACAAAATAACACATCACAAAGGCATCTTTTTCTGAAACTAATTATGTCTCAGGGCTTGAGCTCTGAGCCTCTCCAACTGCACTCAATCCTGTGACGAGCTCCCAGTTTCACGCTTTAATCGCCTGCTGTATACTGGCAACACCCAAACACAGACCCAGCACGTAAAGTCTCTTCTTAATTCCAGAATTGTCTTTCTGACTGCAAGTCCAACACTTCTCTTTGAACATCTAATAGGAACCTCTCTGCGCTCTGGAAATCAGCAACTCATGTCAACCTCCACATCTCAGCCACTGGCATTTCCAATTCCTGGGGCCAGACATCTTGACACTGTCATGGACTCTCTCTGTCCTTCCCCGAGGCATCTAATCCATCAGCAAGTCTTACTGGCTCTCCGTTGACAAGATACCCCAACGGGACTACGTCTCTATCTTTCCACACCTGTCGGAGGAGGGCAGGGTTTTTATCTCTTTAGTTCAGTACTAGTTGCCCCAGTATCTAGAATGGTGCCTGGTATCTAGTAGGCACCAGGTAAATTATATTGAACTTGTTAAGTAAATGAAAGGCACAGACATATTTTCATGTGATAGACCTAGCACTTCTGAAATGACGGCCTCACTCCATGGAAGCCCGGGCTTGCTTGACGGGCAAGGCGCTCAAGGGCTGACCTTGGCTGGGCCGCTCTCCCCAGAAAGGAGCAGCCCAGTCGAGCGAACGTGAAGAGCTCTGAGAATTCCAACGTTAATCATACACAGATTCCAGATTTTGAAGCAGACTTGATCTTCCGGTTATTTTTTAGTGACTCGTTAATGAGGATCAACTGTCCCAGCAAGCACCCCTTTAATGACCAAAGAAGTTTTTCGTCCCCTGGCTGGCATAGCTCAGTGGATTGAGTGTGGGCTGCGAACCAGGCATCATAGGTTCGATTCCCAGTCAGGGCATATGCCTGGGTTGCAGGCCATGACCCCCAGCAACGCACGCTGATGTTTCTCTCTCTCTCTCTCTCTCTCTCTCTCTCTCTCTCTCTCTCTCTTTCTCCCTCCCTTCCCTCTCTAAAAATAGATAAAATTAAATAATAAAAAAAGAAGTTTCTCATGTTTCATTATGGTTTACCATGGCCATCAGCAGGGGAGAAAGTCTCAAACCTCCCTCCACCCCGAGCCCCACTCCCCCCGATGTAGGCCATCACGTCCGTCCCTCTCCACTTTGGATTTGACACTTCACTGATGGTTCCAGCTCTTCCTGCTACAGGTTTCATCAGACAACATTACCCTAGGGGCCATCCCTATCTTCCTCTTTCCACTCAAAACTAGGCTACTCTCCCTCTGCCAGAGGCAGAGCCCCCGCCAGCTCAAGAAAACCAGGAATGCTTGGTAACCCTGCATGTGTGGGCGGTAGGCAGGCAGTGGAAAGGGTGGGGAGTGAGGGATCCTCCTGTGCAGCTTTTATCTGCCTTTACGGACATATCGATCGAACGGATGCCCACTCAGGACCTTTAATGGTGGATTTTGACCAGCTGTTCTTAAAAGGTCACCCATCCCTTTCACTCGTAACTCCTTACCTTTCGGATTCCTTCGGCCACGCCTGGGAAAGGAAGGTAAAAAACAAACAATTGGGATGGTGAGTGCAAATGTTGCGACAGACAAAGGGGTCGGGAGCCCGGACGCTGTCGATGTTGTCATCAGCAAACGCGGTGCTGGGGAACACGTCGCGCACGCAGGCTGCACGGCAGGAGAAACCGTGTTCAGGGAGACCAGTCCACCGAGAGCATCTGTAAAACCTCAGTGGTGGCGTTTGTAAATTCCACGTAAAGCAGTTTGTGGGGGGGGGGGTGAGGAAGAGAAGACTAGGTGAAACATGAAGGAGTTTTAGGGCAATGACACGTTCTGTATGGTATCGTAATGAGAATGCATGTCCTCATACACTTGCCCAAGCCCAGGGAACGTACAAGCCCAAGAGTGAGTCATAATGTAAACTATGGTGGTTATTATGCGCACGCAGGTGGCAAACACAAGGCCCGTGGCCCGAATCCGGCCCTCCACCTTGTTTTATCCGGCCCAGCACCTTGTTTCTACCTGGACACAGCACCCAGCTCCTTGCCCCTAGTTGAGGAGTAGTTACATTTATACAGTCCTAACAGTACATTCGGCCCTTTGAAGGCGACCATGAGGCTTATGTGGCCCCCAGTGAAAATGAGTTCGACACCCCTGCTATAATGCGTCAATGGAGGTTGATCAATTATAACAAAAGTGCCGCTCTGGTGGGCGATGGTGATCATGGGGAGGCCATGGATATGTGGGGGTAGAGAATCAATGGGAAATCTCTATACCTCCCCCCGATTTTGCTGTGAACCTAAAATGACTCTAAAGAAATAACGTCTTAATGATAGTTTTTAAAAAGTTTGTTTAGCTTAAAATCCTTCAAAGCTGTTCTAATTAGGAAAACTAGAGTGATTCTGCCAAACTTAAATTTCAATATAAACTCTAACTACATGAGACATCATGAAATTCTTCACACGAAGACCATTGGCCCCATTTCCTCAGCGAACGTAAACGGGATCCTAAGCGAGGCCATCACACATACATCACCGTCGTAGTTAAGGGTCAGGTCACCTGGCTACGGAAAGGCGAGTTTACCCAGTTTAGAAAGCGCGCAGGGTTTCAGGGAAAATCCAGACACCACGTCCTTGAGCTTCGCTATCCTGGTTGGCGTCCCCGTGTGGGTGTGCTTCAACAGACAAATGTTACTGAATAAAAACAAAAATGGAAAAACGTTTTGTTCTTCCCGATGCAAGTCAGAGAAACCACCGATGATGGGAAATTCCCGAGTAGAGGCCGCCTGAGCTGGGTCGCAGGGGAAGGTCTCCGCAGAGCATGGGTCTGCGGTCCAGGCAGCTGGGCTCGAGTCGTCCCCCCCGCCAAGCGAGACCCAGCTGTGGCCCCGTGAATTTTGCCAACTCTGATTTTCATCGTACATTGGCGAGTGGGGAGGGGTGGTGACATGGACAGGAGAGATGCAGGGATGAATGACTTCTTGGTCCTTCTCAACCTCAGCATCGTAGCTCTTTAAAAAAATGTCTCTAACACCCAATATCCTGGTTTATTCACATTGTGTTAAGTCTTGGGGGTAAAATATGCAAAAATGTGTAGTTTGGGGGGAGCTAAAGACAAAAAGGGCTTGAAAATTAAGCATGAAAGTTTAATGGTAAGTTCGGTGGGTTGTTTTGTTTTATTGTTGTTGTTGCTGTTGTTGAAATAAATCTTGGGCACTCTACTTGCTTTCTGTTCGTCATCTTTCATGAATGGAGAAAGCAAATTATTCATATCCAAATGCGAGTCATTTGAACTTATTTCTGTTTTCACTGAATTCCAGATAACTGTAGTTTACTACACACATTGAGAACATCTGAATTATTTCCGAGGATAAGAGTTATGGCCCTCGGCTGTGTGGCTCGGTGGATGGAGTGCTGGCCTGTGAACCCAAAGGTTGCTGGCAGGCACGTGCCTGGGTTGGGGCCAGGTCCCCGGTTGGGGGCTGGGGGGATGCAAGAGGCAAACGATCAATGTTTCTCTCACACATCGATGTCTTCTCTCCCTCTCTCCTCCCCTCTCTCTAAAAATAAATAAATAAAATAAAATCTAAAAAATTATGTAAAAGTTATGATATTTTCCCCTAAATTTGTTTAAAAGGGAATACAGACGAATCATTAGAGATCAGAGCATTTTATATTCTTATACAACAGACTTGTCCCTGGAATATTCCGAAATCCAGTATGGGGCAGGTGAAAACATTTCACGTGGGCTTCAGCTATGTTGTCTTAGGTAAGAAACTGCCATTTGGAGAGCCACAAGTAGGTTTTTGCTTTCTTTTGTTTTGTTATTTTATAGGGTCAGCCTGCAGCATCCTTCAGGCTGGGAATGGACTAGTCAGGCGACCAATTTCAACTGTTTCAAAATCCCCAATTTAAACAGGTAGCACTTTCCATGAAGAACTGTCTCTCAGAGGTAAAAAAGTAAAATTTTGGCATCGCGTGGAGGAAAGGGACTTCCGGGAGGCCCCGTTCTGCGTCCCCTGGGTCGCGTCACCCGGCTTCCCAAGGCCGGCTCACCGATGCGCCGCGCTGGGGAACCGCCGCGTGGCGTAGGTGAAAAAGTGACAGTGCACGTCGTTCGTGCACCGCTCCTGGCACTCGTGCGCGCCCTGGGCGACGGAGCTGTTGTAGTTCACGCCCTTCATGTCCAGGCCCTCGTAAACTTCTTTGTTGCAAGCTGGAAATAAAGCGGAAAAGAGGGTGATCTTCCAGACCCCAGGGGCCCCTGGGAGAGTTTTACCCTTACAACCACCTCTCCAGGGGTCCGCTGTCAACGCACTCACCCACTTCCCTCGGAGGTCCTTTGTTTTTACTGGAATCTACTTACTTCCAGCTCTCACGTGGAAACAGCAGAAGAATTCCCACGTCCTTCTTATATCCTGACACAATATCAGGGTTGTGAATTCTTGTTTCTATTTTCTGGCCGGACCTGTCTTGTCTTTCTAGCTCCAGCTGATTGGCCGATTCACTAATAAGCCTATTCAGGTGTCTCTACCAGCATCAAAGCAAGTACCATCTCACCACTCACTCGCTTTGATTTAAATTAATATGTGGGGTGAGGACTTTCCTATCAAACTTGAAGCTGGGAAGGAGGGAAAAAATGGATGATGAATACTGATGGAATAAGATATGTCCTATGAGATCAGTTTCAGAAAACTATAAGGAGGCTTAGGGACATCCACACATGCATGCTAATTTTTATTCTGCATTGAAAAAGTTCATTAGGAGACTTTATTTCTGTGTAGCAGGGTTTTCTTTTATAGCCATAAGATCAAACCTGATGTAACTGCATATATATATGTGAGATATATATATATATATATATGATCAAACCTGATGTAACTGCATATATATATGTGAGATATATATATATATATATATATAACTAACACAATAACTAGTGTTTTCAAATTCTAAGACACCTTACCACTTATGTGGTGTGAGCATTGCTTGAAAGAGTATCCTGAAACCGCTCCCGTCATATTTATTCTTGGCAGTGTTTCTGTAACGCTGTCTTTCAGGGTGCAAGTAAACCTGTTTTTAAAAAGAAATCAATTGAAAAAAAAATAAGTGGGTGGAAATTTATGTTTTAAAATAAGGGGTCTTAAAAGTCAGCACGTACAAATTCAAAGAGAAGGAAAGAAACTGCTCTATGTCATGCCAAAATAAATATTTTCTTAGACTGCAAGTTTGTCTTTTTCTGTCCTACATCCTCACTTTTAAAGATCACATCTGATAATGCTCCTTCCCAGCAGGAAAAGAGCCTGTGGGCCACTATAGGACTGTGGCCTATAGTTCCAGTGCAGCTCTCTGCCTGCTTTGTATCGTCCGTGAACTGAGAATGGTTTCCGTATTACAGTGGTTACATTTTAAATGATGATGTGAGTACGTATATAATATCCATGATTTTGTCTCTGGACAATTTTATTTTATTCTCTCTCTTGTCAGAAACAAAAGATTGTCAGCTCCTCCTGGAGAGTCTAGAACAGTCAATTTTCTAACTCCAGGGTGCCGTGTAAATACCTATGAATGAGGCAATAATACACAAAGAGGCTGAGAACTGAATTCGGCAGTAAAGCTTTATTTTTAATTTTCAAGTTCAACATGGAAACCAAAGTGGTGAGTGGAATATTCTCAAATTTTGAAATCTATGACTATCGAGACAAAACCATCAAATGCAATTTGTGAATCTTGATAAGATTTTGTTTAATAGCAATTAAGTCCTGATGGGGGACAATTCAGATAATATAAAAGGATTCTTTTACAACTTTTAATGTATTTTGTGTAAGACAATGAATGGTGAAATATTTGAAGGTGAAGTGTTCTCACGTTTTCCAGTCATCTCCAAATGTTAAACTCTACACAGTACAGGTAAGCGAGACACAAATGTCAGTCTTGCTGGAGACAAGGGATCATTGTATTCTTTCACTGTCTTATAAAATTTAATTTTTTCTAATAAAATTGTTGAGGGGAAAATGTCAATTTACATAATACCAAATATCAATAACCATTCGAAAAGCAAAGGGCAAAATGGCTAAGAAGCACGAAGGTGAAGGGAAGCGAGAAAGCGTACTGTGAATACCGGACCACAAGGGAGGTTGGAAAGCCCTCTCCCCCCCAAGAGTTCTGTCTGCTCAGTGTCCTTCCCAATCTGCCTGAGCGCCCTATTGTTCGTAATATTTGATATTTCCCTCGAAGGACAACATACATTGTGTTTAACATAAAATTTCATCAGACAACAGAGGGAACTTTATTAGTGCGTCGTGGCTACGTACCATCTATTTCCTCGACAGAGAAACGCACACACTCACCATTTAGCAGGATCCTGAGATGCCGATTCAGCCACAAAAGTGAACAGCAAGCACCTCGGGTGATGGGTGCAGACCACCTGGCAGTGCTCGGCGCTGGGCGTGAACACAGCGGCCACGTTGCCTCCCTGGAAGCTGGTGTCTGTGAACAGCTGAGTCACACATTCTGCGATGCAACGTGTGGGGTTTAGTGGGCACGTATCTACTCAGGTAACCATCTCACAGAGCCGAGCAAAGGGGACTTACTTAGCAGGAAATGCGCCTGAGCTCGGGAGTCAGGGCAAACTCATACATAAGTGTATGGGAAGAGCCGCCTCGGGTGGAGAAATGGAGATGGGAATGGGGGCGGGGGGCGTGTCACGGGCAGCAGCGGTCAGCGGAGAGCAATGGAGAAAAACGTGGGAAAACTGTAACTGAACAAAAATTTAAAATAATAATAAAATAAATATATATTGCTGGGTTAAGTTTGGGAACATTTTGCTTATGATATTTGCATCTGGGTTCACAAGTTCAGAGGCCTGTGATTTATCCTGGTGCCCCTGTTGGGTTTTAGTGTTAAGATTACACGGACCCACTGGCTGGCGTAGCTTGGTGGATTGAGCTCCGGGTGCAAACCAAAGCATCACAGGTTCGATTCCCAGTCAGGGCACATGCCTGGGTTGCAGGCCATGACCCCCAGCAACCGCACATTGATGTTTCTCTCTCTCTCTCTATCTCCCTCCCTTCCCTCTCTAAAAAATAAATAAATAAAATCTTTTAAAAAAAGAAATAAAGCAATTTTTAAAAAAAGATTACACTGACGTTACAAAACGGCTGGAGAGTGTGACCATGTCGACCTTCTCTAATATGTATGTTTAACGTTTAACTGGCTCCTGCAGTCGTCTTCATTTTCTCTTCCTCCGAGGTTCTTTGTGCTTAAGTAGCTGATCTCGTACTACCTTCTTGAGCTGGGTTCTTACATCATTACGTTTCAGCTTTTCCCTGTTCTAACAAATGCCTGTAGGTCCGCACATCTGCCCCCAGCGCTGGTTCAGCCGCATCCCCAAACTTTGAGATGCCATATTTTCATTGCTATTCAATTCAATTCAACCTATTTTCTAATTTCCACTGGGATGTCTTCTTTGACCCATATTTATTTAAAAGCCTACTGCTTAGTTTTTAAACATTTGGGGATTTTTCCAGTTGTCTTTTGTTTTTCTGGATCAATTCCGTTGTGACCAGATAACACGTTCTGCATAATTTTAACTCTTTCAGGTTTGCTGAGACTTGCCGGAGGGCCTTGAACATGGTCAGCGTTTGTGAGGGTTCCACATGCGTGTAAAGAATGTGCGTGCGTTTCTGTGTAGGTGCTGGGGCCGTTGTTCAAAACATGCCCACTCAGTAGTTGTCACTGACGTGTTCATCAGTGAAATAACGGTGCTGTTTTACAGTGATTACGATGAAGAAATATAGTAACCTGGATAAAAGTCTTGTCACACAGAAAAATGATAATATGAACTATAGTAGAATTTATCTTATTTTAAATCTCTTAACTCAGATTTGCTATTTTTCACATAGGCCAAAAAAAGTTTACTCTGCATAAAATGCTAGCAACAGCAGCAGGAATTAACTGTCATATACATTATTTTCATAATAAATGCTTAAGTTTTTATCCTAAATAAAGAATAAACAGCCCTGGCTGGCGTAGCTCAGTGGATTGAGTGTGGGCTGCAAACCAAAGTATCACAGGTTTGATTCCCAGTCAGGGCACATGCCTGGGTTGCAGGCCACGGCCCCCAGCAACTGCACATTGATGTTTCTCTCTCTCTTTCTCCCTCCCTTCCCTCTGTAAAAAAAAATTAATAAATAAATAAAATCTTTTAAAAATGCTTTAAAAAACAAGAATAAACAGAGGGGCTAAAAATCCTTGTATTGATGTGTCCTCCTGAATATTGGTTAGCTAATTTGTAAACGAATGTAGTGGATGCTTTGTAAACTGGAGAATTAACAGCGGTCATTAAATTATCGAAACATATAAATTCTAATTGTATGAATATTAGCAAAATCTCTTTCAGTCCCAAATTGTGCGGATGTGTGTGTCTGTATGTGTTGCATTAAACTGACTGCTTTATGGGGAACGGACTAATCAGTGAGGCAAATCGAGACTTCTGTTTTTTACTACTGCTCTTAAACATCACTTAAACATGTGATGTAAATGTGGATGTCAACAGAGGTATAGATGAGGATAGAAATATGGAGGTAGACAGGATTACTTCCTGTCTGTCTACAAGAGGGTTACGTCCCACTCATGCACTCCCTCACCTCACTTCCCTCCCTGCTTTGAAAGCCCCTGGAGCCCTCGGAGGGAAATAAGACGGGAAATAAGACGATGCTATTCCCCCAGAGGGGGTCACGTGAGATTCTCCCGTCTGGGGTCTGTGCAGCGCTGTCTTGTCTCTGGGTCTCACCCTCTTGTTTTCTAACCTATAAGTCAGGAAAGACGCTATTTCCAGTCCATACTTAAGGTAAATCTTCACTTACCACCGGAAACCGAGGCAGATAAAACAAAAGGTATCACTTGGTATAACAAAATCATCCTACAAAAAGAAAAATGTGCACGGTTTCAGAACATGAAATGTGCATTTCCAGTGAGTTCGCTGGCGTGGGGGTTTACATGAGCTAGAGAGCGAAAGGAGCACGTCACCCAACAGCGTGCACAGGGCTCCCATGGGAACGGAACGGGGAGTTTTCTCTTCCCCTAATGCTAGAACATTCCTCGGCAGGGCTGTGTGTTCCGGCGTTTGGCGCTGTCACGGTTCTGAGGAACCCAGGCCTGAGGGGGAGGGTGTTCCCCCGCCCTCCCTCCCCTTCCCTTCCCCCCCACCCACAGCTTGCTAGTCTTCCAATATTTCTCATCGTCATCCCTGGAACCCTCCCCCACCACAACTTTTCCATTTTCATCTTCTCTTCCAGTTTATTCCCTTTCTCTCCATTTTTGAAGTTTCTCTGTATATCTAGCAAGGTAGATGATATTCTACTTAAGTTTTCTATTTTTAAAATCCTGTTGCAAGTAGATTACCAAGTTTTCTTGGGCACCTAGGAATGTGTTCATCCCTACGAAGCGCTGAACTAGGAAAAACTATCAGTGAGATAAATGAAGACTTCTGACTTTTTAATATCACCCTTGGCTATCTTTTTAATTTGGGACATACGTGTTATTGAGTATTATTACTTTTCTTTCATGTTGCATCTCCTCTCAGATTGGTTCTGGATATTAACTAAAAACCAATAAAATGTTAAACCAGACAAATTTTTAAAATCAATCATTTTCCATTGCAAATTTTTTTTTAAAAAACTCCTGTGGTAGAAGGAGGCACTTCGAGGAATAATTGCTTGATAGACATCATGAATAATAATTTTTGAAACCATACCTGGAAAACCGTTGTCTGATGAAGTTCTTAATAAAAGTGGTTTTCTTCTTCCAGAATGCTCTTCATCCTCTGAAGGACCGTGTTCAGGCAATGGTCTCGTAACTTTAATATTTACTTTTAGTGGTTCCCAAGGTTAGGTAATATCTCTTTGCATAGCATGTCTGTGGAAGCTGTTAGAATCTATGTGTGTCCCAAATGCACCTTGGTAAAGTTGCCTGCTTTTTCAATACCTTCCCTTTGTTTTCTTATTTTACTCTGGATTCAAACAAGTGGCACACAGAGAGAGACAGCCGAGGAGCTGGAGTTCACCTTTGTACCTCCACAGTCGGGCAAACTCACACTCAGTATGCCTGTACTTGCACTCACTGCGAAACATCCACGGTTAATCATTAATTCGAGGCTAACTGAGGTCTCTCCGTCTAAAAAGAAAACCAGGGCAGTTCGTGGATGAAACTCCGGCTGTTGGGGGTTGAGGCAGGGCACCCCACTGCCCTGCATGCGGTCCCCCTGGGTAAGTAGTACCTCCTCGGTGGCCTATGTGGATACTGCTAGCTCTGAGGGGGCAGGCTCTTTAACCCACTTGCAAACACTAAAAGTCTAAATTAAATAAAAAAAAACAACAACAGCAACACAAAATATGGGACGTTCATAGCCTTCTTTAGATCTCAGTTCACTGGAACACAAATGGAGCTCTCAGGAATGACAGGCTTAGCCTTGCAGGACAAGCCATCAAAAAAATAAAATAAAATAACAGGTCAATCCCCTTTGTCCTGGAGGGCGCCTCCTAGTGGTGGACACGTGGCAGGTCCTGGAGAGGAAAGCTTGCGAAACGCTTATCTGGTTTTCATCTATTAATTCCACTCCTGTTAAGAGCCTCCCTGTTGCCTTTGAAAAAGGGCTAACAGCTCTCTCCACCGCATGCCAATGTGGGTGCCCTGTTGCCAGGATCTGTTTGCTAGTCGGCCGGTCATGCCGGGGAGCAGCAGCCCCTCCACCACTGTGAGTCTGGGGGTCCGTGGCCAAGTGGCTTTATCTGTCTGGGCTTCGGTTTCCCCTTTGACAACATTAGACATGAACTAGCCTTAAGGGTTTCTATGTGGTCCCTGGCACCTAAAAGAAATAAATTTTTTTAAAAAATGTAAATATGTTTGATTTAAATATATTTTAGAGAAAGAAATGTTTATGGTGCAGAGAAGGCCTCTAATTTCCTACAGAAAAACAAAACAAGCTCTGAGGTGTTTATAAATGGAATCATGAGTTTGAAAAGATATTCTAAAGATGAGGGGGTTCACAGAATGAGAAGTCGGCCCTTGTTGGGTTGGAGACCTCGCCGAAGTTCCAGGCACCAGGAGACATAGTGAACTGTGTTCACGAATGATACCCTAATATGAGTGCGATCTTCTGAAAATGTCACCAGTGTCCTTTGAGCACTTCAGTATTCGGGAACAGAGAGACACAATTTCATTTTATCTCGATTGTAATGATGCCATTATCTAAATGGCTTCTGAAGGTACGCAATCCCCACGCTTTGGTGGCCAAATGCCTACATAAAAAAAAGATGACCCCAGATTAGGACTGCTTTCAAAACTCTTACCCGAAGGGCAATATGAGGGCTGGGGGAGAGACTTCACTGAAGGGGGTGGGGACAGAACAGTTGGTAAAGGTAAATTGGAAGCCGAGCCCCATATGAACTCATCTGAGGCTCTCTGAGAAGAAGAGAGAAGCCCGCGTTTTGTTCCATAGGGCAGGAAGTTCGGGGGAATTTGAGCTCCGAAGAGGTCTCTATGGAAAATACCGAGTCACATATTGTGACATTCTATCTGGAAGAGAGTTATTCAGATATTTTTATGTGATCTGTTGCCAAGGCTTTATGGCCTATGTGGGCATAAAGGATCCTTAGCTGCTTTCTTGAGTTTCCCATTTAAAATTAAGTACATTCCATCCACACAAAAAAGCACATATTTATGATGCTCTGCTAGTTACGAAGCTCAACATGAACTGGCAAATTTATGCCAAGATAGGTTTTCAGGGAAAACTGATACGTGAAATTATATAAGGTCCTTATATCCTGGTATTGTTTATCCATGAAACCCCATACCTACCTTAAACGCCCAATAAAAAGACTATAATGGTAACTCTCCAACCCTGGGAGATAAATAGAAAGACTCTCCTGAGAGAAAGACTTCACTGGGGAACCAAATAATATTCTCCTCAATGTGGCTTAGCAAGTTAGTTAAATCTCTAAACCCTTTCAAATAATAAAAGGATTCCAAAAATAGTTTTCTCTATTCAAATAAAGGTGAAATAAGAGTCTTAATTGCATAGAAATTCTTTGAGATTAAATAGATCTTCCTTTTAAACTGACAGATGTTTTTTCAATTGATGCCTTTACAGTTGAGAATTCTGATGCTGATTACTCTTATCTGAAGGTAAAGGTATGAAGGACACGTGGACAAAACCAAAGGGGGGCGGGATCAAGGCTGGGAGGTGGGGATGGCTGGGGTGGGAGGGGAGTGGCGGGGGGAAATGGAGACAACTGTCCTTGAACAATGATAAAACATGTGAAAAAAATACATGACAACCAAAAAGAATGAAATGAAATAAAAGTCAAGGTTTCCCACCCCTGCCCTACCCCCTAGTGAAATAAAATGCTCTTGAAGCCTAATGAAAATGGGGAATTACTACACACAATCTGGGGAAGAATCCAGAACAAAGTCTGCAGGGACCCAAAGGCGAGTCAGCAGTCAGGGTCACTGGTGGCCTCTGGCCCTGTGTCTGGGGCAGGGAACCACGCTGGCCCCTGCTGCTGGAGACCCGCCTCTGTCCCGGCACGGCCAGTCTGTTCCTGGAGCTCCTCTCTCTCAAGACGTGCGTTGAAAAAGCTCACAGCCTCCCATGACCCACTACCCTTTCTTGGTGGCCCCCAAGTATCCCCTCTCCATGATAAGAGGTTTTTTTTTTTCATAATAAGGTTTTAATCTTGACCTTAGACCCGAGTCAATCAACCATAACATTTACTAATATCTGGGCCAATGATGCTTTGTTATGAGGCACTACCTGTGCATTGGAAGATGTTTAGCAACAGACCTGGTCTTTACTCCACAGATGCTAGTAGTGCCCCCTCGCCCAGGAGTGCCAACCAAAAGTGCTCTAGACGTCACCAAATGTCCCCTGGGTGGGGCTAGAGGCAAAACTGTCTCTGGGTGAGAAGCAAGTGCTGCCTTAGATGATAAGGAAAAGGATGGTTAGAAATGCCCCTGCCATCTCTTCTTCTCGTAGTACGAGGCAACGTGACAGGGGCCATCAGCCGGGATAAGAGTGCCAACCTTTGTCCTGGGCTCTGTACTTCCTCTGACCTTGAGCTGATCTTTTGATCTCTTGGATGCTTGCACAGCCTCATCTTTAGAACAAAGGCATTCTTGTTCAGTAGACCTTGACTCAGTGCCCATTGAGGGGCAATCAGAAAGAACGCCTTCTTGAGAGCTGTTCACGGTTTGGTGAGCCGGGTAACCGTAATTAAAATAAAAGTTTTACATTCAAATTCGAGGTTTCCCAGCTGCCAGGGAGCAGAGAGACAGAGGTGGGAGCCCTTGGCTAAGCCGTAGCAGATGTGACGGTGTGACGTCTGTCCCTCAGGCCTACGTGCTGTGGCCACAGACCAAGAACAGCTGGTGCTGCCCGATGCCTCTGCCTTCTCATCCCTCTTGCTCGTGGGAGTGAGTCATTCCAGTCCCGCGCCTTCCTAGCCTCCTACCCACTTCTTAGTCCGAAAGGCTCTTACTGGGTGAAGGGCTCCTGTCTCTTCACGTTCACCCTTGAGCAGGAACACATTTGAGCAATGACAAGATCAGTTCTGTGCCACTGGCCTTGACCGGCAGCTTTGACACGGTCATGCATCCCCGAGGAGGTCCACATTTCAAAACTCTCCTGGCAGCGCTGCCCCAAACCAGGTCATGCCCTGACCAACACAAGCCCAACGGTTGTCCCGCGAGCCCTGTGCAAACACCCTGTAGAATTATCGACCCCACAGATGAAAGGGTTTTATTGCAAACACTTCATTTTTTTTTCTGTTTGAACACGAAACAACATCCGCACAGAATAAAGACCCACATCTTTATTGCATGCAACGTAGAAGATGAAGTTATGTTTATTTTTAATCCTTTCATGGAATCTGGCCAGAGTTGACGAAATCTGGAGATATTACTTCCGGAGAAAATTGAATTCTTCAGTTTCTTGTTGCACCGTTCATGAAGACCCCAGACCTCATGGGAGGTTTTTCCATCCCCTCATTTGTAGCCCTTCCTACCACTGAGAGTGTCTTTGAGTATGGAAGAAAAACATCTCTTTTAGAAACTTTTCTGTTTTTCTACTTCGCTTACACAATATTCTGTAAGTGGCCACTTCTGTGTACATGTTATGTTTGCTCAAGTGAGCCGAGCCCAGCTCCCTAGTCCCGAGGTGGTTGTCACTGGCAGGCTTGGAGTTTGTGTTACGTAAGGACTGATGGCATTCATTCCAGGGCCACCTGGTACTGCCATGAACTTACAAGACTGAGCTCTGTGCGAATCTTTATACCTCATAGTGCTTCTCGAGTTACTGTTACACACACCAGTCCCCACTGACCCCGCAGCAAAGCCGGTTCCTCGCCCTGCACGAAGGCTGTGCAATGAGCCCATTGCAGGAGCTACCTCCAGGCAGCCGCAGCCCCACAGCTCGGTCACCCTCGCCAGGCAGCCTGTGGCAGGGCGGGGCCTCCAAAGTAGCAGGTCAGAAAGAAAAGCAGCACCACTGTTCTCACAAGTTTGGGGAACTTAAGCCTTTCCTTAGGAAAGTAAATGCTGCACAGGTTTCTTCTCCTCCACTTGGCAACAAAACAAACAAACAAACAAATGACTCAAGCTTACTGGCTCTTCACCCCCAGTGAGGCAGGCAGTGGTAGACTTAACGACCGTGTGGGAGAAGCACAGAGAAGAAATTATCTCTGGGATACACTGAGTTCCAGAGAAAGCAGTTAAATCAGAATGGTCTCATACACTGTGCTAGAATCTAGGGGCATTTTTCTTCAGCTCTGTTTCACAATCAGAAAAAAAAATCACTCTTTATCCCACTCTTTTGCAATTTTATTTCACAACAAGCAACGAGATGTTTAGAGAGCATCTCCCGTTATTAGCACTGTTGTCCCAGGCTCAGAGTGTGCCTCTGGGCGACACCACCCTGAGCGACTTTGTAGGCATTGTCCCTTTTTATGTTCTCGAAAAGGACACAGGACGAATGTCGCTGTCCGTGTTTCTGCAGGCAAGTACGCCAAGGGCTAGGATTTGAATTGCGGGCTCTGCCCCACGTCTACGAAGCTCCCTCACGCTGGCGACTTCGTCGAAGACTGTCCGTCGCCTTTCTGCGTCTTTTCGGAAATCCAGCCCACGTACTCAGCAACTTTGGTGTAGACGCCGGGTTGTTCTTTGCGGGCACAGCCTTCGCCCCAGCTGGTGATGCCCACCAGACGCCACATTTCGTTGCGCTGACAAACTAAGGGGCCGCCTGAATCTCCCTGGGTCACAGTGGGCAGAGGAATAAAGTGATAGAAGGTTATGACCGACATGGCTTGAAAAGTCCGTAGCCACACCACACACACCACACGCGTGCAACCTCTCGCAGCTCAGCAGGTGTCTCCCAGGCTTCATTAGCTGTCCAGTGTGGTGGGAATTATCTAATTCAATAACGTATGGTCCAAAGAAGTTTTGACATCATCCCTTCACTGTCAAGTAAGTCTACTAGTCTTACGTTTTAGTACAATTGCTACATGGACAATTGTCCTCCCACAAATATAGCGTGTCCCTGCATAGATTGGGACGTGTTTTTATATATGTATATCTGTTTTATATACATTCAACTTTTAGAGGTTACATATGAAATTATCAGATCGTTTGGCTCAGCTTTTAAAAACAACGATAATGAAATATACTACCGGAAAATGCATTTTGAAATGAATTTTTCTCACGTAAACTATTGCATTTTTTTTACAGGACCAAATGCATTACCTTACAAGCGTCTTTCCCCCCTTCTTTATAGCCAGCACAGATCATCCGTTTGGTTATTTCATAATCTCTGTATCTTTTCTGGCATTCTTCGTTTGTCACCAAAGGAATTTTTGCCTTTTGTAGGATACTTTGGATTTCACCTGCGAAATAACCAATATGTGGCTTCGGAAGGAAGAAATACAGTCCGTATGAAAAGGAGACGGAAGTCTTAAAGCAAATCAGAATGATGAACTTTGCCTTAAGCGCCCCCGCGCCCCCCCGCCCCGTGGATGTGAGGAGCAATGGTGCGTAGGGAGAGTTAGGGGAGCAGGGGGCTCTGCCCTGGCCTTGGAGGCTGGGTCGGGACGACCTCGGAACCCGAGTCTCGCCAGAGACTCTACGCCCAGGGTCTCCGCTCTTCTCTCAGCTCAGTGGGAGCTCCTCAGAAACCCCTTCTCACTGGCAGCAACCCAAAGGACTGAAAGGTTTTACCTTACAGCTTTTGTTTCATATATCCAAAATGATGATTTTGAAACATTTGGTTTTTTGAAAAAATAAACCAGATCTCTGGCAATAGAAGAGTATCTCGTTCTTCAAGTAAATGCAAGTGAACCTGAAGAACAGTTTATTTACAAATAAATTCTACCAGGAACCAGTTAAGGTTACGTTTAAATCTTCCTGTCTCTGTTAGTTAAAAAGTATTGGAAAAATGTGAATGAGTTGAATAAAGGACTGAATCAGAATGAAAGAATGATAAAGATTGGCAAGTGATATCTTTTTGTAGAAAATGATGCAAATACTGTATGCTATTGTATCTATCAGGAACATAATTTTTGGAAAGGAAAAATGATTGGTTTCCCGAAAGTTTCAAGAGCAGTTGAAATGCCCCAAGTACCCATAAGTAGGGGTTCTTAACTTAGGATCCATAGACAGAATTCACATTGTCTATAAACCTGGGTAGGAAAAAAATATATCCTTATTTTCACCAGCCTCCCACTGAAGTCTAACACTCCCTTCACCTATGAATACGGGCTACAGTCTCGGGAGTACCAGCCATATCTGTGCCTCTCCCATCAGTGTAAGTCACAGGTATGTTCCGATCACGTCACAGTCATGGAAGATAACCAAAATGATCGTTTGTGCTCATCACAATTTCAAAGCCACGGTAGTTACTAGAACAACGTGCTATTTAATATATTAATAAAGAAGCACATGCTTTACGACATCATAACTTCTTAAAGGTGTTTTTTTGATAACTGTCTTATAATTTCATTGGTTGCTTTTGTAACCCTGTATTTTTATTTAAGCATTTAAAAACATCATTCAAGAAGTCGTTTGCAGGCTTTATCAGACTGCAGGAGAGATGCACTGGAAAATAAATGAATAGACGCCACCACTCAGAGACAGTGCCCACCATCTCTATAGACACCCGCCGGTACCCCTGGTCACTCACAGCCAGGGGAGGCTGTGCCCTCGGGGCGTGGGAACACCACTGACACTAAGAACAGGGCGGGCTGGAGTGGGCTTTGTCAGCCCTCCGTGGGACCAACTCTTCATGGGAAGTCAAACAAATGGGCTTTTATACAGGGTAAGATGCTCAACAGTTTACCTTATTTATCCTTCCAGACCCAGAGAAATACTTTCTCAAGGGTCACTGAGCAAGTCTTTGAGAATCAATAGATTGGAAAGATCGCCAGTTTGGATGACGTTCAACAAAGCGCCAGCTGAATGGGTCCAGGCCGCACGCGCCAGCCCCTGAGACCTGCTTTGGGAACAACGGCGCCACCCAGCCCGCGGTACCTCTCTCCCTGGTGAAGCCCCAGCCGGTGATCCAGCAGTTAGAGTCCATTACGTTTGCGTCGTCTCTGGAGGGGAGGCATATCGGCTTCTGGAATTCTGAAAGGTGATTTTGAAATCAGAGTTTGGCGAGAGCTTTAGATACTGATGTGTATGTAACACACACACTTTCTTCTCCCATATTCCCTCGACTGCTGCTATTACTGAGTCGCACCAAGGATGATGCTTTGGCCTCCTGCTCCATTCCTAAGGTCAGAAATTCAAGAAAATGTCTCCCCTCAGAGCCATTTCCACATGACATTTTCGGTGTTAAATTTTTTGGACTGAATTAAAAACCTCAGAAGCCAAATTTATCATCAGAAGCATTTAGGAGTTCTGTCTCAAACTGCGTATGATACTTTTAATGGCAATCGAGTCTCTAGCGCTGTTTCAGGCGCCTTTTTAAGTGCTCTAACTTACTAACTGACTTAGCTATTTTGACAACCCAATGGGGTCACTATCGTGCCCACTTTACTGATGAGGAAATTTGCGGCGCTAAGAAATAAAAGCAGCCTGCCCAAGGTCACTGAACCGCTAGTGGATGCAGTGGGCATCTAGGAGCTGCAGGGCTTGTACCTGGAAGGCAGCACCTCCGGCCGCCACGTGCCTGTGTCCCCAGCGCCTCCCCCAGCATCAGTCTCTCCTCCGCCCACACTACACCTGGAAGTTAGTATCTGGTCCTGCTCGCCCTCCTCCGGCCTCGAGATGCCCAAGCCCAAAGCACAGGTAGTTCCGCTCCACGTGCCGAAGGAAGCCATGCTTCCCGGATGCCGAGGACACTTCTGTGTCCATCAGTTCAGTAGTGGACAGGCGGTTGTATTCCTGCCTGAAAGAACTAATGGACATTCCTTGCCCCTGCTAGAGGAGGTTTTTATGTCCAGTCCGAAGTCTTACCTTCCCTGGCCATCCTCACCTTTCCCCCAACTCCACCCACCAGAAAATAAAGACGTTCTCTGCTGATTCCGCCCTCTCCTTCAAGTGGATGTGGACACCTAAACCAGAGCTCCGGCTGCACAGTTTCTCCTTCAGCATGCAACATACCAGTAAAATTCAAAGGAGCCTCGAGCTTTATTAAGGCAATGTCATGCGTGTTTTCTGCGATACTATAATTTTCGTGAATAATAATCTCTTTGACCTGGGAGAAAGGTGTTTCTTTTGTGATCGCTGACAAGTTTAAGAGGCCACCATAAATGCGCCACGGATCCAAATAGGAGAGCCTGGGAAAGAAAAAGAAACATCTGCTGGAAACCAGAAAGGCCGGTCCTTTGTCCTTCTGCTTCACCATCATCCACAATGACAAACAAACACATACACACACACACACACACACACACACACACACACACACACACACACACAGCCTTGGGAAGAGAATGCTGTACACGACACGGTTCTACTGGCCTAAGCTCTCCTCCTGGGAATTTGTCATCACCCACAACAGCCGTCTTGGATCTCTGAAGATTTAGTTAATAGCTTCGGAAATACACATGGATGGGATGATTTCACATTTGTTGTGAGTAAAAATATAAAAATGTCGCTGTCCCACTCTGGGGGAAACTGGTCGGGAGGGATTCTAGCAGTGTGTCCCGGGAAAGTCATTCTCAGCTCACCGATCCTGAAAGCGACTGCTCGTGAAATTCAGCAGATTCGGGAAGTCAGACTGACTTCACACAGGCCCCCTCCGACAGGGCAGGGCAGGGGGAGGGGCTTGAGTGCCATTCAAAGTCTATCTATGTTTTGGGAAGTGTGAACATTTAAATGAACTCTCTAAACATGATAAGATCCAAAGTAACCCTGAAGTTGTTCTTGAAAGCAGTCCTGGGTAAAGATATGGAAAATGCTTATGATCAAGTGAGTGGGGCGAGACAGGCACGAAACTCCAGCTCTTACAAACACAACGCTGAGACTTCGGGACTAAAATTTCTTAGTGTAAATAGGTATAGCCACCATGCCAAACAGTATGGAGGTTCCTCAGAAAGTTCAAAATAAAGCCAGGTGACCCAGCAATTCCTCTTCCAGGCACACATCCGAAGGAAGCAGGATCACCATCTCGAAGAGATAACCACACCCCACAATCACTGCAGCATTATTTACAATAGCCAAGACGTGGAAAAAACCTAGGAGCCCATCACTAGCTGAGTGGCTGTAGAAAATGTGGCATGTACCGTGAAATATTATATAGCCACAAAAAGAATGGAAATCCTGCCATCTGCAACAACAAGAGTGACACTTGAGGGCATCACCCTGAGTGGAATAATCAGACAGAGAAAAAATACTGTGTGACCTCACCTGTGGAATCTCAAAAACCCTGAACTCAGAGAAACAGAGGGCAGGTCCGTGGCTGGCTCAGGGGAAAGGTGGGGGTGGAGTAGGTCAAAGGTTACAAACTTTCAGCTACAGGATGAATGCATTCTGGGGAGGCGAGGTGCCGGGTGGCGGTTCTACTGTACTGGTGAATGATACTGTGTTGTGTACTTGAAAGTCGCTAAGAGAGTAAATCTCGAAAGTTCTCACCATACACATGAAACATTGTAGCTATGTGAGATGATGGATGTATTAACTAACCTCCCCATGGTCATCTTTCTACAACACATACGTATATCACATCCCTATGCTGTACACCTTACATTTATACAACGTTATATGTCAACCATATCTCAATAAAGCTGGGGGGAAAGGGGGAAAATTCTCAATCCCGAATTGGGACTTATTTGGGGAAAAGGGAAACAACTATTTCCAGTCACAGGATCTTCCTTCCAGGCCAGCAGCCTCCCCCTCAGCAAGGTCATGGGCACAGAGCGAACCCGGAGACTCGTGCTGCTGTGGGCAGCTGGGCTGGAGGCCTGCCCTGTTCGGCTTGGCCCTCAGCAGCAGCACCCTGTGCGCTGTTCCCAGCACCTTTTAGACAGGGAAAGGGGGCATTCCACGGAAACAAAAATATTTCTTGAAAGAGATCAAGTGTCTTTTATTTTGCTGTGATTGTCTCTTTTGCTCATTCATATGCTTTTTCCATCTGTACATGTATTTAATCACATCTTATATTTTCTGAGTCACTTTATGTCCCAGGAATAGTGCTGAGCGGTTTAAGTGTGTCACTTCATCCTCCAGTAATCTTAGGAATTAGACACTGCTGTCATTCATATTTTACAGACAGAAAATACAAGCGAGAGAGAGTTGCAAATTGCACCAGGTCAGCCATGGCTCTGACATGAGGCGGAGCTGCGACTCAGAGCTGCGACTCCAGCCTTGTCCTACCCACCAAATCTGAGCTTTTGCAACTCGAAAATCCTGTTGTGCCCACTATGTGCCTGATAGAGGAGAAATATTATGTTAGATCATGTTACCTGAAACAGATAGAGTAATAAACTATTGAATTTTTGCTTTCTTATTTACTAGTAATGTTACTCAGTAACGTGTGAATCCATGGGCCTGAAAACGCAGGCTTTGAAGAAGCAGTTGGGACATTTCGTAGTTACTCTGTAAAGAAGCACACTTTTGCAAACACACCCCACGCTGGTCCGGTGGGTCCCACTGGCGGCATTGGAATACCATCTCTGCTTTAAAATGCTTTGTATTCAATGAGAATAAACTTCCATTGAGAAAATGACAAGATGATTGAGAACTCAGTGCAGGTTCTTCAAAATGAAAAGCAAGAAAGGACGCTGGATACAACGCAGCCAAAACTTACCCGTTGAAGCAATGGGCGGCAGTGAGGACCCACCGGTCCCCAATGATGGAGCCTCCACACACGTGCTTCTGGGTTTTCAGTTTCACTTGCAGGCTGACCTGCCAGGGCCACTCTCCCCAGGAAGAGTTGGTTCCTCCGACGATGCGCATGGCTGTTTTTGTGGTGCAGCCTGAAAGGAGAGTGTTGAAGGTAGTGGCTGGATTAGAGGGAAAGCAGCCAAGAAAGGCGAGACCCACAATTCCTTCACAGAAGACAACGTGCGCTAAGAAAACAGCGCAGGCGTCCTTATATGGTTCTTTGAAAAGGCGAGGTTGACTCACCCGTGTCATCTCCACTTCTACACAGTCTCAAAGAATAGCCGGACCTTCCTTGTGTCCCGTATGTAATCCGGGTTGGGGAACCATCCTCAGAGAACCGTAAGGAGCACTTGCACCTGCGAGAAATGATCGGGACAAAGATGCAACCTTCACAGATGGGCAGGTTTCATGAAACTGTCTGCCGACTGTTTCTGAAAGATAAATTCTCCCGGGCTGGCATAGCTCAGTGGATTGAGCATGGGCTGTGAACCAAAGTGTCGCAGGTTCGATTCCCAGTCAGGGCACATACTTGGGTTGCAGGCCATGACCCCCAGCAACCAAACATTGATGTTTCTCTCTCTCTCTCTCTTTCTCCCTCCCTTCCCTCTCTAAAAATAAATAAATAAAATCTTAAACAAAAAAAGAAAGATAAATTCTCACTAACGTGTCTCCCCGACAGTCTTCTGGGCGTAGAGAGTATGTGAAAAACTGACAGCGGACCGTCTCTGTGCAGGTCTCTTGGCAATCACTCGCTCCTTTAACAAAGGTCACGCTCAGTTCTTCCCCCCCAAAATCAACTCCTGCGTACACTCTTGAATGGCAGGGCTCTGTGGCAATTAGAAACACAGGAAGATGTAAAATGAAAACAGCAAGAAGCCACATTCACACAAGTCTCTGGTACATTGAGGATTGTTTCATCACCATGACTTGTTAGAAGAGCATAAAATCAGTCACATTTTATGTATCATGGTTGAGTCACATTACCAGGCAAAGTTCTTTTGCAGGTTAGGAGGCTATATCCAGACACAGCGTTTTCCTGAGGCGTGGGGGCGCCTGGGGTTCCGCTTTTGGAAGTCTTAAGTAAACAAACATTTCTATTTTTTAAAAAAAAGCAAAAGAAAGGAAACAGCATTAAAGGCAAATAAAAAGCACTTCAAGTCAAAAAAAAAAGAGAATACCTCTGCAAATTTTATTCTTCTGAGAAATTCTCTTCAAAGCAATTCGGACTGCAGGATTCTAATAAATCACAGCAATTAAGTGTCAATCAAGCCACATCTACCTCTGAAGAAAACTGATAGGTGCAGATAACATAAAACAGGAGAACGGTAAGGTTCCACCCTCTGGTTGGGAAAAAAGAGAAAGAGAAAGGAACAAATTCTGGGGTTTATGCTGCTGACAATGTTGTGTAACAAGATAATCTTCTCTTAGCTCCATGGTGTGTGTGTGTGTGTGTGTGTGTGTGTGTGTGTAAAGGGTGGGTTATCTGAGGGTGAGCAGGTCAAACCAGAACCTTAATCAGAATAAACAGGGCTCTGGTTTCTGAAACAGAGGATTTCGCACGAATGAGTTTAAATGGTATGCTGCTGACAGGTGATTTTGACTTCAAGCTGACACAAAATGTTAAGGTCAGTAAGAAAGGGATCTAATCCTTCTTTCTCCATGGCTGTCATTTCCTTGCCTCAATGGTGTGTTTAAGTACAAGAAGACAGGAAGAGAAATCTGCTAATCTCTTAAGTAATCTGCACCTGGCAGAAAAGTCTGGTCCCTACTTAAATGGTGGGTATCAAGCATTTAGAGAGAAATGAACAAAGCTGTAAAAAAAAAACCAAACCCTAAACTGTAAAGTTAAAGCGATGCCAGGACAGCAGCAAATGCTGCTTCGTGTTCTGACTCACCTTTGTGATTCTGTGGGCGAGGCGTCTGTATGGAACGTAAAGAAGAGGCAGTTGGGGTGGTACGTGCAAATGGTTCGACACACAAGGGCATCCGGGGCGATCACTCGGGCCACATCCTTGTCCAAAAACGCGAGGTGTTGGAACATGTTCATGTGGCAACCTGTGAACTCACAGAGGGAAGGTGTTGCTCGGTGAATGACACATTGCTAAATGTGCATGTCCTGTGTCATCGTAACTACGGAAAGGATGACTCTTCATAGCACTAAACATCCTCAGTGAAAAGACGTCAACATTCCCCCAACCTTGTTTGCCATTTGGAAGAAGGGAAAATGTGTGAACTCTCATGAAAGACAGATTGCTAGGCCAGAGGAGTGAAAAAGCTCATCCTCTGCTCCTAGCTCCATCCTAACCAGTACAAAACACTTAGGTTGCTCAGCATGGATTTATATTTTCTATATATTACCTTGACCCTGAATTTCCAGCCTTAGGAACATGAAGTTTTGTGTTCTATTCTCCTGAATATTATGAAAAAAGATTTTAATAAAAAGATATTAAGAAAAATATTAGGTAGCTAACAAAAATGCCATGTGCCCGTTGAAGTTAGAACAGAAGAAACTGAAGTCTACTTTCATTATTCTTATTTAGTCTTATTTTACTTACATTTTTTGTGTACATATTATTGCACTCAGTTTACTCAATTTAATAACACATAAGTTCCATTAAAATTATAGACGCTTGGACTTCTGGACAAGATGGAGGCATAGGTAGATATACTGTGCCTCCTCACACAGCCGAAAGAAGGACAACAACAAATTTAAAAACAGAAAACAACTGGAACTGCCAGAAAATCAAACTGTATGGAAGTCAGACAGCCAAGGAGTTAAAGAAGAAACATTCATACAGATCAGTAGGAGGGGCGGAGACGGGCAGCCAGGCAGAGAGGACTCACATCAAGGTGGCCTCTGGAGGACCAGGCAGTCCCACATTTGCTTGTGTTTTAGATAAACTTGGGGGGGGGGACAGGGTACGAGACAGACCTAGCAACCTCAGGTTCCAGGGCAGGGAGGTAAAGCCTCGAAAACCTCTGACTGAAAACACCTGTGGGGGTTGAGGTGGCAGGAAGAACTACCTGTCTCACAGGAGAGTTTGTTGGAGTGACCTACAGGGTCCTGGAATATACACAAACCCACCCACCAGGGAATCAGCACCAAGAGGGCCCAATTTGTTTGTGGGTAGCAAGGAAGTAACTGAAAGCCAGTGGAGAGCTGGGCAAGTGGCATTGTTCCCTCTCGGATTCATCCCCCACATATAGTGCCTCAATGCCATGATGTGAGTTGCCTGCCCTGGTGAATACCCAAGGCTCCACCCCTTACTATGTAACAGGTGCACTGAGACAAAAAAAAAATAGCCCAAATGAAAAAACAGATAAAAACTCCAGAAAAATTACAACTGAGTGATGCAGAGATAGCCAACCTATCAGATGCACAATTCAAAACACTGGTGATCAGGATGCTCACAGAACTGGTTGAGTATGGCCGCAAAATAGAGGAAAGAGTGAAGTCTATGAAAAGTGAAATAAAGAAAAATGTACAGGGAACCAACAGTGACCGGAAGGAAACTGATACTCAAATCAACAGTTTGGAGCAGAAGGAAGAAAGAAACATTCAACCAGAACAGAATGAAGAAAAAAGAATTCAGAAAAATGAGGAGAGGCTTAGAAACCTCAGGGACAACTTTAAATGTTCCAACATCTGAATCATAGGGGTGCCAGAAGGAGAAGAGGGAGAACGAGAAATTGAAAACTTATTTGAAAAAACAATGAAGGAGAACTTCCCTAATCTGACAAAGGAAATGGACTTCCAGGAAGTCCAGGAAGTTCAGAGAATCCCAAAGAAGTTGGACCCAAGGAGGAATGCACCAAGGATATCATCATTACATTACCCAAGATTAAAGATAAGGAGAGAATCCTAGAAGCAGCAAGAGAAAAGGAGACAGTTACTGACAAAGGAGTGCCCATGAGCCTATCAGCTGATTTCTCAAAAGAGACCTTACAGGCAAGAAGGGGCTGGGAAGAAGTATACAATCATGAAAGGCAAGGACCTACATCCAAGATTACTCTATCCAGCCAAGCTATCATTTAGAATGGAAGGGCAGATAAAGTGCTTTCCAGATAAGGTCAAATTAAAGGAGTTCCTGATCACCAAGCCCTTATTATATGAAATTTAAAAGGGACTTGTCTAAGAAAAAGAAGGTAAAAACTATGAACAGTAAAATGACAATAAACTCACAACTGTCAATAACCAAACCTAAAAAACAAAAAACTGAGCAAACAGCTAGAACAGGAACAGAATCACAGAGATGGAGATCAGATGGAGGGTTATCAGCAGGGGAGGGGGAGAAAGGGAGAAAAGGTACAGGGAGTAAGAAGCATAAATGGTAGGTACAAAATAGGCAGGGGGAGGTTAAGAATAATGTAGGAAATGGCGAAGCCAAAGAACTTATATGTGCGACCCATGGACGTGAACTAAGGTGGGAGGATGCTGGTAGGAGGGGCGGTGCAGGGCAGAGGGGAATACAGGGGGGCGGGAAATGGGACAACTGTAATTGCATAATCAATAAAATATATTTAAAAGAAAAAATAAAATAAATAAATAAAATCTTAAAAAAATAAAATTATGGAAGCTTAATAATGATCACAATTATGGGAAAGACAAAAAGAACTTAAATGACCATAGTTAGATTAGGAGAGAGTCCCCCACCATAAAATAATATCTGCTTAGTTGCAGGCTGGGAAATTAGAGCTCAACTATTTAAATCTTTCTTTTTTCAATAAAAACATATTACGTGTCATCTATGTCAATCTCTTAACAGTATCCTCTCAAGGACGCCCCTGACAAGTTGTTCAAGTCTTGCTTAGAGGTTCACACTGATAAGGAGCTCACTGCCTGATGACGAGGCCCGTGTCTTCTGGACTGCCCTTGGTGTTAGAGATTCGCCATGTTTTTTTCACAGCAGTCTTTGCTTAGATATGCCTTACGGAACCACTCAGATTCTTCTGATCTCTCTCCCGATGGCAGGTCTTCAACAAACAAAAAACTAAGACCGTCATCCTGACTCTTGTTCTGGTTAAATATCTTTAGCTTCCTCATTTAACCATTTTTTATTTTCCTTTACGTCTAGATATCTTACGATCCTGGTTACGTTCCTTCAAAGTGCTGCATGCAAAATGCGGATCACAGAACTGGGTGCAACTGTCCAGTCACGCTCTGCATGGAGAGTGACTGCTGTTGGACACAGGGCTTCCTCTGGGATGAGGAGAACGTTCTGGAACTGCATGGCGGTCACCCTCGAGAAATTTTCTGAATATGCTGAAAACCACTGAATTGTATCTCTTAAACTGATAAGAACAGATAGTACACTTGATCTCAGCCAAAAGGCCGAAAAGCAATGAATTGTATATTTTAAAAGGGTTAATTCATGTTATGTAAATTATATGACAAATTCTAGAAACTATGAAAAATGTATACTATATTAAAACACTCCCACTTGAAACGGAAAAAAGATATGAATATTAAAAATGAAGTAATCGGTACCATTTGGACCACTCCATCTGGTACACATCAGGGAGGGGGTGTGCTGCGGCCGAGAAGAAACAAGAAAAGCGAGGCATCGTTACTCGCTTCCCAGTGTTCCATGGAGGGGCCCTTACTCAGCACCCGCTGCGGGGCTTGGTGCAGGGCTGGCACTCGATGCCTGGTGGACTTGGCTATCAGCGACCTGGTTGCAAGAGCAATTTACGAGTAACACCCTGATATGCTAAATAGAGTGTTATGGCAATTTTCTGGATGATTCCACTGAACTTATGTCTATGTCTGAAATGACAGAGTTTCATTGATTCATTATGCTGGAGCCATTTGACTAGATAATGGACATCACCAAGAAATGACCCTGTAGTTTTCTCTACGTACCACTGCACTAGCTCCCCGGTGCTGCAGTAACAAACGACCATCAGCTCAGTGGTTTGGAACAGTACAAGTCTATCCTCTCACAGGTTCTGGAGATGAGACGCCTTACTGAGCTAACGTCAGGACGTTGTCAGGGCTTCGTTCCTTTGGGAAGCTCCAGAGGAGGACCCCCTTCCTTGCCTTTTCCTTCTAGAGGCCACCTGCCTTCCTTGGCTCGTGGACCCTCCTCCATGTCCCAGCCAGTGGTGCCGCAGCTTCCAGTGTCTCTCTGACTGAGCCCTCTGCCTCCCTCTTTCTCTTTTAAGGACCCTTGTCACTTACTGGGCCCGTACACATAATCCAGACTAATGCCCAACGTCAAAGTTCTTAACTTAATCACATCTGCAAAGCCCTTTTTTGCCACGTCAGGGGACATAATCACGGGTTGCAGAGAATAGAATGTGAACACATTTGGGGAGCTCTTACTCCACCCACTACAGTTATGTAATCAAACGGTAGCCATGGCATTACCAATTTCTGAGAGTGCACAGGGCTTCAGGGAGAATCCAGACACCACGTTTTTCAGCGCCTTTATACTGGTCGGTGTTCCTGTTGCACTGTGCTTTAACAGGCACCTGTTCCTGAAGGTGAAGAAAGGGGGTTACTTTGCTTCCTAAAATGCAAAGTGCACGCAGCCGTCCATTTCATGGGCTGTGGAAAATAAACAAAGCAACCTGCACAATGACTTTGATAATGGGTGGACTAGGGGTTTGCGTGTCTAATGAAATAGACGTCTTCATCCTCTGCAGAGGAAGACGAAAGGTGAGAATGGGGTGGGAGACCTCATTCTATAGGACTTTATTCTACTGAAGCCTCATTCCACAAAGCACAGCAGTCTGGGAACCAAATGGAAAGCACTCTCTCAAGGGAAAATAACACTGAAATTAAATAAATGGGGAGAGTGTGTAGGTCTAAAAGCCCTGTTTAGTTTTCAGTTGGAAAATAAAAAAAAAGATTTAGAAGAATGCAGTTAAATCATGAAACCACTACGGTAAAGAACAAACACGAGGAATTTTACCCACCGGTGCTCTGCATTGGCAAATGCTTGGGTGGCGTAGGTGAAGAAGTTGCAGTGAATGCTGTTGGTGCACCTTCTTTGGCATTCTTCAACACTTTCCACCTTGGATGCATTAAAATTGTCTCCTCTCATGTCAATTCCTTCATAAGTGTCTTTGTGGCAAGCTGTACACACAAAACGCATAGAGCTCATTCAGCTTGCCTTCTAGAAACTGGTGGTCAGTTTGGGCAGTGTAGTTTCGAAAGGTGACGCCCTATTTAGGCCACTGCTCTACTAGTTAGGGGATTTAGAATTTTTTATTACATCGTCCAGTGAGCAAAGTCTGCTTGAAACCAACACACGGCGATGTTTTGGAGTCCTGGCATGGCAAACGGGTTACTTGGCTTCTAAAACCGCAAGGTGTGTGTAGCAACGTGGGTAACACTTTATGGCGAAATGAGCAGTGAGCGGTGGAAGACACACACGGGCCCTGACGCCATGTGCTGGGGGTTTGCCCCAGTAACTAAACTGACAGCCTTCAACCTCTTGCATGAGTGAAGGAGCGCCTCACTTCTTGGCTTATCTCCCCGTTTTCAGCTGCTCCTGTCTGATCGCGAACTGCACCTGCAGGCCCTGTCATTGACACCTGGGTGTGACATCACTGTCACAATATGCACAGAGTTCTTGTGCACGCACGCTGAAACCATTTCCATCCTTGCTTTAAAGTTTTCTTAAATTCCACTTCCCCCCTTCCAATTCAAATGTATCTCATACAAAAAAGGATAGATCATTCTTTTTACAGACAATGAACCAAATTGATGAATCAGGCTCTTTTTTAAATTAAAGATTCAGATTTGTTCATGAGACTCCCAGTTAGGGAAAGCAGGAGTATAAACCATAGTCTATTAGATGTAATTTTCTACTCCTAATATAGTTGAAGAAGTCATAAAACTAGATTTAATGGTGGGGATGACAGAAAATACGTAAAGTATTAAAAAAATGATTTACTGAGTCACCAAGCTGTAACCCTGGACAACACCCCCAAAGAGTGTTAAAGGCCCCCTGGAGAAAGGACAAAGTCACCCCTGGTTGAGAGCCAGCAGAAACCACAGGGTGAAATGGGGAGAGAGTACCTCTCTGTTCTGTTTAATATTCTTATCTGGGATCCAGGGAAGGCCACTGTGTGGATGTCTGTTCTATTTCTCACCTCCTACACCATAGCGCGAACCTCATAAATAAATAATAGGGGCTCACGAAGCATGTGTTGACAAGACCAGAGGATATGTCCGAAGTACTGTCCCTCTCTCTGTCATGCCTCAGAGGGCTCCCTGCCAAACACCCATGGAAATACAGAGTTTGAGCAGAAGCCGTTCTAAGGTCGACTCATCATTCATTCAAACTGAGCTGAGAAACCCACACCTTACCACTTATTCGATGACCGCATTGCTTTAAGGAGGATCCAGAAATTGCACCTGTCCGTGACATCCTTGGCAGGGTTCCTGTAACACTGTCTTTCAAGAAGCAACCAAACCTGTTTTTAAAAGTAGCTTCACTTAGGAAATAGAATAATAAACACATGTCGAGGAGATGTCTAGCATTTTTAGACATTCATAAATTTAACTGGAAGTAAGGAAAATAGGATAGCTTCCCTGGCACTTGCTGGAAAGAACATTCCTAAAGGCAATTGCATAATATCTAACAGTCTTTGTAGTACCTAACATCAGTATATTTTTCCTACACATTCACGATTTTAAGCACAGAAAGTCAATCATGTTAAAGAGTTCATGATTTTTCCTGTGTCCCCAAATTTGGGGAGAATTATGTTTCTACTTGGTGATTATTTCTGTACATACTTTTATTTACATAAAAAATTAAATCAGCGCTGGCTGGCGTAGCTCAGTGGACTGAGCTCAGGCTGCTAACCAAGGCATCGCGAGTTTGATTCCCAGTCAGGGCACATGCCTGGGTTGCAGGCCATGGCCCCCAGCAACCGCACATTGATGTTTCTCTCTCTCTTTTTCTTTCTCCCTCCCTTCCCTCTCTAAAAGATAAATAAATAAAATCTTTAAAAAGATACCTTTCCTTACTATTTAAAAAAAAGAAATTAAATCAGTCATGAGAGATGGAACTGTGTTCATCTCGCTTATTACCTCTTCTGTCCACACTTTTTTTGTCTTTAATGTCAATTTTGATGGTGATTTCATTATTCAGAAGGGTTCTAGAACCTGACTTAATTTCTTACTTAAAATGTTAACACCTGTCATACACAGTCTGGGTTTTCTGTACAAGTTTAGCATGTAGCATCAAGGGATGGTTGTCTAATCCCTAGTTTTTAAATTCAAATACAGGGAAGATTTAAAAAAAAGAATGATAAATGTGGGAATGGGAATAATGAAGAAACATTCATTATGGATACTGATCAAAATTAAAGAAAATTATAATGAAACTATGGCTGAATTTAGGTAACTTCATGAAGTAACAAGACTTCTAATTATGAACTACTTTTCCAGTGCTTTTACGTTTCCAAATTACCAGTTAATAATATATGTTCATCCCCACCCGCACACACCGTAGGTGGTCAAACTGTTCACTGCACACACCATTCAGACCTGCCCTCTCCGAAGGTCACCAGCTCTGGATCCTACTCAATTATATTTGCAACAAAATGCTTGCTCCCTTGTCCATTTTCTTAGGATAGTGCTATTCACACATGTGATCACAAGTCCTTGTGCAGGTGAAAGATTCACCCCTTGTTAAATCCTGTCTTGAATCAGTCTCTAACCCAGTGATCCACAGGCATCTTCCTTGTAAGCCTTTGATAGAAAATGACTAGCATCTGCTACTTTAAGTGAATGCAACAATTATTTAAAATGCAGATTTCTAGGTCCAGGAGACTTTGGTTCGGTAGGTCTGGGCTTCAGCCTAAGACAGTGTTTACATGAGAACCACTCTAGGTGACTCCTTGAACCCCACTTGAGAAACATAACCCTGTGATATGCTAAATAATTTTGTACGCAACTGATTCCATTTTGAAAAACGATGGGCTTCCCCAGTAACAAAATGTCACTCTTTACCTTTTGTCTGTGTCACTGGTCGAACTTTCCGGAAGAAAGCTGAAGAGCAAGCACCTCGGGTGAAACGTGCACACCGCCCGGCAGTGCTCGGCGCTGGGGCTGTACACGGCGCTGACATCGCCGCCTCTGAAGAAGACGTCCTTATGGAGCTGAGTGACGCACCCTGGGGTGTGATCATTGTGGGGGGAAAACAACATTAATTTGGAATGCATACACACAGTATTCATCAAAATGTATTTGTGTTCTGATCCTTCCTACTCCCTCGACGGAATACCTAAAGATCTGTGCTACCTGACTTTAATTACAGAGGCAGGGCATAACATCTTTGGACAATGCGGGATGTTAAAATCTTTCTATGGGTACTTCTGTATAAAAACACTTGGGTGATTTTTATTAAATCATAACAATAATTTGCACATAAATTGTCCTCGAGAAAACTAAAGCCTAGCTTGGCTTCTCCCCGTTGCCTAATGCGCTATGAAAGTATCATGCCTTAAAAATAATGATGTATGGTCTCTTTTCCAAAAACAGTTGCATAACAAACATCCTCCCTAGATTCTCACGATCGCTCTGTAAGGGAAGCTAGAGACAGGCTCTATCATGGGCGGCTGACTTTTTTTTTTTTTTTTTTAAGAAAGCAGGTAGCTGACTGAGTTTCAAGGCAGGACAGATTTATCTGAGCTCCGCAGGGCTAACAAATGCCTTGGGACATGAACGCAGCTCTTCTGCCTTTCAAACTTGCTCCCTTTTATTGTCCAGCATTAAATGTTCCTCATCTCAGTGTAATTCAAGCAAATGAACAGTTACTGGGTACTTATTACTTTAAGAATGAGTGCAGGGCAGGCAGTATTTTCTCAGTCTCTATCAGCTCATTTTTTAGTTAGTTTAAGCAAATGCATGCATATGCCAAGTTGAAAATACATTTCAAGCTGTTTGCTGTTTGGAATTGTCCCCAGTTCTAAATGACCCTGCATCCCACAGATGGAGAGTATTGTTACCTTTAGGATTTTACTCTCTCATATATGCAAGTGATACCTTGAACAGGTGAATTGAAGGGCTACCTTGAAAGACCCCCTGCAAAGTCTGCTTAGTAGGCTTTTCCAAATCAGGTAGAACATCTCCCTTAGTTGGCCAACTGCCCGTTGACCACAGGACATTCCCACGACCACCTCATCCATTGTTTAGGGCCGCAGTCACCCATTCTAACCGCATCTATTTTTGAATTGCCTTTCAGGGAATGGGCAGCTTAGACATGTATACTTTGTTAAACACCAAAGTTTAAAATTTTGTCTGCTCTATCCAGCCCCTCTGGGGATCTGGCCCTGAGCTTTGTTATGACAACTGAACCCAGCGAAGTGGCTTCTCTTCCTCTCAGAGGTGTGGCTCAGATGACTTACCTTGGGGAAGGTTTATGTTTAGAAAGAGGAGAGATCTCTTGAGGCGGGAGCTGCTGGGAATGCAAGTGGCCAAGTGCACAGGACTAGAGTTCACGTGGGCACAAAACCCTGAGTGAGAGCACTGGCCGCCAAGCGGCTGAGCGGCCTGTTTTTTTAGACAACTGGTGTTTTAGACAACTCATCATTATTAAGCCGCCATCTTCCCCACCCCAATGCACAAAAACGGGTACAAACAATGACTGGTGCTAGCCTGGGAGCCCCCATTCTGCACCCAAGCCTTTGTCAACTGCCAGGTGACTCAGTCTGTGAAAGGGGTCAACTAGAAATACACTAACTTTGAAGAGGACCCGAAAGAAAGTTCTAGTAAGTGTTCTTGTTTATCCTTTTACATTGAGACTGATGATGATGATGGTGATGATGGTGATGATGGTGGTGGTGATAATGACTATATGATGATGAGAGGCTTGTTTGTATTGTATTTTAGAGTGTGTGTAGAACATTATTCCACAAGTTATCTCATCACATAAAATGTTATATCACACTAAGCCCTGTGTGTACAAGCTTTGGAAAGGTTATTTGGTCTTGTTCAAAAAATTTACATAATCAATAAGTAGATGAAAAATCTCTAATTTTTAAACATTAGGTGAAAGATATGAACAGGTAATCTTCAAAAGAAAAACAAATAATTTGGAAGCATATGAAAAATTGTAACGATCATAAGTATAGATCAGTTAAAACAACTAGATGCCTGGCTGGCGTAGCTCAATGGATTGAGCGTGGGCTGTGAACCAAAGTGTCGCAGGTTCGATTCCCAGTCAGGGCACATGCCTGGGTTGCAGGCCATGGCCCCCAGCAACCACACATTGATGTTTCTCTCTCTTTCTCCCTCTTTTCCCTCTCTGGGAATAAATAAATTGAAAAAAAAAAAAACAACTACTAGATGCCATTGTACTCACCAGAGTAGAAAAAAATTTGAATTATCTAAGTCACCTCTGTTGAGGTACTGATTTTGGCTGCAAAGGATAAGAAGAACACAGTTCAAAGCAACCTGCGTCCACATGAAATGTGTTGGCTCAGACGCAAAAGAGCCCATGCGGGGTCTGGCTTCAGGCAGTGCCCACTGTGGCACTCAGCTGACCTCATCCAGACACGCTCTGTCCCCGCACGTTTGCTCCGATCCGGGGTTGCCTATGCTCCTCGTGGTGCCAACATTGGTGCCAGAAGCCCGGACCTCTGTGTACTCCCACAGGTCAAGTTCAGTTTGAAAAAACATGTGTCAGTGTCTTGTTTCTAGAAGTGTATGCAACAGTCTTGTCCCTGAGCTGTGTGCCCTCGCTGGCTCAGGCCTGCCTGGGTCGCAGCCATAGCCACAGACACCCAAACTGCTCAGAGGCAGCCGTTCCTGGAAGTAAATCAGGAGCAGCTTCCAGAAAGGGGGAGCCCTGTCAGGACACAAACCGCTGACGGCTGCTCAAGTCCCCAAGTGGGAAAAATCATCCCTCTCCCTTGCTGGCGGAAAAGGTCAATTGAGGAGCAACCTTTCTGGAAGACAATTTTATCAGTGTATTATAAACCCTTCCAAGGTACCCACATAAATTTAATTCAAAATTTATTTTGCTGAAATAATTGATCATGTGTGTGAAAAACTGCATACAAAAATACTGTGGACAGGGGAGAATACGAAGTTCCAAATAATATGGCATGTATTTATTCAGTTGAAAAGATAGCTGTAAATAGGAAACATAAGTGATAAAAAGTATCTATAATTAATAACATCTTTGTTAAATCCGCAAGTTGTCGTGTATAGAAAAATATCTGAACGATTAAACAAAAGGCTTTTAAAAATGGCCGTCGCTGGATTATGGGACTATAGACAATAGGTAGTTTCCCATTTTTCTGCTTAACTTGCTCCTCTGACTTTCCTGGCATGATTTTACATACATAAACAATTGTTTTGCCAAAAAGATAAAATCGAAATGGCCGTGGTCCACAGCATCTCTGGCTTCTAATCCTCAACATCCGCTGGATTCGTCTGGGGTGACGATTATGGCTCGGAGGAGCAATGCAGGGTGAGGGGACAGATGGAGAGGCGTTGTGGTTTAGAAAATAAGAGCTTCTTTCTGAAGGAATTTTATCTCTTTATAAACGTAACCTTTACCCAGCAGCTGTTCCTCTTAGCCGTGCAGCTGGGAGGTAAGTAAGCACCACTGTGGTGTGGTCATCCTAAGTCAACAAAAACTTCACGTCCGCCCCTAATGGCAGTGCACACAGAATGCTATGCTACCATGATCGAGGCAAAACAGTGTCCAGAATCATCCCAATTCTCTGAAAATGTACCAGAATGGCGAGAGAGAGAAATAAGCTCAAAATCGCTGGTGTTGAAACCAGGACTACTCACATGGATGGTTTATTAGAGTACATCTAAGCCAGGTGCTTGCAATTTCGAAATGGTTCCCCGGTTGGCTAAGAGTCTAAATATGTACCGTGTACCTACTCAGGTTGAACCCACACACTTTGAAATGGCTAGCACTCTCGAATATAGAGTTGATTTTTTTTAAGTGTTGATAGAGGGTTGATTGTTTGTTTTAAGTTCTGCTTTGTCAAGAGTCCTTTCCAAACAGGAGTTTCTGCTGACACATACCCAGAGACATTCTCACTCCTGGACGCCTCCCCCTGGGGGAGTCTAGGGCAAAGGTGAGCATTAAAAAGTATGTCCTGATTTGTTAGGGACTGGACCCCTTCCCCAAAGCTCCGTGTGCAAGAGTTTTCTGCGGGGGTGCTACGGTTTTCTGAACTACTGTTTCACACGCCCTTAACTTTATGTTTTACAGATAATCCACTCACCACCGGAAGCTGTAGCAAACAAGCAGATGAAATAAGCCGCTTGCCTGAATGAAATCATCCTAAAAGAGAAAGGAACACAGGCATGACTCCACTGTTCATAGATGTATTTAACATGAACCTTAATTTAAGGGGACATGGATTTTCCTTTAAATGTCTGGATTGGGAATCGACCACAATGACAAGAACACGGGTTTTCGGTACATTTTGTGCCCAGGGGCTTGGCACAAGGTGCAAATTGGCACCTCGAGACCAATAATTGTGCTTATTGTTCTTTGGCCACCTGTGTTGTTGGCAAGTATGGAAAGGGAATTGGTAGAGGGGAATTAAACAGTTATAAATTCTGTTGATTTGAGTAGAAAGAAAATTATTGTAAATAATGGCAATACGATCATTCCAGGTTCCCTAACTAAAGCTCTTAACATATTCAAGCCCATTTTTAAATTTTTAAATCAGTTAATAGGCTTTGGATTTTAAAACATCTTCCATTTAGATATTTCCATGTAAAAAAGCACCACTATCTTGGATACGCTCTAAATACACAGGAAATGAAAACAAACTAGTAGCTTCTTCATGCCGTAGAAATCATGCTTAATTTTTTTTAAATACCCACTGTCTTCGTAAGCAATTGGAAGAACAGAAATTCTCTACCTGAAAGGGCAGTTGCGTCTGTGCTTCCGGGCTGAGGGTCTCCCGCCACTTACAAACGGATGGTGCTCGAGGGTCCCCCGTGCAGCACGGCAGGCAGTGTTTGCCTGGCTGCGATGTTGACTTTGGCTTTCTGCCCATGGTTCCAACTCCCGGTCCGGTCAACATAGTCCGTGGAAGTGCCATTCCTGGGTCCAGCTATTTAATATATTAACCATTTCACGTTGAGCCGAGGTCTGCCCAGGTTTCCCTTTTTAAAAATGTTCGTAATGTTTCCTGTTATTGGCGGTCATGAAACTTAATGCTCCTCTAATGGGACTTTGTCCATTCTAATGGCCCAGATGCACAATTGAGTAAAGGGTGGGTGGGTATAGGCAGGTGGCCCTGGAAGCATCTTACGGCAAATGGTGCCTTCCTCTGTCACGGGCAGAGCATCTAATACAGTACCACTGAAATGTAAGTACTGGAGGGAGTTGGTGGATGTTTAGGTCCTGCTCCCACCTCATTCAGAGAAGATGATGTAGCAGGGTGGGCAAGCTACAATTCACAGACCAAACCTGGCCCAGCACTTGTCTTCGCAGGTGGAGTCGTATGCATCACAGCCATGCCCACATGGTATTCTGTGTGCCGGCTTCCACCCTCCAAATACAGCTAAGTAGCGGCGACAGAGACGCCGTGGCCCGCAAAGCTGAGATTTGCTGTCTGGCCCTTTCCAGGTGAAGCAGGTACAAAACCCAGGCTAGCACACCTGGCGTAGAGTTCAGACTTCTCTGTCAGGACACATGGACTGCAAAGAGGCGTACTGGCTCTCCCCAGAGCCTGTTTCTGCTCAGGGAGTTTTACCTTATTTCAATTTTTAAGGAAAAGTCTCTCTATACACGGAAATACATCTCCTTGCATCTTCCATTCTTTGGTCCCAGATTTCCCTGCTAGATTCACACACACACACAAAAATTATTCTCCTTTCTGTGCTTTTAAAAATATTTAAAGACCAAAACCACTTGCCCAGTAAGTCTCCTTTGTTATCTAACTATGCTTCAAAATCACATTACATCATTCGGGCTGGAAACTTCGGTTTCCAGGGAGCTGCTGCTCAGGTAAATATTTAATACATATTGCTGCAATGCAGAGCTGTGTTTATTGAAAATGTAGCATAACGTTGCCAATGAAATAATTTCTGGCTCTAATGAAGGCACATATCTGAAACACGCCAGCTGCAATGCTTTTTAGATTCAGGGTGTCTTTCAAACCACCTGCCAATTCTTTTCATTGTGGTTTACTTTTACCGATTCCTGTCTTCCCTAGTTAGTCAACTCACATTTCACGAGAATAAAGGCTGCCCTAAAAATCACATTTCTACATGCTAATCATTTCTTCAAAGGAAAAACCATCATCACATTGAGGCATGATTGTCTTATGTGAAACATGGTAGCGGAGGAGGGCTCTACAAGCACCCTGGACTACCAGAAAGACGAACAAGTGGGTCCTTGAGCAAATTAAGCCTGAAACACCAATGGAAGGTGGGAGTGGGGGGTGCAGAACTGAAACTGCCTTACTTCAGGCACATCAGAAGAAGGCAGAGTTATTTGGAAAGGACAATAGTGCTGGGAAAGCCAGCAGGAGGCAGGAGAAGAGGCGGCACTCCAACCAGGAGACGGAGTGACTCTGTCAGAGGAGCCACAGGTGTGCGTCTGCGGGAGCTGAGCGGGGTTGCTGAGGACATGGGGACAGGACGCTGTGCACGTCACTCACTCATGGGGTTGCCAGGAGTGGGGCTAGATTAATGGCTCATAACACATACACACACACAGTATTATTTAGGTGATGCAAAGAAATACATTTTGACCATCTAGATACAGTCCATGGTGAAAATTGACCTTTTTGAAATCAGAATCTATTTGTGAGACAGGTGAGTAGTTGGTCCAGAAACTGACACTCCACAGTTGTCAGAGCATCAGTCCAATCTCTCTTCACCTGGAGAGGTTTCTAGATGATTAAATCCCTGGGTACCCAGTAGATGATTGTGGGTTTTGCAAACTCCCAGGTAGTCCTGAGAGATTTCACTTTCTTCTATCAGCTGAACAAAATGTTCTGGCGTTTCTAGTTCTCCTCTGGTTTATTTTTCAGAGGCAGGGAAACTCAAAATCAGTCTATGATGACCACATGAGGATGACATTAACTCGAAAGTGCTATTCCTTTTATGTTGGGAACCGCCCTGCCTGGTATCAGAAGCTGTAACCCCCGCCAAGGCTAAGGTTGAGGGAATGACCTTGGACTGTAAGCTACCAAGGAGACAAAGCTTACCTCCCTGACAGGAGCACCGCTTCTGCTCCTTTTACTTCACCCTGCTTGGCCCCCAATGCTTGGTCGGTTAGCCAATGATGGGTAAGATTCCCCAAGGGGGGAACGATCTAAGACAGGCATGATCACATGGGAGGCCCCCAAGGAAGGGCTTTGGGGGCTACAGCAAAAGGGGGTGATGGACCCTCGCCCCTAGGCTTTGACATAGCCTGAGTCCTCATTGTCTGTGAGAAACTCTCCTAATCTCTTGGCTGCCTTACTTCCCTTGCTCCACCTAAGCCTGAAATAATGACAGAGGGTGGTGCAGCTGGAAAGGGCGGGTTCCCCGGGTGATGAGGCCTAAGAAAGAATATGTAAAATCCTGTGAAACCTGCTTTGTTTAGAATGCTGTCAATTGAATGATAAGGGTCCAGGGAAGAAGTAAGTTTGTTCCTTAAAGTTTTACAGCTCTTTGACCCTGATCCTCAAAATAGGCCCTCAGACTTCCTTGTTTGATCCTTACTTTCTGGCAATGAGTAATGAGCTTTACCTGAATTCCTGTGCAAACGAACCCAATAAAAACCGTTGAGGAAAAGGCTCTTGGTCCTTCTCCTGTGAGAGATCGGCCACCTTTCTTCCCCAAGCAGATCATGTCTTGGTGGACTTATTCTCATCTGTGGTGGACAGTGGGGGGGGGGGGTTCAGACAAAGCTCCCCCACACTTTTATTTCCTTTATTGATGAATCAGTCACCTACTAATTTACCTTTGAAAGTTATCTGTATTTCAAACTGACATCAGTTCTTAGAATAAAATGTAGCAGCCATGTTTAAAATGTGCTTTATTTATTTTTCTTGACGCTACTTTCAGGCAGGAGCATGACAGACCACAGGCACACAAGCAGATATGTGATCATTCTCTTATTTAGAAAAAAGTCAGCACCTTCATTTGGATACTACAGACCATAACACACTTTCTCCATTCCAACCCGGACACAATTTAAGGGAATTTCCAATTAAAATATGAATAACGCATTATTCGGGGGCAAATGAAGATTTTAGACCAAAAAGTAACCTGAAGCAATGTCTTACTTTAAATTTAATTCCATGTCTAGTATAGGGTCACTGAAGAGGTTTTTTAAAAGGCAAGGTTTAAATGTAAGTGCATAAAATTGAGAAATAATACCGATTTCTAGCAATAAAACCTTAATTATCCAAAATCATCTGGGAGCAGATTATCTATGTACACCCAGCGTCTAGATAACCAGATTTACCATATCATTGGAATCATTTTCAACGGTATCATATACTTCCTTGAGTTTTTCTCAGCACCTTGGGGACTGCGCTGGCCTCCTTGGGCCAGTCGAGTGGGCACAGGGGTTGACCCAGCCCGCAACGCCTCAGCCTGTAATGTTTGCCAAATGGTTTTGGTCTGCGAACCTCTTCCTTTGATATCCATTGAAGAATGGATATTCTATTCTCTTAATTTGTTGCTTCTATCTGCTATTCGTTGAGAAAACTAAAGAAACCATCTTATTAGAAATATTTATTAAAAGAAGTTTTTTTTCAGGTCACTGAGTGAGTAGGGATATGGTCAGTGGAATTAAAATTCAGAGAATGTGTGTCAGTTACCTGCTTGATAGGTATGTTCTGGAAGATTGAATTTCCTTGACAGTTAACCCTACAGCGAGACAGTGCCCGGCCTCTAAATTGCATGTGTGGTTTCCTCTTCCTTAATGATGGAAGACTTCGGGAAGATCTGTGCTCTATTGACACGCCCAGTTAGAGATCTGAGCTTCACAAAGCAAGAGCACATTGCACTAGAAGTGTATCATTCTGGGAGTGGAGAGACTGAGAGTGTAGACTTCTTTCCATTTCCAGCACCGCCACCCATGCGTGGCATGACTTTGGAAAGAAACTCACCTCCCATGGATCTTTTCCATTACTTCTAAGAAACAGGAGTATAACTAGATAAGATCTAAGGCACTTCCAGCTCCAAAAGCCCTTCATCAGCATTACGAGGGACAGTGAGGGATTAGAGAGCATGAAGAGGAATCTCTCCTGATAACGCATGACGGACAAAGGTAACTGTGACATTATACACAACGAAATGAAGTCTATCAGTACACAGTTACAAGGGAGATAAAAACAGAACCTACAGGTCAACTGATAAATGATGTACCTCCCTTGATATAATCTGAAAAGTACTACAAGAATAATTATTCTCACAACTAATGCCACTGGTATCATTTTTAAAACTTAAGCTCCTTCATTCAAAGTACTTAATTACTCACCCTTCTCAAATTAAATTTATATGCGTGCCTGCACATTTATGTTCCCGAGTCAACAAGGGCATCTTAAAAAATGCTGCAACCTCAATGGAATTCTATCCTTCGGGCCTGTCCATTGAAACTGAAGTGGCCTGTGGATCCCTCTGTTGAGAAACGTTACACATTTATGGACACATAAATGTGTCCATACACATTTTGGGTATGGACATCAGTTAACTCACCTTTTGGGATCAAGACCAGGGGTGAGAGCTATGGCCATTTTAAACACATACAAACTCTCTTTGGTAGACTTGACCCCAAGGTAAGCGGTGACAAGAAAAATTTATGTCTAGGGATTAAGGGAATTGAACTGATGATCTGTAAACTCCAAGTGACCAAGTTTCCCTTAGAGAATGATCTTACTCTGGAGACACGCACAGCCCCAGAGTAAAGTTAGGGTTCACGGACATTTCTCCTCTTCAACTTGATCCAGATGCCGTTAGTCGGACGAAGAATCAGCTCTCCCGCCAGACCAAGCTCTTCTCTTTTCTGGCTGCATTCTACCCAAAAGTGCCTCAGGATGCAGGAAAGAACGGTCTTTTCTTCCATTATGGCAAACTTTTGGCCTTCAAATCAATGTAAATAACATCACTTTAATTATAGATACATCACAAACTCGAGAAAGAAGAGGTTCTACCAGAGGAAGCAAGCAATGTTGGACTTTCCCGGTAGGCCCTGGGGTCACCAGAATCCTTTGGAGTGCTCCCCGGAACTGAAGATTCCCGCGTGCCCTTCCCCTCCCCCACTCAGTGCATCTGGAGAGCCGAGAGGGTAGGGACCTGTATCTCTGCAGCACTCCGTCCGATGAATGCTGGGCCCACGGGAGCAAGGGAACCACTACCCTAGAATGCCTTCTTATGGGGCCTTTGACGTAATTTACTGTGGAGTTACCTACCAGGCCTCATTTTATCAATGCCTGCATTTACACAAATAATAAAATGCCAGCGACACTAAAGCCAAAAGTGTCCATAATGCCTGGTGCTGGACATTCGTTTTGTCTAAGTACTTCAGCTGGTCGTAGGGTAAAGCATCCTTTGTGTCGGTTTTGATTTTGACAAAAAGCAATTCTTAAAAAGCAATAAACACAGAAATTGGGTTAAATATAACTAATCATTATAAGTAAGCTTTCTACCATAGAAAGTACAGTCTACTTTAATCCCAAACCTACAACATTTGAAAACTCGACCATGAAACCGATCATGCTTTATGTTACAGGATGAACCGCGTTCTCCCAAAGTTCATATGCTGAATTCTTAACCCTCAGGACCTTAGGACGCGACTGCATTCAAAGACAGGGCCTTCAAAGAGGTGATTAAATTAAAATGAGGTCATTTGGGTGGACCCCAATCCAGTCTGACCGGTGTCTTCAGGAAAAGAAGAGATCAAGACGAAGACAGATACACCCAGAGGAAAAACTATGTGGAGACACGGAGAAGACCTCCATCTACACGGAAAGAGATCTCAGGAGGAACCAGCCCCGCCCAATGACACCTTGGTCTTGGACTTTTGGCCTCCAGAATTATAAGAAAATAAGTTTCTGTTGTGTAAGCCACCCCATCTGTGGTACTTGGTTACAGCAGCCCTAGAAAACTGATAAACTTGATCAGAGCCCTATTTTAAATCAATAAGGTAAAGTGGAGAAAAAAATAAAACTACCGGTTTTGTAAAAGACGTGTTTATGGAACACGGCATCTCAAAGACATTACTGCGAGAACCCTACTACCACGCGGGCCCGAACGGTGAAACCAACTCTGGCGGATACGCACCTATACAGTTTCTGAGTCCCGCAGAGAAGGGCACGTAGGCGTAGGGATGGCGTCCCGCCGCATTCTCAGGGAAGAACCGCTCGGGCTGGAATTCCTCCGGATTCGGGAAGTTCTTGGGGTCTCTGTGCAGCGCATAGGGGATGATGAGGGCTTGGGAGCCTTTGGCTATGCTGTAGCCCCCTGCAGGAGGCAGGCAGTAAGTATACCGTGAGGACTGAGCAACAGACGCATACAAGCCCTCTGGCTCCCTGCCGCTTTGATGCTAGAACACTTACCAATTTCACAATCTTCATTAAGGTGACGGGCAAAAAAAGGGACTGAAGGGAAAAGACGAAGGGTCTCCTTGATTACACACTCCAGGTATTTCAGTTTCTTCAGGTCTTCTAAGGTGGCAGGGCGATCGGACTGCCCTGATTAAGGGAAATATGCACAAAATAAATAAAATAAAGAACCATTTGGGCTTGGGGGACGAGACATCAAAAAAGAACACATTAATCAATACGCTGAAATGTTAAATACCAACAGCTAAAGTGGAATATCTCATAGTCAAGATAATCAGAACGAAATAAGACAATAATGCTGGAACCAGACACACAAGGTCATATATTGTGTGGTTCGGTTTACGGGAAGTACTCAGAGTAGATAAATCCATAGGGACAGAGAGTAAGTTAGCTGCTGCCAGGGGCTGGAGGAAGAGAAAATGGGGAGTAGCTGATGAATGCTACAGGGTTTCTTTTTGGGGTGCTGGAATGTTTCGGAATGAGAGGGAACAGTGACCAGCATTGGGAACGCGTTAAACTGTATACTTTAAAATGGTTCATTTTGAGCTCTCAGAGCTCCTTCCAGAAGGGCATCTTTTCTTGGGTTGGAGCCTCGGAGGGCACCACTTCCCCCAGAGGGTGGCCCCCAAAACACCACCCCCACCCCGTTTCCGTCTCAGCAAAGAAACCGAAACCGCCTTCTGTTTCCCGGCCCAGAGGAGACAGCAACCTCTCTGGACTTGCCCGAGGGGAAAAGCAGGGCAGGGGGCAGCGGAACCCATTGAGAAAGTTAAAAATGAAATAGACCCACTTCACGAACAAGCCAGTGGGAAGATTCTGAAGGGCGACCTGTAACGAACTCCGCCAACCATTTTCCTTTTTCAGAAAAGGTTGAAATCAATTGCCAAAACCCCAAATCCGTGCGCCGTCTCCAAGCCTGCCCTGCCTGGGGAGGTTGATGAGACGACACTGGGTAGTGTGGCGGGATTTGAAGTGACAGGATGGGACGATGTGAAATCGGGTCACAGACTCGAGCTTCATTCCGATGACAACCCTTCCTTTGAAAATAAAAAGAATTCTCCCCAAAGAATTTCACCTGAGGAACAGCGGTGCTGCATTTTCAAAGCCCACTGAAGTATCTGGACGAGATGTGAGGGACTGTGCAAGCCCGATGCGGAATAAAGCCAGCGGCGGCGAGAGGCAGCCTGAGCCAGGGAGGGCTACCCTCCCCGGGGCGCGCCCACCCCGACGCGGGGGCTGAGGACTTGGGAGAGGTCATCACAGGTGGCATCTGGCCAAACCAATTCATTACTGCTTGGTTCCTGATGCGGGTGATGAAGAAGGGGGAGGAGAAGAAAGAGCAGAAGACGATGATGAAGGAAAAGAAGGAGAGGAGGCTGGAAAGACGCTGATGAAGAAGTTGATGAGGATGGAACAGAAGAAGGCTGGGGAAGACCGATGGATTCCAGCCTTCTCCTTAAAATATTTTTCTCCAGGCACTGGGAGCAAGGCATTCTCTATTACAATTTCATTCCTGTGTATTTATTTATTTAGTTTTTCCTCTTAAGTTCCGTCACTCTGCTCTTGGTCTTCTCTCTGCTGGACATTCTTGTCAGCAATTATCTTGGGGAAAATACCCTGAGCAGAACACAGTGGGGGAAGAATCTCCAATGTTTCTGTTCTGAATCCATTTCTCATCCCTTCCCAACTCGACAAATCCCATGTGGAATCAACGCCACCGTGCTCTGTGGGGAGGAAGACAAACTTTCCATTCCCGTATCTCTGCTGCAGGCTTGAAGCTGGCCCACGTGGTAGTGCGTGCGTAGAACTCTAGCTTTCCCCCTCCTCTCTCTGTAGGTTGAGCTCACTGTGTCTCTGAATATGGGCAGTTCGCATTTACCAACCTGTATCTGTCTGCTTCCTCTTGTATAAGACATTTTTTTAAAATGTATTTATAGGTCAGCCAAAGGTGGGTTGGAGGTGTTTCGGTGGGTTAAGTGGGCATTTTGACAACCTGGCTTTCCCTTTGGCACATTTAATTGTGATGTCTAGTGGACTTCCTTGCAGTGTAAGATAACACTGTTAAAATAAAATCCCTAATGATGGCCTGAGTGAGCCTGTGGAGTCTTATTGGGAATTGGCATTCCCTATTGTAGTTTTGTTCTTGTTTATTTTCTTCTTTTCCTCTTTTGTTTCACTGGAGAGAAACAATAATGCTCAGTTTTAAACGTTAAAAGTGTACCAGTTGCTTTGTTACAACAAAACGAAATGTAAAGTTGACCTCAGTTAAAAAAAATAACAAGGAATTAATATTTACATCTCAACACCAAAGACCAGTTGCTCAAAAATGTTAGCACTAGTACTGGGGGTGGAAGGAAAAGTGAGGCACAATTAGTAAAAAAAAAAAAAAAAACATGAGAAGCAGCAGAGTAACAATTTCAGTAAAAACAGTGCGACTGATTACGGGAGGTCAAGAAGCGTGTGCGAGACCCGCAGGGAGCTGGAAACGGCGGCGAACACGAACAGGTGAACGCATTCCAACAGAACCTGTGAGTTTTTAGAATCACAGATTAACCCATGGGAGGAAACCTGAAATTCACGTTGACATGGAGAAACTAAAATGTTGGCAGAAACGGACGAGAACTCTGGGCTGTCTCCACTCTACAAACCAAGTCCTCCCTCTTGATAGGGAAGCCCTGTCCTCACACACTCTGAACACGGAATTACATCTCTCAATGGAGTCGAATGCATGTTCTGAATTCTACCTGTCCTTTATGATTTACTGTTATCTTCCAACTCTTCCATTCTGCCATTGTTCATCCGGTTCCCCTCTTTCTAGGATGCCTTCCAGCTCTTCCTTTTATCCTTCATTTTTTCTCTCTCCACATCTTTTCTGTAGGAAAATCCATCAGATACCACTTTGTTGGTTGGCCAACTTAACCTTTACCTTTCTCCTTCCAGTGACGGGAGGTCATGTGACACGTGATTAAACAAAGGCAACGTTGATGGCACAGTGCATCGTCCCTTTGTGGTGGGTCCTAGTCCAGGGAGCCTGCAAATGTTACCATATTTGGGAGAAGGTGCTTTTGAAGATTGTATTAAGGATCTTAAAATGGAGAGATGATGGTGGATTATCCAGGTGGGCCCTAAATGCCAGCCCCAATGTCACTACAAGAGAGCACAGAGGGAGATGCGACGCACACCCACAGAAGAGAAGTCGATGTGAAGATGGAGTCAGAGATCTGAGTGATGTAGCCACAAGCCAAGGAGTGTGGCAGCCGCCGGAAGGAATGGGTTCTCCCTCAAGGCTTCCAGAAGGAGTGCAGCCTTGCCAATACACTGATTTAGCTCAGAGACCCTGCTTTGGGACTTCTGGTGTCCAGAACTGTGAGGGAATACATTTCTATTGTTCTAAGCCACCCCGTTTGCAGAATTCGTCACAGCAGCCAAGGGAGACTTCATCTCCTCCTCCCCTTTCTTCTTGCCGTAAAGATAAACACGAGACCCAAGAACAGCCATCAAGAAAACAAAACCCATGACGGTGAAAATGGCAGAGAGGAAAAGAGCAATCCCAGGACGCTGGTGACTTCCCTGTTATAAGTAAGGACTCCTCACTTACAGATTGCTGGTGGTACAACAGAAATGTATGTCCTGTCGGCTTACCCCACATTTTCTCTCATTTGTGGCCCAGAGCAACCCTACTGCAAAAGCTTTCCATGACCCTTCTAACCAGCTTTTCCTCTCTGCTCTCAGAGAGCGCCTTCTTCCCATCACTCGTGCACACGGCCACGACGGGATGCTTCACGCACAGCGTCTGCTTCGCCTGCGAAGCAGTGAGCTCCTTGAGGAGAGCAACGCCGTTCGGTGTAGCCCCGGCATGCAGCCCGGTGCCGTCACATCCCAGAGGTGAGCTAACGCCTGTGAGTGAGTGGATGAGCTCTTGCGCAGGAGACTGGCCCTGGAAGGGACCCTGCATTGCAGCCTCCCTGCCCGTCACAGCATCGCTTGCACATTCTTAAGGAGAAAGAACGACAGTGGCTTCAGTGACTCGGGACCTGGTGAAGGGGCCAGACATACCAAACACTTCGTCCAGCTCCTCGTCCAGTTTTTTCTGGACTTCTGGATAGGAACCCAATAGATACAAGGACCAGTTCATGGCAGCTGCAGTGGTGTCATGGCCCTACAAACGTAAGAAAAAAAGTAGTTTAAAAAGGAGAGTGCTACGGAGGAGGCTGGGAGGGCTAACTAGTGGGGGTGGTGTCTGGAGGTGACAGCTGTAACGAGACGCCAGAATGTGACAGAAGGTTGGACAGCACTTTACTTTGGTGAGAAACAAGTAAATGAAACAAGCCCCTCGAAGCGGATGCCTCTGCTTAGAGGGACATTTCTGTGCTGCTGAGTCACACGCTCGGTGGGAAGTGGCGGGGCTAGGCTGATGAGAGCCACTCCGCGAGAACTACATGCACGAGGCTGGTTCTCAGGCAGTAGAAGTCTGACTCTGCAGAACGGACCCGCCAGATCCGTACTCCTCTCCTTCCCCCATTTGCGGGTCAGGCTTTGCCTCTCTTTGCCAGACGCCAGGGAGTGTGTGCGTGGTTCTGAGTGATAGTGTCCACATCAAGACGTTGATACATAGCCTCATTGAAATCTTGCAGAGTTTTAGGCAAAACACTACCTAAACACCTTGTAGAAACTAACTCAATTATTCTTCACTAAAACTCTGGAATACCTGATACGCCTACGCACATTTTACAGATGATAAACGGAGACCCCCCACGAAAAAAAGCTAAACGACTTTCCCAGGGCCAGATAGCTTAATAGGCGGTGGAGGCAAGAACAGGACCCTTGGAGCTGCCGATGACGAAGCAGAGCCCACCTGCTTCCCTTCTGGGAGCGTGGGGACCCGCGATAAGGAGACGCCAGCTCGAGTATGAGCAGAACGCCCCTGGGTGACTCTCTTGCCTACACGTTCAGTGTTTTAGGCATTAGCGCCTACTCCCTCGCCTCATCCCACCAGGACACTCCATGTGCGAAAACGGTGAGTTCTTCAGAAAAAGAATGTATTTGGAAAATAAGAAATGATATCATAGCCCTATGACTAAGACTTCTAGGGAAAAATGAGAGGAAGAAAACAAATGATGTCCTCTGTGGGAGATCTGACTCTTGGGTTTACCCGAGGCAACACGGGTGATCACTGTAATAATCATCCTCTGGGCAGAAACCTCCAAAGCACTTTTCTCAGCTCCTAGGTTGCACTGTTGAGGATTATTCTGCAATTTTAAAAAAATACACAGTTCACAAGTGTCCGGTATGGGCATCACTGCACTTTCTTACGTTTGCAGTTTCTTTACAGAAATGACTTGGAACTCCAGACAAAATCTGGCCCATTTCACTCAGTTGTTTACCAAAGTCACAGAAGGAAGTGTTCTTGCTAAATAGTGTTTAAAAGCTTTTCTTGAATTTGAGTGCAAGCCTGATCGGCACGTGTGAGAGACGCCAAACTTCCTGTTTCACTTCGCCTGCTCCCCAAACACAGCAAAACAACCAGCACTGAATGCACAGAAGCGCTTCGGCAGGACTGGGCAGGGGCAGGAACCCGGATGTTTGGCATCTGAATATCTAACGGCCAGAACCGCACACGGACGGCACGGCGGCCACAGCTGGCGCCCACCTCACGGGGGAAGACACAGTATCACAGTCATTCATGCTTTGCCTTCTATTTCATGCAAAGAAAAAAACCCCAAAATGTCAAAGAATGTTGACCTGGAAGAGAGATCATTAGTCTGGTGGTTTGGGGAAAAGTGAGGGGTCACTGGTGGGAGATGGGTGTGTGCGTGCACGAACACGTGTGTGTATGCCAGTGTGTGTGTGCCCACACGTGCACGTGAGTGTGTGGGTGCAGGGCCCACTTCAACATTACATACTAGCCCACATCTGTGGCACAGGGGCATGCCAGACACGATTCTTGGTGCACACGAGAAGTCACTCACCTAACAGCTGCTCTGCGGGCACCGCGCTGTAACGGTGGGCACACGGAGCCCAGGAGGGCTAGCGAGGGGCCGAGTCCACGCCTCTCGTACAGAGCTGGGGTGCGGCGGCCCCAGAGCCCATGTGCTTAACACCTCTCCACTTTTTAGCTAATGAGATGTCCACTCTTTGCATAAGGTCTCTTCGACACAGTGCTCTGCTTGGAAAGGAAGATTAAAGCCACTGACAGAGTCCACGTGTCCGCTTTACACGCAGGGGACCTGTGCCAGAGACCTGCAACGGCTGGACCCGCCTCCCGCAGCCAGGCAGCGCGGGGCCGGCAGTGGTCGGGTCGGCGGACCCTCCGCACAGCTGGCTTCCTGCTCCGGGGCACAGGGCCGTCCCCCCACGGGGGACACTGAGCAGTCCCCCCAGGGGGACACTGAGCCAACACAGTGCCCGCAGCCACCACTCCTGCTGCCTCTCCCTCTCCCCCACGGCCAGGGCTGCTCTTCAAAACCATTTTTATCTTTATTTGGTAATCCACACGTTGAGAGGTTTACTCCTTATAATACCTCATCTAGTTAGAATTATCTTTGCAAAAATTACCATTTTTATTCTTATTTTTTTTATGTTTACTGTGAAGACCAGAAACCCCTTCGGAATCACAGACTGGCTCACTTCCCTACTGGAGGGCTCCCGCTGTCTCCCTTAGTTAGGGCAGCTCATCGAGCAGGAGCTGAGTGCGCATGGCTACAAGTTCAAAAAGGAGGGAGTGGCAGGCGTTGAAACAAGAAGGAAATCCTACCTTTTACAAAAGCCTGGAGGAACCTACAGGGTATCACGCTAAGAGAACTCGTACAGAAAAAATACAGAATGTAAAGTGCAATTCAAAATTTTTAAAAAATAGAGGGAGCGAAGAAACAGATGCGTGGTGTTCTGAGGTTCAAAGGAAGCGGGAAGTGACACAGAGATCAGAGCTATTTCTGGCTGCTCTTCTGCTGGGCAACGGCTGATGAGCCTTCGGTTTCCCGGAGAAAACCGTGTGCCTACCACTGCACCCACCTCGAGTCAAGTGTTTTCTGAGGAAGACAGTTGATCTGGCACTGAATCAGGGTCTTACATTCTGTGCTTTCTAATTATAATACAACGACTCTTCCTCAGTTGTAGTAAACTATTTGAAAATGTGATTGACTTTTAAAAAATACTAAAAACTTTTTAAAGGATTCCCATAAGTTGGTTTTTTTTGTTAAGTTAAAAAAAAAGCAGAGAAAAGATCATCTCTTATACCAAGAATCCCAACATATTTTCAAAGGCCGCTACAACTAATTCTTGTACTTCACGTTATTTCCAATGTTACTGTGAAATACTTACGCATGTCTAAGCATCAGTGTTTGCTATTTCTTCGTCCTTAGCATTTTATACTCCCAAGATGTAAAAAGCCATGAACAGCCCCCAGTTTTATGCGACAGGAACTGTAATTTGTAAACGATATCCGACACTGACACGACAATGCAAAATACCTCGAACATGAATGTGTCCACTTCTTCCCGAACATCGTTGTGACTTAGCTTTCGTCCTTCATCATCCACCACGTTTAAGAGCAAGTCAAGAAAGGCCCTGCGTTTCTTTCTGAAGCAGGTAGCATCGCTCTCATCGCTCTGACAGTCTTCAGCTCTCTTTATTTCTTTGGCCCGTTCATTGATGACCTGGGTGATTTAAACAATCACATGCTTTTGTTTGGAATTTGATAGGGCCCTAATCATGCAATTTCCTACAAAAATATAGGAGCTTCTTGAACTGATTTTTTTTTTACTAAACCTTTCCTGTTCTTTCTAACTCAACAATAACATAGGCTTTTGTAAAAATATAGTAGAGCTTTCTGTTAACATTTTTAGGGCATTCTTTGACAAGACCTTTAAAAACAAACTTAATATCAGACAAACATATAATTTCCAAGAGCTATTTTTGCAACCTTTCCAACTGGACGATAGAGTCATAGTCTACTAATTTGGGGCCTAGGGAGTTGACTGAGCTAATGAGAAAAAAGTCTGGGTGGTGGAGAGAACGCAATCATTGTATATTTAATAGGCTAATTATGCATTACTGTCTAATTACATGTTGTGTCGGAGAAAAGAATCACCTTGTACATTTGCTGTGCCTCCTGCATAGAACGCTCTCACCTCGGACGCCGGCACGACTGGCTCCCTCCCTCCTGTCAGGTCTCTGCTGCTCACTGTCACACTGTCAGACAAACGTCCCCTGATCACTGTGACCCCAGTCCCTCGCTCTCACTGTTTTCCTACGCCTACTTCATCTGTTTCCCTTGCACTCAACTTGACATTGTATGTGCTAGTGAGTGTCATTCTCCTCCAACATCAGTGGGGCAGCACATTGGTCTTCATTCGCTGACATGTCTCCAACCTTTAGAATGTGGCTTGGCATTTTAAGAATGTTCATTAGCTTGCTGAGTGAATAAAAGAATGAAAGCTCATAGACTTAATTTGGTTATGCATTTCAACTCTCTTCTCCTTCTTGGCAGTTGTCCAGATCTGTTACCCTGTGGTTTGCGTGAACAGATGCCCAGGTCTCTGAGGGTAAGCACCGTGTCTTGGTGGAACCCCTAGCGCCTGGTGCTCAGCATGCAATTTTCAACAGTATTAAATGAATAATGTTGTCCATACAATATGGAATGCACCCACTATTGATGCTGATGTTAATGCATGACATTCGAAGGAAAGTACAATTCCACGCACCAACTACAAACTGTTCAGTGGCCACTTAGTGCCAGGTGGTCATGCAGGCTCCACTGCAGACGGCTCCCTCCTGCACCCCATCCGTCTAACAGCTCGTGACTTGGCACCCACACACCCGCTGGCGGTAGGCAGTGCCTCGCCGTAAGGAGGGAATGCCAACGTGTCATAACCCGAAACTGACGACAAAGGGTAACTATAATCACTTACACACCTTTATCAGTACATTTAAAGTATAATTTGATGTATGTTTTCAATCAAATTTTACCTCTTCATAAACACATTTTTAGCACAAAGACTGACATCCCATTTCCAAAACATTATAATCACCTTGTCCTTAAAAATTAAATAGTAGCATATAGTTATCTTTTCCAAGAGACTGCTAAAAATGCCCTTTGCCTTTGAAGGCCACTGCCACCTGACCGAAACATTTTTCCAGAAGACTCCTATAACACAGACCCTTGCGTCTTTATTCTTTTAACGTAGCTCCCTGTTTGTTAATAAATGATCACAGAGCATATCACACTTTATAATTATGTATTTATAGATAACCCCCCCAGTGGAGAACATTAATAACTTACTATATTTCCAAACCTTAGTACAGTATTGGACACTTAGCAAGTGACTAGTCTTTGGTGAATACTTAGTTTAAAGGTATGCCACCTACCTTTTTTTTTCCCATTTTCATTCAACTTTTACTTTACGAGACACGGGCTCTGTGGTCTTATACTGGGCATGTTAACAAAACACAGAAATCATGGGCTTAACGAAAGTTCTAGAAAGCGATAGCGGTAGGGTGACACAACATTGCTACTCCGCCCCATGTCACGGAATGGTCCACTGCAAAGGACTACAGTGGTGCATTTTATGTGATGTGTGTTCTACAGAAATAAAGAAATCGAGGACTTACATCGTTGGTAAAATTATGCACGATCTGTAGGGTCCTTTTGTGTTCCCATCCCTCGTTAAACATAAGGTACAGAAAATCAAGCCAGAGCCAGGGCGCCTTCATCCTTCGGTGTATCATATCACTCATCCTGGAACAGGGCACAAATACATCAGCTCCCGTGCCCACCACGCGCGTTGCTCAGACACCTGTTTCTGGCGCCTGGTCTCATGAGGGTAATGTGTGGCAATGACAATGAATCACCTCACAGGCTGCTACAAGGTCCATCCTCTGTTACGCTTGGCAAGGACGGTATGGGTTTTCACACAACCAAAGAGGCTTAAAAATCAAATGGGTTCTTGGGAGAAATGAAGAATGCATCACAAAACTTCCTCACTAGATGGCCATCTGGCCTCTGCTTCTGTTTCTCCAGCGAGAGCTCTGGATCTCCCCGGTCTGTCTGTGGCTCTGGTGCCACAGGGTGGGATGAAACCTGCCTGTTTAATGTCCACCCCTCTGCTCGGTCGCTTCTTCGGAGTGACAGAGCACAACTGGTCGTCCTTGTCTACAGAGATGTGCTCGCTAAATACCCGTAGTCACACACCTGTCCCCGGTTCCTCCCTCAACACTTCCAGCCACAGAGCAGAGACACCCAGACACAGTGCCCTCCTCCGAGACCACCTTCAAGGCCAGTCCTGCAAACAGGCCTTTCCCGGTCACTCAGTCTGTGGGAGGTATTGCCGTTTTCTTCTCAAAGATCAAATATTTAGCTTTTTTCTTTCTGAACAGTTATTATAATTTATAAGTGTATATTGATTGGTTTCGATGCTTGTCTCCCCTGGTATTCTGTGTTGTGGGCCTCCTCAAAACCAGTCAGTGCCCTGTGCAGTGAATGGCAGTTTGTATATGTTAAACAGGTATGTGTTAAAATGAAGTAAAATGAGCAGTGGACTTAATGGTAGAATACCTCAAATCAAACCTCGCCCGGGCCTTTTAATAGCTGCGTAACCTCAAGCAATTTTTTAAAGTAAAAATGATCATATTTCAATAAAAAAGTAATACACACTGCAGAAACTATAGGAAAAGAAAATGAATAACAAAAAACAGTAAGAAAGAGAAGCACATAACACAAAACAATAATCATAGCTAACATTCTGGTGTAGTATCTTAAAGTATTTTTTTCAGTGAGTAATTTTTTATACCTAGTGGTCATCATGCTTAAAATACTTTTATCTTTCTTTTGTCACTAAATATCATAATGCAATCTCTCAATATATTATAAAAGAATCATATAAAGTTACTCCATAATCTGGGTGTGCCATGATGCAGCCAACCATTCCTCTCCTGCTAAAATACATGCTTACATGATTCAGTTGCTTTTTAGTAGAATGTTTCCTTTAGAAACAATGAGAGAGATACATCACAGATATAAAATTATTAGCAATAGCTTTTTAAAGCCCTGATCCATAACAACCGTAAAAATAACAAGAAAGTCTCCATTTACCTATAAACCGCACGGACATACTTGGAATCGTCATCACTCTGGGCACCGATATTCTTGCCCATCGCCGTTTCTGTAAAACAGGGGTGAGAAGCCACCATTCAGTTCATGCACACACCGTGGATTTCTTTCCCAGGGGCCAACACTTGAAAAGAGACGTACAGTCTCATATATTTTACAGCTGTTCCCTCCCCCCTTCTCACTATTGTACTATGTGTGTCTCCCACTCCCTGGTTCTGCGCTTTCTACCCTCTGGCCTTTCCGGCCTGGTGGTCCTTTAACCTCTCAGCTCAGCCCCAAGCCCTGGCAGCAGCTGCTGCCTCTCTGGGTGGCTGACTGAGCAGGGAGACCACCCAGAAAGAAGCCAAGATCCTTTCCAATCCTTTTTCATTTGCCTTCCCGGCGGAAGGAGCTTTTCTATTTGGGCCATTTTGTCTTTACGCCACAGATCTCGAAACAAATCAGTGAGACTTACCACAGATTATATCTAAGGCACAAAGAGCAATGTCAAAAAAGCAGTTAAAGGCTTCTCCATCAATGTGTTTTTTAAACTTGTTAACTAGTATATTTGCTTGTTCATTCATGACATCCAAGAAATCTTCCAGAATTGTAAAATGGAAGGTGGGTGTTAACATTTTTCTCCTGGAGCGCCATTTGTACCCAGTACTAGAAATACAACATGGGGTAACAAATAAAACAATATCCAAACCAAACACAGTAAAGACGACAAAGTTCCTCTGGAACAGCTGAATCTACAGATTCCCAACTGCTTTGGTCAGAATGACAAGGAAAAATTCACATACAGTTACAGAATGGACATAGTTTAGATACCCCTCCATATCAGTAATATTTAAGAAAGCATCCCTAAAAATTGAAAAGTTTAACCCTGGCTGGCGTAGCTCAGTGGATTGAGCGCGGGCTGTGAACCAAATCATCACAGGTTCGATTCCCAGTCAGGGCACATGCCTGGGTTGCAGGCCATGGCCCCCAGCAACTGCACATTGATGTTTCTCTCTCTCTTTCTCCCTCCCTTCCCTCTCTAAAACTAAATAAAAATCAATAAAATCTTTTTTAAAAAAGAAAGGTTTAATAATTTTTTTAAAAAATCTAAGCTTGGAGTTTCTAAAAATTAGATTCCCACCACCTCTATCAAACCTTAATCTTCTGAACAGCAATGAGCTCTAGGAGTCCACTCTGTCATCTTCAGATCCTCCGGCACCCCCACCAAGGCCCCGCCTTCTCTTTTTCAGTTGGTGGAGCCCTATTTCTGGAGGTCAACTCAGGGACTGAGGTCACTGGGCTCCCCATTCTTCCCCGAGGAGGACTGCCTTTTTCATGGAAGTTTCAGGATTTCCCTGCTGAAAGCTCCCTTGTGCTCCACTCCATTTATACCCCAGGACTTGCTAACTCTTCTTGGAAAACTGGCGACCAGCATCACGGACTATCGTGGCTGGAGATGACTACACAGCCTGGATCCCTGTGCGTCCAAGGCCTGTTTCCACCCGCCCTTGTCTTCCAGCTTCTCCCTACCACCAGACAGCATGTCCTTGCTATAGGAAAGCTACCTTGTGTCAACGCTGGACATAAATTGCACGTGCGACAGCTTTACAGGTTTACACGGACATACCTTGTCAGGAGCCCTAGGCCAAGCCATGGCTGTAGAAACTTGTACATATAGGATTTGTCGATATGCTTTGAATTTGTTAAAATCACCTTAGAAAGAGAGAAAAAAGTAATAGAGAGATATAGATATCCACACAATCTCAATTATAAGGACACCTGGCTAGAACATTACTAGTTTCCAAAGCAACATTTCATAACTGTTATTTTTTCTGTGATTCGTTTCATTCACGTGACTCAAAGCAATTCAGTTTGAGTTTTGAACATGTAACTGCCCCTCTATGTGGAGACTAATGGAGCTGACTGAAGGGAAAATGGCCAAGATGATCCCCTGGTTCCCGCCATGAACGAGGAACCAGGTGGAGTCACCGACCAAGGTGGGGCGTGAAGGTGGATCTACTGATGCCCACATCTAGGGAGATGGACATCGCAAGCTCATTGCCCGCTATGTTGACTGGGAGACATTCAAGTTGCCACACTCTGAAAGCTGGTGTAAAGCTCAGGATAAAGTCTCGCACTGGAGATGCTCACATTTGGGTGTCTCCAGAATGTAAGTCACATTGGAAGCCATGGGTGGTATTGGGTCATCGGGAGTCAAGGTTGAGCATGTGAGACTAAACATGAACTGCTTCTCAGTCCTCTTGCTCAAGGGCCCTACTCTGGACAGACCTCTGACCATCTGCACCAAGCACACTGAGTCAGCAGAGGCTGAAACCCTTTATGTGGCCCTCTGGCTCTCTCCTCTGGACCAGCAGATTCTGCTGTGTGGTATGAGAGAAACTCTAATAGTTTTATCACAATAACTAGGAAAAAATGATCCTAGTCCAATTTCCTATGAAACTGCTTTTAATTCTGTTCTATGAAGAAAGTTGTTCATTGCACTTTTAGCCCCCTGACCCAAATCCTTGGTCATCAAACCACAAGGCAATTCCCCCAACATCACAATAAGTGAAATGTAAAACAATTTGTTAAGCAGTGATTTTGACAGTACAGATTAACAACATCTGACTTGTCAACATGAGATTAGTATCCTCTTTTGGGAAAATTTACTGAAAAAATAAAAGTATTATGGCTATAAATATGAGACTTTGAGCATTGTGAAGGAAACACTAAAATTTTACCAGTCTTATGTTTTTGGAATCTTAAAACAGTGCCTGGAAGATAATATAAGCTCACCTTCTGGAGCAGTCTATTTATGGTTCTGTAAAACTATATTCTTCTGCAGACTTTAAAAAAAAGGGGGGAGGGGGATATATTGACACCCGATAACAAAAGTATACAGGCATCTTGAGGCTGCTACTCTCCCCTAACTCTATCTGAAAGGCATTAGATGGTCCCTACACAGCCTAAGATATTGAATGAATTTTCAGTGTCTAAAATTCAATTACATATATGGAGATATTTGCTATATTCCAATGCAATTTTCACACCACCAGCTGTTCAGTGGAATATTGATCCCATTCACGAAGACTCACCTCCACAACTTCTGTGTTGTACATGATCACCAGCGGCACGGGGCCAAGCCAGAGTTTGAAAAGTGGCAGATGTCTGTATTTTTCAGAGTACTCAATTAGCTGCCGGAAAAAATCTAGGAGAAAATATTTCATTTTAAAGAAGTCTCTTATTGTGTCTTTTGGGATTTTTTTACTTTTGCCTTTTGGATAAGTCACTTAATATCTCCCAGCTCTTTCCCATCTTAAAGGTAAACCATGCGCAGTCCCTAGGAAATGATTTCATGAATGAAATATGAGAGCACTTTAATTTAATTATAAGTGAGATAACGTGTATGCAACAGCCTGGTGAACTACGAAATGCCAAACCCTGGGGATGTTTGTGGAGCGTTATCGTGTCCCTTCCCCAGGCACACTGAGGCTGGTAAACTTCTCCCGGCCTGGCTTCAGGTGGCCCTTTCCGAGGGAGGAGAACCTGCCCTGCCTCTCCAGCCCTGGTGCATAGATGCTCTCCTTCCACTCTCTCTAAAACAGCCCTGAGGTTCCTCAAAAAACTGAGAATAGAGCTACCATATGATACACCAATTATTCCTCTGGGCATTTATCTGGAGACCAGGAAAACACTCATTCGAGAAGATATGCATGCCTCTGTGTGCACTGCAGCATTACTAACGATAGCCAGGATATGGAGGCAAGCTTAGGTGTCCATCAACGCATGAATGGATAAAGATGACTGGATGAAGAAGATTCCTCACAATGGAATCCTATTCAGCCATGAAAAAGGATAAAATCGTATTGTTTTTCAAGATTTTATTTATTGATTTAGAGAGAGGGGAAGGGAGGGAGAAAGAGAGGGAGAGAAACATCAATGTGTGGTTGTCTCTCATACGTCCCCAACTGGGGACCTTGCCCGCAACCCAGGCAAGTGCCCTGACTGGGAATCGAACTGGTGACCCTTTGGTTTGCAGGCTGGTATTCAATCCATTGAGCCATACCAGCCAGGGAAGAAGTTCAATTTTCTTTTATAGGCTCCAGGCAATAACTGAAAGCTTCTAATGGGCACTAGCGTGATTGGTGTTGGGAACGGCCCTGCCTGGAATCAAAAGCTGTAACCCCCACCAAGGCTAAGGCTGAGGGAACGACCTTGGACTGTAAGCCAGCAAGGAGACAAAAGTTTATCTCCCTGGCAGGAGCACTGCTTGTGCTCCTTTTACTTCACCCTGCCTGGCCCCCAGTGCTTGGTCAGTTAGCCAATGACAGGTAAGATTCCCCAGGGGGGAACGACCTAAGACAGGCATGATCACATGGGAGGCCCCCAAGGATGGACTTTGGGGGCTACAGCAAAGCGGGTGATGGACCCTCGCCCCTCGGCTTTGACATAGCCTAAGTCCTCATTGTCTGTGAGAAAATCTCCTAATCTCTTGGCTGCCTTACTTCCTTTGCTCCACCTAAGCCTGAAACAATGACATAGGGTGGTGCAGCCCTGTGCTGGAAAGGGCGGGTTCCCCATGTGATCAGGCCTAGGAAAGAATACGTAAAATCCTGTGAAACCTGCTTAGAATGCTGTCAGTTGAATGATAAGGGTCCAGGGAAGAAGTAAGTTTGTTCCTTAAAGTTTCATAGCTCTTTGACCCTTACTCAAAATAGGCCCTCAGAGTTCCTTGTTATCTATTGTTTGATCCTTACTTTCTGGCAATGAGTAATGAGCTTTACCTGAATTCTTATGCAAACAAACCCAATAAAAGCCTGCTCAGGTGGGAGAACGAGGTGCTCCCCACTAGAGAGAGTGGCCGTTTCGTCCCTATTTCTCCGCAGGACTCGTTTGTCCGTGTGTGTGTATCTCTCGTGGTTCGACGAGCCATCTGCAGCATTCCGAGGTCACTGCAGGCCGGTGGCCGTGTCAGACTGGAGCTGTATTTTGTGTGAGATCTGTGAATAACGTGTATTCTGGGGCCACAGGAAGTTTTCTGGGGAGAGGTGGAGAGGAGACTAGGATTCGAAGCATCCAGAGCTAGAGGCCCCGGCCCTGCTTTCTGGCTGGCTCTTGTGTTGGGGGTGGGGCAATGCTGACCATTGATCCCAACATCACTGGTGTCGTGAGGAAAAACGGGGCATCAACATTTTCCAAGTTGAAATGCTGGAGGCCCCGGTCTGGGGAAGGCAGCCCAGCACTCAGAGAGGTCAAACAGTGACGAAACTCAGTCAGGAACACGATTTTGATGAGGGCCCCCTGGGGGGAAACACAGAGACCGAAGAACTGGTGGCCAGGGGGCCGACCTCAGAGAAAAGACACTGCAATGGTTAGACCGAGCCCAAGTCAAACAGCACAGAGAGGACCGGAGCTCAGGCTGGGGAGTCGACTGCAGGTTAGGAAGGTCTCGTTAGACTGCTCGCAAACTCCAGGCAGGGAAGGATGAGGAGGGCAGGCTAGCTGGGAGGCACACGGGTCCCCCAGCTTCTTCCAGGCAAACGGAACCCCGATTGCCTAGAAATAGGACTAATGCCAACCGCGCTGTGAGGCCACTGCTGTGGCACTTGAGACTTTGACAGGGCTGTTTCAACATGGGGATTTGGGCCCCATGGACAAGCTGACATGGCATGAAAAAACAAACTGTCCAACTCTTCTGCTCCTTTTCAATGCCAGTGAATGCTCACGTACACAGCTCATCCCCGCCCTTTGTCCACCCCGGGCTTCAGGGCAAGCTGCTCGAAGTGCGGCGGGAGGGAGGCCACGGCTCAAGAGTGTCCATTGCAGGTGACAGTGAAGAGCCAGTGATAATTTTTTAAAGCATCTGCACATTTTGGCACATCGAAACCTAATAATGCTTATCCTAAAATAGCTAACATTCATTATGCCACATTTACCTGCTGCGGCAGGTAATTACACACCAGACCAGGGCTAAGGGTTTTGGATGCCTTACGTCTTTTACACCTCACCACACTCAGATGAGAAACAGTTAAGTAACTTGCACAATATCACAGCGCTCATAAATGTCGGAAGCTGGCTTCGAACCAGAAGCAACCAGACCGAGAATGTGCCATCTTCACCATTACACCATACTGCTTCAAAACTCCTTGCAGTCAAAAAAAAAACAGAAACAAAAACAAAAACAAAAACAACAAAAAACAGGTGGCTAAATTGTTGTGGAAGGAGCCAGGTCAGATCAACAGTGTCAAAATATATTTAGCAGGCCAATAAACTGACTGCTTTGCTCTGGCCTGATAGAGGAGATAGGGAAAGTGGAATCTGTGGTTTGAAGGTAGTGGGTTGGTCCAGTAGCAGGGAGCAGCTGGGGAAGAAAGGTGTTAGGGGGTAAAAAAAGGGATAGGAAAAGCAAGAGATCAGGGCTCAAGAGTCTAGTTGGAAGCCAACTGTAATTCACTGTGAGATTACTGAGGCCAGAATTTGGACAGTGGTCATACAACGAAAGGCACAGCCTCTGGCATGAAAAACAAGCTTATTAAGAACAAGGACTGTATCTCAAAATGTTCTGATATTCCCAATTTTGCTGAGCTCAGTACTGGGCACAAAGGAAGGCCTCATATAAACGGATGATTGACGATTAAAAATTTACTCTAATCAAGCTCTGGACAGTGATCTAGAAGATGCACGCCTTCAGTGTAATCCGTAGGGAGCAGACTGGAACCTGGAGTGTTTTAAACAACTTGTCAACGTCAAATACCTTGGTTGCACAGCTGGAAACTGAGCAAAAGTCTGTTTCATGCCCAAATCCAGTAGTTGTTGATGGCTTAAAAAGTCACCTTGCAAAAGACAATTTATTGTCCTTCTCTTCACTCAAGAAGTAACTGTAAGGAGAATTACTTTAAATAATCCATCAAATCACTCTTCTGAATGGATCTTATGCACTGGAAATTTCAATGCTTAAAAAAAATCCCCCCAAAATATGATGTGATTTCATACGTATATTGTTTCTTGTTGCAGAGGGTTGTCTACATTTCTACACAGTTATTTTTTAAATACTCTAAAGCCTTGGGGTAGAAGGGAAGTTTTAGCATTAGCCATGATGATTTTTACAAATGTGGCTTTCATGTATCTAAATGCATTGCATCACTTGTAATATTAATCACATTGATTGAATAGTTTACTTGGATTTCTTCTGCCAGAAACATTTTCAATATTTTGGTAACACTCTCCCATGAGGCCCCATCATACTCCTGCATAGTTGACATGACAGCATTATTTTCCTTTGGGGAAAGAAGAGTGGAAAATAAATCACCTTTCAAGCTTTGGAGTTCGGTCTGTAAAACTTCTGTAACAATTAATCTGAGGGGATTAGGTTCTGGGTCTGTGCTCATTTTAAAATACGTCATTTGGGCAAATCTTTTCAGTTCTGGGTGTTTTATCTTGTGCACCCAGGAACCTGAAGAGCTCAGATCTAATTCATCCACCCTCATAGGTGATTGCAAATATCAGGTGTTTTTAAGAGCTTTCTAACCTACAGTGATTTTTTCCCCCCTGTCATCAAAACATAATATAAAACTATCTCTTCAAAAGATGATTTCAATTTTTAAAAATCACTCTTTAATAAACAAGACTTTGAAAACTCGCTGCGTGAGTTTTTGGGAAAGCCCCACCAACATAATTTTATTTTTATGTAACTCCTTAGAAGGGCTGAAGTATCAAGGCCAAGAAGAAACGGAACTTGTGGTGAAGTTTTGTGGGAGAGGCATCGTCCCAAAGAAATCTCTAGTCCCTTCTTTTTTGAGAGAGAAACACAAAGTTTTAAGGTCTTTCTGCCTTCGGGGCTTTAAGAGTACAGACAAAAGAAAAGACAGGCGGTGTTTAGAGACAGCAGCAGCCGGGAGTTGGGAAAGGGAGTAGAGAAAACTTCGTATGGAACGGAGGGCACCACCAATTGTTCGGAGTGTCATAGGAAAAACTGGATAGACTCGGGAACCCACTATATGATCGAGGGGGTGATAGAGTTCTCCCTCACCCAGCAGCCCCCCGCCCCCGCTAGTCGCGGTGTTCCCAGGTTGATGGGCTGGGATGCGCCCGAGGCTCCGGCTCCAGGAGATACTGCTGCGCCCGGGTCACGGTGCTAGGCCGGGCGCGCGCGGGCAGCGAGCCCTCGGGCCCTCGGGTGGGGATGCTACCGGCCTGGACGCGCAGTTCCTTACCTCTGGCGTCTGGCTTCAGAATCAGTAAGTGTCCCAAAAAGGGGTAGGCTCTCCCCTCGGTGATGGTCGGGAGTGACTTCATGTGCAGACATTTCTGCACGTAGCTCGCCAGCAGCTGCAGGAGTTTCAGGATCACGGTTACGCCAGCCAGGGAGATGGCGCTCAAGGCGCCCCAGAGCAGCAGCTTTTGGCCGAGGTGCACGAGCCACTGCGCCATCATCACACCGGCTGTCAGCTTCAAGCGGGGACTGAGACGTAGGACATCCAGGCCGGGGCGTGATCCAGGCCCCGCCGCTCTGCGTGGGGGCCCTGGGAGGAGTCCCGAAACTCCGGGAGGCGGGCTCAGAGGGCAGGCGGGGTGCGGGAGCTTCCGGGAGCGCAAACAGGTGGCGCGGGCTAGATCGCGTCTTCCTCCCGCTGCAGCGAGTTTGCACAGGTCCCGACGCCCCGGAGCGGGGACTTTCGGGTGCCGGGGCTGCCCTGCCGCTGGGGACAGCGGCGGAGCCTCCTAGGCTCCGGGGAGAGCTCCGCGGCGGAGTTACAATCGTGCAGGACAAACGCTTGCGCCAGGCGCGCGGGCTCTGTGTGTGGTTCAAGCAGAAAACGAAAGCCCGAAAGAAAGGCCGTTTCTGAAGACAGAGTGCGCTGAAAGTTAACGAAGGCTCTGGAGTGGCGTGGGGAGGAGAATGGAAGTGACGTTTAGGGCAACTTGGCGTTGGAAAGGCGCGCTGGGGCCTGGGAAGGCTTATCCTCGGGTCCTAGGACCCGGTTGCCGGACCCTTCTGTTTTAAAACGGAAGTAAAGAGGTTTCGGGTTTGAAGTTCGGCCCTTCGAAGTTGTTTTGGTTTGTTTTGTTTTTCCACTGGGGTACTTTAGCCTCACGACGTGTTTCCTTGCGCAACCCGAGTGCCTCCCACTGGCTGGCTGCGGGAGGTGGGTTGCATCCCGGCTTTGCCTCCGGGTCGTTCAAGGGCAGCTTCCTAGTCTGATCGAGAATAGCTGTAGGGACACCAGCCTTGGGAGTCCTAGTTCAAGTTTGCCATCAGGTCACGAGAGGGCTGAGTAATGTTGTTGTGATCCAAATATTTTCCAAACTATCCTTGGGACAACCCCCCGCCCCCCCCCAAAAAAAAAAACAAACAAGCAAAACGCCAGCACGTAAGAGAACACGGGGAGAGGCGGTGGGAGAGAATGAGCGTCGCAGTCTCTGGAAGGATGGTGAGAAGGACACCGCGGTTCTGCCCAAGGGCTGCGTTCCCTGCCTGCCGATTTCTCCCGTCAGACAGAGGGACTCTGACTCTGTCTGAAGAGTCAGTCCTGACCCTGGTTCCCGTTTCTACACGTGACCCTTCTTGCAAAGGGGCCAGGCTAGGAGTGCCCCTCTCCTAGGAGCAGCTTCCTAACTTGCAGAACAAGCGTCAAGCGAGACCACTTTGAGCGATGCCGCGGATCCCTCCTTGGCTCAGAGTGGTTTTTACTCCCAGCTGTCGCCTGGGTTGTCCCCCGCCACCCGCAGGGCCTCCTTGCTGCGGAGAAAGACATGCCTAAGACGTTCTTCCAGCTGTTTTTAAGTCACCCATATGTACTGGCATGAAAAAAAGTTAACAAAATAGTGGGGAAAAAAAGTCGCAGAACAGCGTGTATAATGTGATGCCATCTTTGGGTAGGTAAACTTTACAACTGGACTGCTGTCTGGGAAGAGAAACACTGATCACCTTTAGGGAGTGGCCGTGCAGAAGAATTTACAATTTTTATTATATTTCACTTAATCTGCTTAAGGTTTTTTTTTACTCGGGTTTGATGTTTTTAAGTCTATCTCCTGGGCTTTCGTTTCCTTCTCTCTAAAGGTCTGTTACAGCGACAATACTATGGGATTTGTCTGTATCTGACGCTCTTCTAATCTCTGTGGACGAAACAAGGGATACATCAGGGCTGCCCCTAAGGAGTGGAGGAGGGGTTTGGGGGAGTGCTCGAGGCAGCAGCAAACAGGAGCAAGAAGTGCTCCAAAGCAGGAAAGGGTATGATGCGCTGGAGAAACTGAGTTTGTGTGTAGGGGTGGGGCGGGGCTTCTGCTTGGAGCATAAGGTGGCTCCTATAGTCTCCACCAGCTGAACTAGAACCTCACTACCAGGCTTAGAAACGTTATCTTTTCTTTGAAGGCAATTTGGGGATGAGCAGGAGATTGCTCAGGATCTTTGAAAAGGGACAATGGAACAAAAGCCTTGTCCCTTTGTTTCCCTGCGTCCTCTTTCCCATCCTATTTGTTACCGGATAGGACCCGCCTCACACTTGCCAGGGAAGTTCAGACTAAACCAGTCAGATGGCAAAGCATCAGGGAAACCCATGGCGACATCCTACGCTCCTGGCAACGACGGTCCCAGTGTTGCACCCGAGGGTGGCTGCCCTGAGAGGTAAGGATGCTGTGTGTGGGCGACGTGACACAGATAGCCCACCTACACTTGTGACCACTGTGTCAGCCTCGTGGAGCTCCGCCAGCTGAGCAGGAAGTTGCCTCCTAACTTGCTGTCTTGAAGACTCATGCGACATCCAAGGGCCAGCCCTCCCCACCTGGAGGCTCTTCGTTCCTCTCCCTTGCTTGGAACACCTGCTTTGGAAAGTTAAAGTCGTGGCCAGAACACGTTACAAGCCACAGAAAGGCTTTGTAAATGTTAGCACTTCGATCTCCTTACATTTTCCATCACTTGGAATGACTCTCAATATGAAAAAAAGATATTTAATTTGGATTGCAAAAATAAATTCTGGCTGAACTGTCTTATTTACATACTTACACATAGAAATTATCAGGATAACGGGAAGCTTTGTCACAAGTTGTTGAATGGCCAAGATCAGATACACACTTAAAAGTACAGCTTTATGGACCTTCTGTGTAGCTGACCCAGGTCACACACTAGAACACAGAATCATACTGTATGTACTCTTTGCATCTGTCTTCTGGAACTCAACATTATTCCCATGAGGTGACCCTATATTGCTATGTGTACTATTTTCCCTTATTTTTCACAGCTGTGTTTTATTCCATTGTTTGACTATACCTCAACTTATTATCTGCTTTATGACCAATGGTTGCTTCAGATGGCTCATGCTCATATATATTTCATTTCATGTACATACATATATATCCTATTAATTGTTTCTATGGGAATCCTAATATAACCATTTTATTACATTGATTCCTATTATTTGATGTTTTGAGGCTATTATAAATCATATTTTTATATTTCACTAATTGTTGTTAGTATATAGAAATGCAAATGAATTTTTATGCTGACCTTGTATTCAGTGAGTTTGCTACAGTAACATATTGATTTTTAAATATATCTATAGATTATTTTAGATTTTCTACCTACACAATGAATTTTTTTGTGAAGAACAATTTTTTGCTTTCTTCCCAATATTTGAGACCCCTCTATATTTTAATCTTGCCTTATTGGGCTGCCCAGGATGCCCTGTACAATGATGAATAACTTTGGTGGCTAGCAGAAACTTTTTGCATTGCTTCTGATCTCAGTGGGCATAGTTGAACATTTTACCTTGAAGTGTGAAGTTTGCTGGAGGGTTTTTTGCCTCTAAGTACCCATAATCAAATGATAATTGTTCCCTCTTTTCCTAGAAAATTTTATTATGAATAAACTTTTTCAAAGAGCTTTTCTTCATCTGTTGAGAAAATCATATGGCTGTTTCTCTTGACATCATTTGTTCATTGATTAATTATTTCTCACATGGTAGGCCAAACTTGCATTCCTGGCATGGATCTAATTTGGGTGACATATTACCCATTTCCTACCTGACACATTTGATTTGCTACTCTTTTGCTTAGTGTTCAGAGATGAGGTTGGCCTATAATTTGCCTTTTTTTTGGTAATACTTTTTATCAGGCTTTGTATCAAGGTTATGCTAACCTTTCAAAATGACACCCTATTCTCTTAGAAAAAAATTGTATTTTGCTATTATTGATGCCATGTGTTCCTCAAATATTTGGAAGAATTAGCCATGGAAGTCATTGGGGCTTGGAGTTCTCTTTGAGAAAAGGACTTTCATAATAAATTTAAGTCTATAATAGTTATAAACCTCTCCAGATTTTCTATTTCTTCTTTGGTGATGTCATATTTTTCAAGGAATTTAAACATTTCCTCTAAATTATGAAATCGAGTCATAGTATACTGGTTAAACTTTACCATCTGTAAGATCAGTAGTGATAGGCCCATTTTTACTCCTTGGACCCCTACCCCCCTTTGACTTCAAGGATTCCACATTCTCTTAATTTTTATTCTCCCTCACCAGCCATTTTTTCTCAGGCTGCTTTGCTGGTTTCTGGTCACAGCCCACACCTCTAGATGTTGAACATCCCAGGGCCCAGAACTCTTCCCCCACCCCCTGCCACTTTATACTTGCTCTCCTGGTTCTAATCCATTTCAGAACTTAAATACCATCTGTATGTTCAAAAATCTGTACTTCCGGTCTATACCTCTCCTCTAAACGCCAGGTGCAGAGACACTCAGTTTGAGGGGTTTACTCAAGTACCTTCCCGTCTCTCCTAGCGTCCTTCTAAATGTGCTCCTCTTGAATTCTCCCCGATTTCAGTGAATGGCCGCCCCGTCTCTCCAAGTGTGAAGCCAAAGCCTTGGAGGCAGTATTGACTCTTTCTTTAGTGACACTTCACATCTAATCCCACAATAGCTCTTGCTGACTCGGCTTTCAAAACACAATCCAAAGTCCCATGACATCTCGGCAGCAACAGGACTGTCACTTGACTGAAACGGCATCTCGTGGCAGGTTGCATCACTCACTCTGTCCTCAGAACGTTTCAGCTGCTTCCTAGTTCAGATAATGTTCTATTCCCAAGGCCAAAAAGGATCTTAATAGCTCATCTCCTAGGGCATAGCTCATCTTAATAGGGCATCTCCTGCTATTCTTCCCCTTGCCAGTTCCCTTCTATGTCCCAATGGTCTCTCTGCTGTTCTTCAGATCTCCAGGGACGCTCCTGTTTTAGGCCTGTGGTTTTTTTCCTGCGTTCAGAGTTCCCTTTTTCACATCTGCACGGCCTCTTAGCTCGCCTTCTTTGCATCTTTGCTCAAGCATTACCTGCAAATGAAAGCCTTCCCTGACTATTCGAATTAAAGTTGCAGCACTCTTTTAGGTTTCTCTATAGCTTTTGTTGCTCTCTGACCTTATATTATGTTTTTATTGATTTGTTTATTGAAAACAATGACAATAAAAATACAGTACCCAAGTGATTTATGATACTAAAAAGTCGATTGTCCCTTCCACTAGAATCTAAGTTCTGTTAGGGCAAAGATTTTATGTTGTTCAGTCCAATGCTTAGAACAGAATCTTAACACAAAGAAGGTGCTTGAGGAATATTCAATGAAATAATAAATCCAAGACGATCGCCACACAGGAATGTAATCTTCTGAAACAAAGAGAAAACTGGGGAATTCATAAAAGAGTTAAAACTTTCACAAAGATACATAGATATGTATGTATATTTTGAATTCACAGGGGAAATTTTGCTCTGTGAAAACCTGAGTATTAAAAACTGCAAAGTAGAAAGATATTTACACAAATTATATAAAAACTGGGAACCTGAACAAGCTTTAAGAAATATATATTTTTAAAACTCTTTCAACACTTTATTAAAAATTAAAGAATTAAAAATCCTGAATAATGATCTGTAGTCATAAAACAATAATAGTAAAATTATGATACACAAATTATTTATATTACAAGATGTACCTCTTACTTGGTATCTTAATTGTTCTAGTTCAGAATAACAACACACTTCCTCTTCTGTTAAATTTATAAAATCTAGCAGTTTTATGATATTTTACATGTCTTTATATTACTTTTAAATACCTTCATTCCTTCTTTGCTTTTGGATAAATTAATAGACATTTTATTAATGTAGTCACTAATCTTAGTTTAAAAATTGATCTCAGGAGTAATTTTGTTTGCCTTTTCAATTTTCCACAGAGAAATTTTAAGATGACTAATTATTAATCAATGATTAGCATGAAAACACTGCCCTAGTTTTTTACCTAACCCGTTCAAAAGGCGCCATCCCTAGTATAAGGATTGCTGACTAACCCCTAACCCCCAGCTGACCTGTGAGTAGAGCACCGTCTTTATCGCAGGGTGGAAACACGTGCTACGAGCAGGACTCTTCAAACTCAGGAGCGGAGCCGTCTTCTCCTTACGTCCAAAGTGGTACTTTACCTTCCAGTTGAAAACATGCAGAAGATAATGCATCAGGGTCACTGTACTTGGTTCTATTTTTTAAAGTATTTTTTATCAATATAAGTAAATAGTAGTTCTTTTTGTTGGTGTTGCAAAACTCCAAAGCCAAATAAAATAAAGCTACCATAAAATCTACTCAGTGCTTCTCTACATGAAAAAAATAATTCATTTTGGATACTCTACTGTTAGTATAGGATGCATACCAATCCTTTTCTCTTCTAAGAAGTCTGGGCTGATTAGGGAAGGACTTGGATGGTCCTCAGAAATTGGTATAAAATAGCCTGATCGGTTTTGCAAGAGCCAGGGAGATGGAAATGGCACATTTAGCGGTAATTCTGGACCAGAGAGCACTTAACCAGAGCCCCTGAGGATCAGGGGCTCCAAACCGCATACATGTCTAGAAATTCCTCATATTTGACAACTGCAAAATGGAGACTGGTGTTTTCTCTTGAACTTCTTTCTAGCTGATATTTAGGGACAGTTAGAAAACTCTCTGTGCATGTTACTAAGCATCAGGAATATTGCCCGGAGTTACAGAGCTGTGGCCATCCAAGAGCTACAGCGACTGTTCTCTAACACTGCCCACTCCCTAACATTTGCCATCACTACAGAAGTTCAAGTAGAGGATGCCAAGGAAAAAGTGGCGATCAAAGGCGGGCCTCTGAGGCCACTGTTGTTTTGTTGCTCTGTGATAAAGGACACCACTAATTTCAGTCCCAACACACTTCTTCGTTTGCAGACATCCATAAACGGGCAACGATCCTCTCTTCTTCCAACCAGAAATAATTTATTAGACGTTTGTAGGAATATATATGCCGATGTATGTAAAGTTTCCTTTTGGATTAATAAAACTTAAATTGACAAAATATAATTCTCTGGTAGAAAAGAAGACATTATGGTAAGTTGCGATCTGAGAAGATCAAAATGGGCCTGCGGGTTTAAACGACTACGAGGAGAAACCACCGGGGAGAGAAGGGAAGGAGAGATGGCCCGAGAGAGAGCCTCGCCTCCGAAGGATCATCTATCTCCTCTCCGCAGCCTCTGTTCCACCGCCTGTGTCCACGTCAGCAGGGACACAGGCTCCGGAGGAACATAAAGCAGGGCGAGAGCTCAGAGAGAGGAGGGCACTGCTGCTTTAGACGGAGGCATGGGGGAAGGTTTTACGTCCACAGGGGACACCCGGGGAAAGGTCAGGTTGCGATGACAAGGAAGGCGCTGCTGCAGAGCCTTCTCTCCGACGGATGGACTCTTCCATTGTAAACAATAAAGATGAAACCACATGCGACACACTTTAATTATGTTTATAGTCATAATCAAAATCAGTCGATTGGCTTTAAAAACAATAAACAGGGGATACTTCTAAACCGAGCGCCTGAATTGGAACAGGAAAACCAGTTCGACAAAATCGGCTTGGGAGACTCGGCCGCTGTCCTTCCTCAAAGAGGTTCGGGACTAAACTACAGACAACGACTAGGGCAGCCTGGACCTCAGTCCCACGGGCACGCCGCACCGCAGATGACTGGGCCATTTTCTAAAGAAGGAAATCATATCGTTAGTGACTAGGGCTCTGATGGAATTAGTCATGGAACAAGACATACCTAAAAATAGGTCAAGACACAAAGCTATAAAATGGCATATTACTAGAAAATATATTTTTATATATTAAGCAGTGGGTGAACATGTGTGTTGATTATGTGCATGTTTGTGTATAATTGGTGAAAGGATGAATCATAAATATATATTGGATTCTTCTGAGCAAAGCCTAAAGAATCCATATCGGAATGCTTCTGATAAGATTTGTGAGTTTGACTTGCATTCTGTTAATGACGCAAAGTGTTCAAAATTAAGTTGTTTGTCTACATTTCTCTCAGATAGTTTAATGTCTCAGACCAGCAGGCCAACAGATACACAACATAACACTTGTTCTTCCATTGTTCCATGGTGAGTGGGAGGCTCTGAATGCTCCCACAGGGTGCTGCAGCTCTGGCGGAGTTGCATCACGACGCCACCTGGAATCTCTTTCTTACGGTCCAAGTTGTCCTCTGAAAAGATTTAGATGGATACTGTGAGCCTGAAACACCAACCAAAAGAGTAAATCTCACTACAGTGTTCAAAATCCCAGCTTGCCAAAGGATTGTTTTGTATATCCCACGCAGACGATAATTTTTAAAAAGAAAAAATTATGTTAATGTCACCTTTACGGAAACCAGAAATCAGTCATATGCAAACAACTGCCATTTGGGATTTGGGGTCCCGAGAAGAAGGGAAGGTGCTCTTCCTCCACAAAGCCACGTGTCCTTCCAGAGCCACTGGGTTTGCAGGATCCGCCTCCCCGGAGGCGGATCCCTAGGGTCCAGGTGGTGGAGTGCGGGGCTGTGGCAGCCCCGCTGCTTCAGGAGGCGGAGGCAAAGTCAGCTGCCTTCCTGCTGTTGGGGACACCCCATCAGCTCCTCCTTTCTTTTGTTCAGCCACAAAAACAGTATGTTGATAAGTTAATAGCTCCAGATGCTTTTAGACATGGAAGCAAAGGTGGGGAAGAGACTACATGTTTGCTTGTCAGAGAAAAATGAAAATAAATTCTTAGAAACAGAGGAACACCTCTTTTAATGTACCCTGACTCCCTTCTCTAGGAACAAAAAAAGGCCTCCGACCACCAGGAATAATAGTTGTCACAAATGTTGGAGAAGAGACAACACTGACTGAATATCAAGTGACACATTAAGAATGTAGAGTTAAAACAAATTCAGAGCCCAGTTCAATCCCCTAGCCTCCGCTCTCCGGCACACAACAAGCTAGCCGGTGTCTCCACGTGGCATGCTGTTATCAGCGCCTCTGTGGCATGCTGTTATCAGCGCCTCTGAGACCAGATGGATCAGAAGTCCTCAAAGAGGCCTGTCCGTCTTTCAGTCCCACCCACAGAATCCCACTGATCTGCCTTCGCTCCTTCCTCCCTCACATTCCACAGGATGTTCCTCCTGACCCAGTGGCCCCTGCCTCCCCAGGAAGGCTCCGTGCCCCTTTGCCCACCTGCGTGTCCAGGTGGGTGGCTCTGCTCACCACTCCCGTAACCCTTCTCCACCATCCCCACTACATTGAACCTTCGTTCCTTCGGGCACAGATCAAAACATCGGTGGCGTTCGAATCTCTGCCTTTAGCCCAGAATCTGGCACAGAGCAAGCAGTTAGTACATTGTGATTCATTAATAAACAACCTCGGGTGTCTACTTTCCCCTTGACCATCGACAATTAAGTTAAGAGCAATACCTGGTAGAGCAGCATGGCCGCCCTTTAGAGGAAGGACTGTTGTCACTGAGCACGACAGCTAACAGTGCTAGGGAATGTGTAAGGGGAAAAAACAAAACATACGGCAGCCCAGAGCTATGAGGCATTGGGGGGGAAATCTTAAAGAGCTGAAGAACCTTTGACATCACTCTGGTACAGAAGGGCCGATGTACACAGCGACAAACCTGTATTCCTCCAATGCTTACATTTTGCTAAGTTTATTTTAAAATTATAATATATGAAGTATTTCCCTGAAAACAACAAATTATTTTTACATTTCAGATTATAACACAAATGTTCATAATTATTGAGCAAAGAATGTCTGTCTGGCATCGAACATGGTCCTCCCCATCCATTCTTCCAATGATTATAACAGGAGAAACTGAGGCCCAGAGAGGTGGCGGCACCCCAAAGATGGCTCAGCTCGCAGGTGGCAGAGCCGGGCTGGAAACCGAGCACTGATTCCAGAGTGACCCGCCTCATGGCGATGCCACGCTGCCTCCCTGGACAAAAATGTCGGCCATACTTTGAAAATGAAGACATCGTTGGCTTCAATTCAGACTACATACTTTCTTCTTCAAAGAGCGTACTTCTCTGTAAAACCCTACATTTAAAATAATTAGAATACACGTGTTAATGTTATTAACCATGTTTATAATTAGATCTTCAGAGAATTGAAGATTTGGGCTTCGCCTAGAAGCAAAGCATGAAACTCTGTAGCTGAAAGAGACACGAATTTCTCCTAAGACTCAAAAGGCAGCACTTTCCTTCCTCCTGAGAGTGAGGCCATACGTTAAGCAAGGACATGTAGGCATTCTCCCCTTGACGGCCAGCAACAGCATGTCTTTGGGGTTTTGCTCTTCACAGAGATTTCTGAGGTCTGGCCGTGGACCACAAACGCTCAGTATTTCTCTGACGTGATCAAAAGTCCTATCAAAGTGGACAATCTTCTATTTCTCTTTCCAAAACGTGCAACTTCACAAACTGCGTCACTTTATTTGCACATCGAGAACACTGACCTGTCAGCAAACCTTGACCTGTCCAGGTGTGGCCAGCCAACTCCACCAGTGTCAACGAGCCTTTCCGAGGCGTGTCTGACTGTTGGGAGAAAAATAAAATCAGGGTTGAGTTTTATTGTTTCAGATATGTTTTTCCTTGTGTGACTTTTCATCCAAAGGCTTTTTTTTTTTTTACTTTCAACATTGTTTTGTATTCGTTTCAGGTGTTCAACATAGTGTTTAGACAATCGTATACTTTACAAAACACTGCCCCAACATTTCCAGTGCCCACCTGGCACCCCCCATAGACACAATATCGTAACGTTATCGACTACATTCCCCGTGCTGTACCTTACATCCCCACGACTGCTCTGTAACCGCCCACCCGTGCTCCTCAACCCCTTCACCCCGCTCCCCGAGCCTCCTAGCCGCCTCCTCGGTGATAACCATCAATCAGTCTGTTCTCTGTATCCATGAGTCTGTCTCTGTTTTATTTCATTTCTTTTTAGATTCTACATCAAAGTGAAATTATATAGTATTTGCTTTTCTCTGACCAACTTACTTCACTTAGCATGGTACCCTCCAGGTCTATCCATGCTGTCGCAAATGGTAAGATTTCCTTCTTTTTTATGACTGCGTAACATTCCATTGTACATATTTACCACGACTTCTTTATCCACTCATCTAATGATGGGCACGTGGGTTGGATATTTTTAGGAAACCAAAGTATGGTTAACAGAAAACCTACCCGAAACGTATGGGTTGTGCTGGGCCTTGAAAGCTGTTCCGTGGCCAAGGGTCTTTCGTGACGAGGTGATCGGACTATTTTATCAGGTGCTGCGCTTAACACTTGGTGTGTGTGCCTTCCTCTGTACTGCATGAAAGAAAATTTGTTCTCGTTTAAATGAAATGCAACCCTTCGAAAATAAAAGAGAATCTGTATCTGTTTCCTTCACTCATTTAGTCATTCACTCACTCACTTATTTGAAAACTTGTTCATATATGGCTAAGTATTAGGTCTACTGAGCATAAATATCAAAATATATTTTAATTATGTAATGGTATTATTTAGACTGATAAAACGGTAGAGTCCTAGTAGGTAAATATGTTTTAAAAACCTTAACCACATCAAACTCTTAATACTAAACTATCATAAAAATGTAACTATGCATTTGTGGAGGAGCATCAGACTTTTTTTGAAGGCGATCTCTGTCTTCTTGTGTGGCTTCACGCTACGCCTCCATATCCGAAGATTAAACATGAACTCTCCGCCACTCTGGCCTCCTGGGAACGGCGCCACTGCTGGGCTCCAGGAGACGCACGGAATGCAAGCGAAAACATTGCCTCGGTGGTTTGTTCCACCTCCCAGCCTTTATGTTTCCACAGCTGGGTCCTTCCGTGTCTGGCAAAGTAGACATAAGCTCCCAGAGCAAAGGGTGTGGTCACTATTGAATCTGGTTATACAGACAACCAGTAGCACGGCTTCCCCCAGACCTTTTGCAACTGCAGAGCTGAGCTGACCTTGGCTGAGGAAGATATTGACTCGCCATGGTCAAGTGAGCTGCAACCTCTGATACAAATGGCAGGTGGATTTTCAGGCTGAGCTCTTAATTTATGCCAGTCATTATTCAACATCGAAACACTCATTTAGTCCTTGTAATAACTCTTCAGGGAGAAATCACTATCACCCTTTCATAGAAGACAGAATTAAGGCTCAAGGAGATTCACGGGGACCAAATCCCACAGTTTGTGTAGCAAGAGTCACACACACATCTGCTTGTCTCCGACCTCCCCTTCGTGCCACTTTCCTCACCACACCATCCTGCCACCACACCCAAACTTTCTGATTTAGTTTAGGCCACATTTTTATTTTGCAAAATGGTGAATTAATCCTCCCATCCTCTATAAATCCTCACAAAGCCATTAAGCAGATGATGGAGACATTTTTTGTTCAAGATTTCACTTCAAAGTGCCAAGGTTATATTTTGTTTGTTCATTTGTTTTTCAATAGACCATCAAAACTGTGCACTTAAGCCCTGGCTGGCGTAGCTCAGTGGATTGAGCGCAGGCTGCGAACCAAAGTGTCGCAGGTTCGATTCCCAGTCAGGGCACATGCCTGGGTTGCAGGCCATGACCCCCAGCGACCACACATTGATGTTTCTCTCTCTCTCTATCTCCCTCCCTTCCCTCTCTAAAAATAAATAAATAAAATCTTTAAAAAAAAACACAAAAAACCGTGCACTTAAATATAATGAAATCTGTCTTACGGAAGCAGGGCGAGATCCGGGAAGTGCCACATTCCGTTCGGCAGCCTCGGAGCCTATCGGGGGCAGCCTGGTCCGCGGGGCTGGGACCAGCGGGGAGGACAGGTGGTCTAGGCCAGTGTGCCTGCAAACACAACAACAGGTGACTGAGCACCCAGGTGCCGAGACGGAGGGCGGACCTTACCGCTAGCTCCTCATCGGAGCCCTTCCTCACGGAGGTCTGCTTCCGAAAGAGATGAGCTGAAGTTCAGGAAGACAAAAGTGGGGAGGGGACTGACCACCCTCTCCAGTCACCTTCTCCTTGCTCTGCCATGACTGTCGACCTGTATTTACTGGGTGCCCAGCTCTGCCAGCCACCGTGGGGCACGGAGAGCTCGTTCCAACCCCGACGGAGTTCTCAGGTTACTGCAAACACACCAGGTAATCAGAGCACACTGCAGTGCAGTTTGTATAATGCAGTGCACTGGTATACGGTTTTGAATGTAAGCACTGTAGAAATTTAGGGACTAGAGTGATCTATGAAAGAAAAGTTATTTACAAATGTGCAGGGCCTGGATTTGGAAAACCACTCAACTTTATGCATGGTCATACAAGGGAGAGGCAAAATACGCTCTTTAATGGAAAACTACATATTTTGAAAATGTCAGTTATTTCCTACATTGTCAATAAATTTAATTCTAGGAAGTCCAATGTGACACTTTTTTAAAAAGCTTGTCAACCCGATTGTATAGTTTAGTTGTCATGATAGCCAAGTAAATTTGAATTTTTTTAAAAAAAAGAGTAATAATGATGATAGGGAACTTGCCCTTTCAGATGTTAACATTGAAAAATTTATGGACTATTATATTCCACACACTGGGGAGCAGTTAGGAAAGAGTGTAACAGCACCCTGAGAATGGCAACAATGAAAAACACACTGGGAAACACGTGGCTACAGAGAGGGACAGACCAGCAGCAAAGGCGAATGCACAGCCAGAGGCGGCCGAGCGTATTTCCATGGGAAACAGACAGGGTTTGTTGGTGGAGCCTGGGTGGTTGGGAGGAAGAGGCCAGAACCAGTAAAGAGCTACTGAGGTGGCCGTGACTGAGGAATGGGTCCCAGGAAGCCACAGTGACAACGCAGGAGGGAGTAGGACCTTCAGAGGAGTAATAGGGTGGACCCAAATAAAGCTGGAAATTTCGGATCCAGACAGTGGAACAAACAAACACTGGCCTATCCAAACGCTGAAAGTGGTGCTATGTAACTCATTCTGAAAAAGTCCCAATGGAATTCTATGCAGCAGAAAGGAAGAAGGAGCTCCTACCCTTTGCAACAGCTTGGATGGAGCTGGAAAGCATTATGCCAAGTGAAACAAGCCAGGCAGTGAAAGACAAATACCATATGATCTCACCTTTAACAGGAACCTGAACAACAAAACAAAGAAACAAGCAAAATATAGTCTAAGACACTGAAATACAGGACAGGCTGACAGTGACCAGAGGGGAGAGAAGAGGGAATTTCAGGGGAGAATGGGAAGGGTTTATAGGAACAAATTTAAAGGACACGTGGACAAAAACTAGGGCGAGGGTGGAAATGGGAGGGACGTGGGGAGGGTTGGGTGTGTGGGCTGGATTGGAAGTAAAAGGGAGAAAACTGTACTTGAACAATGATTAAAATAAAATAAAATAAATAAAGAATGAAAAAAAAAGAAAAAGTCCAATTATTGGTTAGGCGTTGGCAGTTGCTTCTGCCTCCCGCCCCTGTGCGGGGGACCTTTGGTCACTCCCTCCCTTGCTGCCGAAAGCCTGTGGCAGACGGTCCAGGCAGTGTCTCCAGAGCGAGACAACACAGCGGGAGCGCCGACAAGTTCCCTACACAGCTAAGTGTACTGCTGAAACAAAGTTCATGTTATACTCACAGAGTCAAATGTTAAATGTCCAAATACACGAACTACTTAGAAAAGTGTCCACGTAAATTCGATAAAGGATGCTTTGTCTGGAATAACGCACGAGCCCTGGGTGATTAAGGGTCTCTACCCTCTGTGGCCTGTGGTGTGCCGTGAGCGACTTACAGTTTCGTTCCCCTGTGCAGCTCATCGCTGTCCACAGTGGGGGTTCTCAGCCTCTGTGGGTCTGCAGGAAGAGAAGGCAGCCTCCTGTGGATGGGTGTTTTCTTGGCAGGAGTCTGCAGCCCACGCGTGTCTGAGGTTCGTCCCAGGTGGCAGCGCGCCGAGGACAGCGCACTGGCCCCGACACTCACTGATCTGTCCTCCTGGTCATTCCTGGGGGAGGGGAATCAAGTTAACGACCCAGACGTCATCTCTGCAAGAACAGGGGACATGTGCCCATTGCCGGACACGGTCTAGAGCCTGACATGCTACAGAGCCTGGTTCACAGAACATGCTCCTACCTGTTGAAAATAAATGGAGTATCATTTTCAACTTCAATGAAGAATCATCGACAGGAAAAAAGATCTAAGTTTCTTACTGTTTATGACCAAAGAGTTGTCCGTCAGATTAAGAAATCACAGCCACATTCTCTGTTTTTCTTATCTGCCCCAAACAACTAGTCATCCCTCTGCGGTCGATATTAGAAGCGCGTGTTTTCAGCCTCACACGGGGGCTGTGTCCTGCCCTGAGTGTGAGTGTGAGTCTCACTCTCATGCCGGCTGTGGTGCCGGTGCTCGAGTGTGCCCCGCATGGGGAGATGGCTGGGAGATCATTTCTTATACTCACTGTGTCCTATCGGCCAAGTAGGTGGGTCTCTGTTGAAGTGGTTTTGCTTGAATTGTCATCACACCATTCAGATCATTATAAACATGGTTGGAGGAGCGATGAATCTGAAAAAAGGAAGGGCAGTAAAAATCAGAAAGCATCCCGTGGCACGGCAATCACAAATGCCGTCAGGAAACCACAGGCAAAGTGACTCATTTGAGGAACATGTAGTAAAGGGACTGGATTTTATGAAGATGTGGGGTGTGAAATGAACAAGGGATAGCTTAATGCCCCAAGACCCCTAACAGTGGGGACGCATGCCCGCACCCGGGCCCAGAGCCACAGGGGTGGCTGCCTGGAGAAACGCCACCAACACACCGCGACCTGGCAGCGGGAGGAAAGCAAAGCCAGGCCTCATTCTGGCCTCATCTCTCAGCTCCCAGCAGCTGCTGGGCCAGGGAGCCAGCTCACGCAGCCTCCGGGCACACCAGGGTGAGGAAGGGACAGGGAGGAGCTGGAGAAGCAGAGCGGAGGCGCCCCAGCCCGTCCCTGGTCCCTGGCAGGTTTGCCTCGGAGACCTTCTCCCGCCCTTCTCTCCGGCAGTCCTTCTCTCCGGCAGTCCTTCACGGCTGCCCCTCGGCTTCCTGGGAGCGGCACCACCGCACCAGGTCCCAAAGGCCTGGACTGCAATCCCAGCGCTGACCGCTTCCTGGTCGGTGAGCTTGGGAAGATAACTTTGGAGTTTCAGTTTCCTTACGTTTCAGTTGGGAATAATGACACCTGCTTCACAGAATGAGGACAGGAATCATGTTAGACAACGTGGGTGAGACCATGGAGTAAGGGCGCAACAATGGATTCTTGATTCAAGCCCTTCACATGTCCCACTGGGGCTCAAAACAGTATTTAGATCTAGACAAATAGGATACCTGAAACTGGAATTCTCTTCTAGTTCAAGAACAGACGTAGCAACCACAGTCACATTGTCCTCATGTTGCACGCATTCAGAAACAAGTGTCAGCCTTGGCTGGTGTAACTCAGTGGATTGAGCTCAGCCTGAGAGCCAAAGGGTCACTGGTTCGATTCCCAGTCAGGGCACATGCCTGGGTTGTGGGCCAGGTCCCCAAGTAGGGGGCACACAAGAGGCAACCACACATTGATGTTTCTCTCCCTCTCTTTCTCTTTCCCTTCCCCTCTGTCTAAAAATAAATAAATAAAATCTTTAAAAAAAAAAGAAGTGTCAGAGGACTAAATAAAGACCTACTGTAATTACCACTGGAATGCTTTGACTATTTCAAAATAGGTTCTGTTAGTATTTACTTATACTTTCAACTGTGTTGTCCATTCATTTTCTTGGAGCAATTATCCAAAAGAAAACCTCAAAAATAGATACAGAAAACATTTTTTAACCATAAAATATCTTAGTTACAAAATATCTGTGAAAAATGGCTTTGATTTAAAAACGTCCCTGTACACATAGACAAAAACTAGGGGGAGGGTGGTAATGGGAGGGAAGTGGGGAGGGAAGGGTGGGTGGGCTGGAATGGGAGTAAAAGGAAGAAAACTGTACTTGAACAATGATTAAAATAAAAAATAGGAAAAAATAAATTAAAAAATAAAAACACCCGGTTTCTCGGGTTTATTTACTTTGCCAATATTTAAAGGTTCTTCCCATGCTGCTCTCAACGGCTCATTGTCATGCAGCTCATGCCGCACACTGGATTATGCCAAGGGGTAAGTACTGCTGAACTGTCGGAGCAGTTTCAAAAGACCAAAATTTGCAACAAGTCCGTAGCAATTCCGAAACTTCTTTTGAATAGCAAAGCAAAGAAGACATTGGAAAGCCTTTCCCCTGGAGAGTGAAGCTATCTCATTAGGTATTTCTCCTTCCAACCGCTGCCCGCTGCACTGCGTGCCCTACGCGGGCCCGGGTCCTTTCAGTCTTCCAAAGACGCTCAGTGGATTGGCTCCTGTGTGAGGTGCCTTGTTTGTGCCTCTGCCTTGGGTGTCCCCCCTTTCTTCTCAGCTCTCCAAATCTTGCCTGTTGTTTAGGGTTTAGTTAAGTCTCACTCTACTCTGTGAAGGGTATGCTGTTTTTCCTGTGAACCCTACATCCTTTAGGAGCAATAATTATTACCTGATTATAATGCGTCATATGATATAATACATAGCATCTATCTACGTACAAAAGTAAAACATTTACTGAGTGGCTACTCTAATGCCACACAATGTTTTGTCTCTTTTAATTCCTACAGCTTCCTGCCTCATAGATGCCATCCACCAGGGTGCCAAACTCATTTTCACCGGGGGCCACATCAGCCTCGAGGTTGCCTCCAAAGAGCTGAATGTAACTTTAGGACGGCATGAACGTAGCTACTCCTTAACAGTTAAGCGAGAGCTCAGCACTGCCGCTGGCTAGAAACAAGGTGTCGGGGTGGATAAAGCAAGGTGGAGGGCGGGATTCGGCCTGCGGCGGGCCTTGTGTTTGCCACCCGTGTCATAGATAAGGAAGCTGAGGTTTGGAGAGAAAGGGACTAACTGATGATCACGAAGTTCATGAATTGCGATGTCAGGGTCCAGGCTATACCCAAAGCTCAATCTTTCATTCACTCCACTACCCACGGTTGCCTCGTCTTGTGTGCAGGCACGTGAGTACAGGGCTGCTCAACCCGGCTGGACCTCTCCAGCTAAATCAGATGGCCCTTGAGACCAGGAATCCTCTCTCACCCCTCCTCTCTGCTCCCCTGCACAAGACGGGCTGTGGACACATGATGTTCCAAAGCCTCAGCACAACCAGAGGTCCCCCAGGAACAAGCTTCCTTTCCACTGGCAGTCTGAGTAAGAGCACATTTCAGTCAACTTTTCTGTGTGAGTAGCTCTCGCATACTGACGTGATTTTATCCTCACCACAGTCCCTTGGATAACATGGTATTTTCTTTATTCTATAGACAAGGACACTAAAGTTTAGAAAAGTTAAACAACACATCCAAAAGCTCTGGCCTTGCCACAATGCCCCTGCCGGTCCCAGTACCCCGTCCTCCAATGCGAAGTCCAGTCACTGCTCCCCAAACATGCCCTGTCTCTCGCTTCTCCGGGCCTTTGCCCGAAACGGCCCCTGCAGACCGCCTGCCTGCTCCTCTCGTCTCCGGCGACACTTTTTTGCAGCTTGCTTGCAGAACGAATGTACTAAATCTGACTTGTTTCATACTTTTCGTTTTACTAGGCCAGGGACTATAATTTCTTTATCTACAAATCTCTTCAAAACACCTACTATATACTTCACATAATGCAAATTCAGTAAATGCTGAATGAACCCAGCATATACTCACTGACTGATTCTTTTGTCACTTTGGTGGGAAGAGAGGAGAACATTTGTAACCGAGAAATAGTGAGGGAACCATTTTTTGTCTTCAAACACTTGTCAGCTCAAAGCTGATGAAAAGTTTCAAATCTGATCGCCCCCCACTCTATTAAAGAATACGGTGGTTCTATTAAAATGCACAAAATAAGTATCTTTAAAGGTTGTTGGTCAAATTAACCCAAATATCTTGATAATAAAATGTAACAGAAGAGCAGTCTTGACAACTGAAGCCAAAGATATAAAAGCTGCAGGAAAGAGAGAGAGACTAATGGAAGAGCATTTACCGGAGGCGGGTTAGGGTGAGAAGCCAGCGAGACGCTTCGAGTTTCTGAACTTCTGGATGGAGGAGCACTTGAGACATCGGTGGTCATACGGCAAACGAGGACCTGTGGAGATCTCGTCTCAGCTGCTTTCAATTTTTCCTTCTGGGTTTTTCCCCCTGTGCCAACAGAAAATACAATATTGTTGAGAAACATGTTATATCTAATCTATGCACTTAAAATTCACTGTTCAAAGAAAACATGTATTCTTGAGTCTGCCACGAGTCTGCCACGGCCACTGAACCTCGCTATAGAGGGCAGAGATGCCACCAAGCAATTGGCTGGTGTGACACTTTTTCACGCACACATAATGAAATGCCTATCACTTCTGTGTTAGGCAGAAAAATAGAGATTATATTCTGAAGCAAGAAAGATTCTTGGTATTTTATGATATCCTAACCAATCCCTCTGGTTGGAAAAGAAATAATATTTAAATTAGCATGAGTATATACCCTATTATACAAAAATGATTACATAATACCAGTCCACCAGTTAACATTCTATGATTTGCTTCTGCTCGATTGCAAGTAGTTTATTTAAAAAACATTTTATAAGGTTAAATGAAGTGATTATTAAATTATCCGTGTTTACATATTACTTTACAAATAACCTTAAAGACAATTAAAAACCAATATCCCATTATTAGAGATTAGTTAGGTAAGGTTTTTTACTTTTTATTTTTTACCATCATGCACTTTTTATAATGTGACCTCTAGCCTCTTTCTTGAGTATTTCTGTGGGGGTTTTTCCCAGAGTACATATATATTATCTTTATAACTCAAAAGCAATAATGTCCTTTTTGAAGTGATTAAAGATCACTCGTGAACGAACGCTGAACACGCACTTCCTCTCACCTCCAGCCTGTCCTAGGCCCGGCTGGGCTGGGGGTGGGGCCCAGCGCCGAGAAACAAGGGACTTTTTTCTTTTCATTGGGTGAAGCACTACTACAAATAAGTACCTGTGAGCGTAATTTCCCAGTTTTTTCTAACCAGCTCCTCCAATACTTCTACCACGTTTGTCCAGACACGATCGAACACTTCTGCAGCCACGGCATCTTTGATACAGTCATGTGGGGACACGGGTGGAAGTCCGTGTTTATGCCACGTCCGGTAACGGTGAGCTGATTTTCGTCTGGGGCGTTCATCGTCACTGAGGACGAAACCCATTCTAGTTACCGAGAGAATCCATGGTTGAAGGTAAATAATGCCAGCTAGCCATCTAACATGCATGCATAGATGTACATTGTACATATATATAATGACATTCTTTTTGAAACACATTGTTAATTTTAATGTACCAATTTTCAACCACAAGGCAGATTTTTATTTGATAATATTTGTAGCTTTTTGTGTAAGAACCAAATAGGCATTTAGTGCAGAGACTGGCAGAGACAGGCCCGTCTCCTTTGCCCTTCTGGGCAGCCAGGTACAGGGCACCCGGAGCTCCTGGGCACCAGGTCCATTGAGAGCTTGCCCAACGGTCACCAGCATGCCAACCACAATTCCTGTTTTCTACCTGCGCCACATTGTCAACAAGAAAGGGAGGCCCCCCTTCCAGCACGAGCATTGCCTGCTGGGGACATAAAACCTTCTGAGAGCATGTTCCTCTCCAAAGAATGGAACATCTTCTGGATCAGTGAAATAGACACAAAGCACTACCTCAGCATGTCATCTATATAAACACCAAATAAATGAATATTGTGAAACTATTAAGTTAAGGTCAAATAAAACTCTATTCACTCCTCTTTTCCATCGAAAGCGAAATACTCTTCGATCTTCCCTTCCACGTCATAGACCTCCTCTTGCAGGGACGGACACGCCATGCGGTCGGCCGCCCCTGTGCAGTCGGGACCTGGCTCGGCTGGGGCTGCAAGTGCTGCTGGGAGTATCTGAGAGCCGGAGATGCACAACCTGCGGGAGCAGCAGATTCTCCATGAGAGCTTGCAGAAGGTCAAAAATACAGTGTTTGTGTGGTCATGGTCGGCCTTCAAATGACTCATAAAGCACAGAGCCCTGTATTTGAAAATCAGTCACGATTACATTGAACAAAAGTCACATCCTTAAAAGCAACACTTTTAACGCAGGCTTCCTTAAACATTTTAAGGGCTTCTTGAAAGCCTAACTCGTTCTTCGAGTTTGTATCCTCTTTGCTGTCACGACAGGATGTCATGGCTCCATCCCAAATATGTGTGACTGGCATATGGGGACCTATCGGAATCAGTGCTGAGCGAAGGAAAACGGACGGGGCTTTATTTCTTCTGCTGCCACTGCCTTGGGGCTTAGGGCCCATCCGTTCTGATTTTGCATCTAGCTCGCCTTTCAGAGATTCTTCAGAACAAAACTTGAAAAGTTAACCCCCTGGGTATCTATACTACACCCCCCCCACACTCATACACACACAAGTCGTCATCGTCATCAGTTTAGAACAGAAGCACCTGGTGAAACTAAGGCTCGGTACCTGCCCTTCAATGCAATCGAAACTTCCAAAGTGGTGGAGCCGAGGCTCATAGCGGAGAGAGACGTGGAAAAGGGCATCTAACTGCAGTTAAAAATACTTTTCAAAAGCAGCTGGTGGGAACGTACTGTCTGATGCTGCCGTGGCGTTCACGGGTGTCCGAGAAGGGGTCGTGGGCCGTGGAGCGAGGCTCGCTGCCCTGGAAGTGGCGGACCCCTTCATCAGTGGGCAGGACAATCTGTCTTCCCAATACTCTGCAAGGTTTGAAAAAAGAGAGAGAGAAAACTATATGCTCATATTTTAAGTTAGAAGAGGAGAAAAGATTTTGCAGTTTTAAACGTCAAATAAAATGCCAGCCCTGGCTGGCGTAAGCTCAGTGGATTGAGCACAGGCTGCGAACCAAAGCATTGCAGGTTCGATTCCCAGTCAGGGTACATGCCTGGGTTGCAGGCCACAGCCCCCAGCAACCGCACATTGATGCTTCTCTCTCTCTCTCTCTCTCCCTTCCCTCTCTAAGAATAGATAAATAAAATCTTTTTAAAAATGATATGATGAAGGACTGTGGAAAGGAAGCAATAAGGCACCTACTGGTCTGAGAAATGTCCCAAGGCATTACAGAACCACAGACTTTCAGGGAGAGGCCAGACTGTTCTTGCTTCTGCTGAAAAGACCTGAGGCCCAGTTCTCTGGTTCTCTAAGCCACTGATTGCATTTGTTTGGTTGGGTGGGCAAGACAAAATACTAACAGTCACTTTGTAGGAACAGCGGGGGGCTCGGAGATAACATCTGCCAGAGCCTGACCTTCAGAGCAGCAGTGACTTTCAACTTTTTTGTCATCTCCTGGCACACACGAACTAGTTACCAAATGTCTGCAACACACCAAAAAGTATACTATATTTGGGCCAATCTGACAAAAACATAAGTATAATTTTGAATCATTCACAGCGACAGACCACTACTGTTGTGTGGGCCACTGTCATTTTTTTTTATTTGACAACCTAAAGGAAAAGAGGCCAGTGCCCCTGATGACACAGTCAGGTACTGTGTGTTTTAAAAATTCTTGTGGCAGCCCTGGCTGGCATAGCTCAGTGGATTGAGTGTGGGCTGGGAACCAAAGTGTCGCAGGTTCGATTCCCAGTCAGGGCACATGCCTGAGTTGCAGGCCATAAGCTCTAGCAACCGCACATTGATGTTTCTCTCTCTTTCTCTCTCTCTCTCTCCCTCCCTTCCCTCTCTAAGAATAAATAAATAAAATCTTTAAAAAACATTCTTGTGGCAATACCTGCCTATGTCATCAGGGGCACTGACCTCTCTTCCATTTAGAGTAATGCCAGGCACACAGAAGTCCTCTACAAATGTTAAGTAATACCTACATAATGAATAAAATATACAAATATGTAGAGCTGGCTAATGTGCCTTACGATCTTTCCTTTTCCACCCTCCTGCCTTCCTCTTTTATCTTAGCTACGTGAGTTAACAGTGACAGGAGGCAGGTCTGAGCTTCTGGAGTTTCAGCAGGTTTGCCTAGGAAAGGACGCACCCTCCATTAATGCCTTGTGGACATACTGAACTTAAAATTTTAAGGCAGGAGGGTTATGAAAGGCTGAAAAGATAAAATCTACTTAGTCAAGATTTGTTTAAAGGGTATATAGCTGAGGTCACCAGAAGACCCACTGACATTTGTAGGAGTATCCTCATTTATCTGCCCATTCTATATATATACATATATTATAGAGGAACTTCCTATAACCTGTACGGATTTCCCCCCCTAAGTAATTTGGCTGAGTAATTGAAGGAAGAAAAGCTTCCCTTTATATCCAGTCTATATTCTCCATCTTTGATATAAAAAAAACAACCACGAATGATCCTTCCTACAGAGGGAATCTTGGTGCAATGGTCAAGTTCATCTGTCCAATCAGTGGGCAGGTGATGACTCTGCCCCTCCCCCAGCCCCACCCTGCGCGTTGATCTCGGCACTGAGGACACACGCAGGCGGTTCTCGTAACAGTGCGCAGGCCGCTCTCGTATTAGTGCGTGTGAAGGTGGAGGATGACCTCTACCACTCTCATATCAGCTATGCAGGTCATGCCTTTCTGAGGATGAGCTACACGTGCTTCTCACAGATTAAAATGCACTCGAGTACCGGGATGTCTCCATACGTCCTACGACGCCGTTTCAAAGGATGCGCGTTCTCAGTAAAGGGCATGTGTTTTGGGTACAGGTTTCAGGCAAAATGTACTCCTTGCGCGAAGTACGTCGGGAGGGGGCAGCGCCACAACCCACTCGGGTGAACTCCTGTGAGCGGCCTCCTACCTCAGGTGCACGGACCGCCTTGCCCACTCGGTGCATTCGGCCACCAGGTTCTGGGTGGGAGGGCTCACTTTCCCTTCAAACAACATTTCCTCCACCTCCCAGAACAGCTGCTGTACCTTCTGTGCACTGCTTTTGTCAAACTCCTGAAACAGAAGTGCATGTTTGGTTACAAGACGAGAAGTGGTAGAAGTACCCGCTTCATAATCAACGACGCTTACATGTTTGAAGCACTCATTACATGGAGAGAGTGTGACATGATTAAAAAAGGGGACTCTGGGGTTAGACACAGTGCTGCAGCTCTTACCCTTCTGATAAATTACGCCCCTCCCTGAACCCCAGTTTCTGTAACTGTTAAGTGGAGGTCATTCCCACCACATCAGTCATAAGACCTATTCGATTTGACAGAGATACAGGTATGTGGATTGGCACAGGCCTTGGTATACATGCTTAGGCACACACACCTACATACCTGTACACACACATGTGTATATATACACACAGACATACGTCCCTCCTACAGTGGGGGTGTGACACATCTAAAAACATCTGCAAAATACCCACTATTTTTTTATCTGCTTATACCACTGGAAAGGAAAGTTACTTTTATAGAAGGGCCATTCACATTCTTTTAATCAATGAAAAAATACCAGAGTATTGACCTTTCCTGCCTGACCTAAAGAGGCTCTCGCACCGTGGCTGCAGGGCAATGAGACAACCCGTGGCCTTCCTCACACTCTCCATGGCCGGGAGGCAACAGGCCACAGGGCTCAGACTTCTGAGGAAAACGCACACACTACGCCACTGGGAGAAGCAACATCAAACCGGCAGCCTCCAGGGTGAAAGACTGGTTGTATTTTCTTCCCCGGACATGTGAACCCGAAATCTAATCCACAACGCAGAGCAACAAAGAGCATATTCAGTCTGACCCACCTGATGCAAAGGGCACATTCAGGTTGATTTTCACAAAATGCTATTCAATATTTTCTGTGTTACATCTTCCTTCCCATTGATGATAAACTAGATTGCCAGGTGGCAGGGAGCGGAATTCTCTTTTAAAAATGCAAATACAGAGAAAAGCAATAATAATATATGCCTCCTTGGAGGGGACTGGGTGGCTGAGGCCTGGAAAAAGGCTTTCTTTCAATTTTCTCTTTTGCTTTTGTTTCCTTTTGCAAATATTACCAACCGAAAAGTAAATAAAAGTGTTTAAAAGCAACAGTAGGTTCTGGAGTAATGTAAATTCTATATATGAGAGTCATAGGAATCTCTCTGAGTAATGACATGAAAATGTGTACTTGGGGAAACTTAGAATTTGGACAGTATGAAGCAATGATTCTCAGCCTCCTTCCCCGCTGTGTACTTGGGAGCAAAGAGTAGGGCGGGGGGAGATGGGGGGGGCGGGAGGGGGCCGTGGCAGGGAGTGGAGGAGAGCTGGAGGCTGTTTTTCAGACGCGAGAGCCGCATCCCATTTAAAGAAGCTCTGCTCCATTCAGAGCTGACTGGCTGCCGGGGTCCCCTCCCACGCCGTGAGCATCTCCGCTGTGAGCAGTAACCTTCCAGGAGGAAGAGCAGCCAGCGGAGAACCACTTTCAGAGCGCGAAGGGAAACGGAACACCGGCCGAGAGCAGGCTTTAGAACATCCCGGTGCTCCAGCGGCGGGAGGCTCCTCCCGGCCACAGAGCTTCACCCAAGTCCGGGCCCCAGGAGCCCCGGGGCACTTCGGGGTCTAGAGGGGGAGTCCGGAGACCAGCCAGGCTGTCGGCACAGCGCCCCGCTGCGGACTCAAAGCTTGCCCAGCCACGAGTCCCACCCCCGAAAAGAACGAAAACAGGGCTGCAGTGGATAGTTTCCACAAGCGTTAGAGAGAAGGTGAAAGTACAACCTCTGACCTAGAAATCCTCTGATCGCGGTGATATTTTTAGTTTTTACTTCTCTCCAGTTTTTCTCTTGAGCTCTTGTGGTCAGCGTCTGTCCTGAATTCCCACCACGGACCTCAGGCAAGAAATGTATATGATACCCCGAGAGGGAGGGAGAAGAAGTAGGAAAAACAAAGCTACCAGTGGCTCGGACTCTGAGTTATACTGTGAGTGATTTTTATTTTTCCTTGTATTTTTCCGTATTTTTAAGTTTTGACGTGTGACGTGTAAATGTTTTATATGTATGGCTGTGTGTGTGTGTATAACGGGTAATGCTTTTAAAATCGGTAAAAAGGTTTTTCAAAAACAAAAAAAAAGCGATTCTTCATTGTACACTACAATCATGTGACTGTCGGAAGTATTCAGAGACTTACGTCATCTCTCCAAGAGCAGATGGAGCTCCTTTCGGTGGATACGCCGGTGGGGGGGCTGCGCGTCCCGGACCCAGACCAAGAGCTGTGGCCTTCCGTGGGGGCGGGGCTTCCATCGGAGGAAAATGAGGAGGAGGAGTCGCTGCAGGAACAAACGTTAGTGACATAAATAACATTTCCTGGGAAGCCCTTGGTCTGAAAGTGGCTGTCCTTCTCTGAACCACTTCCTCTCTCTTTACATACATGTGTGAATTTCACAGCACCCTGAACTTTGAAATTTTATGCAATATTAACATTTCTGCATAATATTTATTATGCAAAAGTAGTCCACTACTTTTATGCAAAATATTTTTTTCATATGCAAAAGTAGTCGTTCACTACTTTTAGTGTTCTCTGACAATAAAACTACTCTTCCACTTTCAGAAATTCATGGCCAATCACCACTTCTGTTTCCCATATTCATGACAGCCGCGTTTTGGTTTTGCCATCCGAAGCATTTCACAGATGAATTCTTACCAGGTATATTTACCGATGGCCTTCTGCACATTTCTTGTAAAACGTGTAGGTAGAGGATCTTCGTTTTTCCCAGAAATATTGTGTTTTCCAGATCCTTTGGACAGTCCTCTTCTGAAAAATAAGTACAATAAGATATTAAAGGTGTCTCTAATGCGGTAACATCTTAAAGCCTTTAAAGTCTCCCTTTGTATAAAGTTGTTCCTTCGCTCCTGCCATTTCTCCCTAAAGTCACGTGTGTGCCGCGTGTGCACACACACACCACAAATGCTGGAGCCACGGAGGCCCAAACCCTTACTGGTCCTGTTTTCTTAAAAGAAAGGTTGCCTTTAACCTACAGGCAACCTAAGTTAAACGGGATAAAACCAACGACTTGTTGTGGGGTCACCAGGCGGTAAAAGTTTCCCAAAACTCTGGACAGACAAACACAGCCTCACGCCCACGCAGGGCTGGGCAAGGAAACTCCGGCCAGGTTTCAGGTCCCACCTGTTCGAAGGGCAGGCGGCCTGTGCTTGCAAAAGCCAACCAGCATTCCAGGGGAAAAAAAATCAGTGATTCCAAGAATTTGTGAAATACGTCAACTATTCCTGAATCACCAAGCCCACAAACTGGAAACCTGCACAACAAGAAACCTCTCCATGGCAGACGAGGTCTTCACGCTGGCTGGTGCAGTCCGGATTGACCATTAACTTGCAAACGAGCCTCTGGGAACGCCTACTGCGCTGCCGTCCAAACTCCTTCCTCGTGTTTGATGGTAAACAACGTCCATTCTTATGGACGTCCTTTCTCGAACAAAGAAGTTATATTAACTTACGGTATGAGTGATTTGGGGGGAAAGCCAGCTTTTACTCTTTCTAAGAGGGATATCACTCTAGCATTCATGAAAACAAAACTTTGCTTTCGCTTTCAACTATAATGGTTCTTCATTTTCAACGTCTGTATTTCTGAATGTAAATGGAGTTTTAAGAAATATTAATATATGAACAAATTGTGCCTTAGTTGTTTACCTGTAGGTACTTTTCAACAAAGGGGATTTCAGAAACAAATCAATTGCTATGCACAGAGGTTAGAACCTAGCAAGAACCTCTGACTTTAAACATGTCTTACAGAAAAGAGAATAGAATTATATGACTTTTTCTTCTCCCTATTGCTGTCTTCAGTACAACCAAGCAACTCGGAGGATAAAGGTGTTAAGGAATGGGTACCAGAGAAAAGAACGCAGGCCAAGCTTTCATGCTAATAAGCTGCATCACCTGGAGTCCTGTTCAATTGTTTCAAAACCATCAATTATTGACCGTTTGCACATGACACAGTAACGTCAGATAAACATAAAAATATGCACGACATAAAAGGGGCAATCCATTAAAACTATATCAGACAGACCTGCTTGGAACATTAAGAAGTACATACGGCTATGGGAATTAACTGGCTATTATTGAAAAATAATTTTAGGGGCTGGCTGCGGGAGAAGAGGAAAGTTCGTCCCAGAAGGAACTGTCTGAGGGGTCATAAGGATTTCTAAACATGGGAAAGGGAAGAATAAATCACTAATTGGAAATCTGTGCTCTTTTTTCCAGGTCTAAAAGAAAGAACAAATGTATATAACAGATGCCAACTCTTCCAAAACAGCAAAAAAGGAATTTTCAAGCAATTTCTTGTATGCTCTGGCTGTTCAAATTTGCGCATAATCATTTCAGTCTTTATAAATAAAAGGTTTAACCTTTGAAAAAAGAAAAGAACAATAATTTTAAACCTCAGGGTGGTGGATCAAGTAAAATATTGTTCCTTTACAGTATCTGTGTAACAACAACGACAACAACGATGGATCCGAATCTTGCTCCGCCACTGATAGGACTGTGCGCTTGGAACAAGCAGCCTCTCGTCCCTGGACTCAGCCTCTGTTACATCCGTGAAACAGCGACGGCACTGTGAACTGTCGTGTGCAGTCGCTGTGACAGTGAAATGGGATGAAGCGGGAGAAGTGTCTGCCCAGTCAGTGCTAGACCCTGGGACTGCTCCTCCCCACTGCCGCTGCTGTAGCCAAGGCTGCCTTAGGAGAACCCTGCCCTCGCCAACCTGCACCTCCCCCAGCATTGCTGACTGCACACCTCAGTTCGTCTGGGTTTTTTTTTATTTCTTTAAATGTATTTTTAATTTTTCAATTACAGTTGGCGTTCGATATTATGTTTCAGGTGTGCAGCCTAGCGGTTGGACATTGCTGTATCTTACGAAGTGATCCCAAAGTGATGCCCCTGGGAAGTCCAGAACCTACCCAGCACCATACATAATTGTTACAACACTATGGGCTACATTCCCCATGCTGCACTTCGCATCCCATGACTATTCGTCACTTCTTAATCTCTTCATCTTTCCCACCCAACCTCCCGATCCACCTCCCCTCTGGCAACCTTCAGTGGGTTCTCTGCATCCGTGAGTCTGTTTCTGTTTTGTTTGTGCCTGCATTTTGCTCTTTAGATTCCACACATAAGTGGAATCATATGGTATTTGTCTTTCTCCGTCTGACTTATTTCACTTAGCATAATACCCTCTGGGGCCGACCACGTTGCCACAAGTGGTAAGATTTCACTCTTCTGATGGCTGAGTAGTATTCCATCGTATATCTGTACCACAGCCTCTTTCCCCACTCACCTACCGATGGGCACTTAGGTTGCTTACAGCACCCTTTCAAAACGTAGTTTTTTATTGTGGTGACCTTGACACTTCATTAAGTAGCAGCTAAATCAATGTCTGTCACATAGAGATGTTCTGTTTGCTCAGAGAACCAACAGGCAGAGACTAAATTAGTAACTCTAAAGAACATGTTTTTGCTCCATAATTACTCTGAATGTTCATGCTTAATTTAAAAGATTACCTCGTGACTAGACCTGAAAATATTCTCCAAACTGAAGGCATTTCTGGGGAAACCCTTTCTCCTTTATAAAGAAAGAAAATGCACAGCTCTCACAATAGCTGGTATCTCCAAACAACTCATTCTCCCTTCACATTCCACCGTATCCTACCGAGACAAGTGCTCCTGCTCACTGCGGAGTGAGTGGGGACAGGGGTCTCCAAGAGGCAGGGGTGCTGGGGTCGGGGTGGGGGGGGGCCCTATGAAATGGATGCCTGGAAACTACATCTACTCCCACAGCATTTCTCCGAGTCTTTCTCCTCTGTTCTTCCCAGCTTCTTCGAAGTTTCTGGACCTCTGAGGAACTTCCTGAGCTTCCGAGTTCGGTGTAGTGACATGCACATCTGACCAGAGAACTCAGAAGGGTTCTGAGGAGGAGCTTCTGCCTGCCTGAGGTCAGGACACCCACAGGGACGGAGCAGGTCCCAGGCCCCAGGCCAGCTAACTTGCATGTCTTTCCAGGAGTCAGAAGCCACTGACAATGTCAATGAAAAACAGGATCTGTAAAAACGTACCTTTCCTTTTCATTTTTATGTCTTGTTTTGATTCTTTGGATTCTCTGTCTTCCAACCATGCACTGCACTGTACCGTTATTTCATGCAAAATAGTGAACATCTTGAATTCCCTGTAAACTATTGACTCCTACGTAAGCCATGCGCTCTATGAAAGTGTACACAACTTACACGATGTGTCCGGAAAAAAAAAATCTTGGAAGTGGTGGAATGTTCAAGCTCTCATTACATAATAGATAGATATATAAGGGTTATATACTAGTTCCTTGTATCTTAGAGATGGTACAACTCAGCTGAGTGGGTACATTTAAAGCTGTTCGTTTGGAGGCAGGACCTAGTTTTTAGTGTACACTTAAGCGCAACAACCGAACCATGCTGTATTAATTTGTTGGTGCATCCAAGTTAAGGCTGAGTCCCCATCTCTGTGAATCACTCCATTCTAGTTGTCAAGGCACTGACTCGACCATCTGCTTTTACTTTGAAAAAGCTGCCTCTTGGTAGACCCCAAACCTCTGCCTGTACAAATAGTCACAATTTTTTCAATTTCGTGTTTCTGTTTAAAAGGGTTGTCTGAAACGAGCGCTGTATTCTGAATGAGCTGAAATGCAGGATGATTTTCCCGATGACTGGCCATCACGAAGCTGCCCCTCCTAGAAACCACTCACGCTGCCCTGACTTAACTCAAGAACATCCTAGAAGTAACCTCAGCTCTCTGGACTGATGCAGAAGCCATCTCGGATGTCACAGATGCTCCTCAGAGCCAAGTGAGCGACTCCACTTGGGAGGGCCGGATGAGGTCAGCACCAGAGATTTCATGAATGGATGCAAGAAAACGGACCAGATGGATCCCAGCTTTGCAGGCGGGGCGGGGGGACGGGGAGCACATGGCGCATAAACAAGGCACGACAGAGAACAGTGGTAGTAATTCAGTTCTCTTCTCGGATCAGGACTTACCCAATCACGATCAGCCCCAGGCCTGCGCTGGCGTCCCCAGGGCCGGGTGGCGCCTCTCCCGGCCTGCGTGCTCTAGGGCGCGGACACACCGCGCTGGCACCCCGCGGGCGGCGGGCCGCCGTGCGCTCCCGCGCCCCCGGGGCCTCGGTTCCCCGGCCGCCCAGCGCTGCGCCCCTGGCCGGGCTAAGGCCGCGCAGGCCGCTGAGTCGCGTCTGGGAACCGCGAGCTTCCGGGCCGGGTCTACGCAGCCCATGGGCGAAGCTGCTCACTGTGTGCGCAGGGCTGCTTCCCCCTCCAGATCCAGAGGCCCCGCAAGAGCCAGATTCCTGTGCGGCGAGGCAACGCCCCCGTCCCCTCCGCGCCCGCCCTCCCCTCCTCCTCCCCCGGTCACGGGGACCTCCGCGGAGATCCGGAGATCCGGCAGGGCCAGGCGGCGGGCCCCCAGCGGCGGGTCTCCCACAGCCTTGCGGGGCTCCCAGCCCCCACCTGCCGACTTCCTGCCCTCTGCCCACCCCCCACTCTCCCAGGCCCTAGATCTCCGGAAAAGCTCTCTGTTCTCCCTTCCCGCTGCCGGAGGCCAGATTTCATAACCCAGTGATTTCAGCCTCGCCCAGAGGCGCGCGCCTACCCCACCACCCTCTCCGGGCCTCCAGTGAGCTCGGGCCTGGCCTTCCCACTCCTTCCCCAGGGGGCTGTGTAGGTGGGAGTCTGTCCGGACGGGCTTTTGCTGTTCTCAGTTC